GGTCCTGGATCAATATTCCTGTCCCAAAATGCAGTCCTTACCCAATCCCTACCCCTACCCATAACTTTTCCTTAAAATCAGAGGGTAATGAAAGGTGAATGACACTGATAGTACAGTACTTCACCCTGGTTCTAATCTTAAACTTGACATAAACTGTAAACGTGTCCCTCAAATCTGATTGGTTGATTGGAACGTTGATGTACATGTGTTACTTGGTGAAATCACATTCATCATAAAATCTCTGATAGATACTGATAAAAACGCTCTCTTCGTCTTTTCAAATGGCTTTCCAATGTCCATGGTGTTTCCGCAGAAACCCTGCAATAAAACTTAGGACTCTAAACAATTACCTGCAAAAGAAATTGTTGATTGTGAACAAACAAGTATATTTCTGAGCTTCACTTAAAAGCATTAAATGATAAAAAAGAATAAAAGCGAATTAAGAACAATCTGTGTGCATTTAGCCTAATTATTTTTCAGACTGAAACTATAGGCAAAAGCAAACTTAGGCAAAAGCACACACACTCAAAGGGTAAAATTACTTAGTAAATGTATCCTAAATTTCAAATTTGTAATGCATTTTTTGGTGTATATGCTAACACCTGCTTCATACTGAAGAGGAGGAGACTCATTCATCAAACGGCCAGTTGAACCGAAGCGCACATATTTGAGATGATCAACACTGCCAGATGTAGGCTATGCTAGGTTTTTTTCATTTTTTTCTGCAAGGTTTTCAGACATGATGTGAGATCGGGTTGGTATAGCTTACAGTCGGACTCAGTATGTCCTCACAGTTTGACTGTCAAAACAGAAACACAAAACAAGAAAACGTTGACCCTGAAATGTTAAAGGAGTTCACTCAAAAAGAAAAGAAATGCACAGCCTACTGTTACAGACAAAATAGATTATAAAGTTTTTACTATGAAATAGACATCAAATGAGCTTTAGTTGGATAGTTTCTGTTCATATGTTAAATTTATAGAATGTTTAGTCAAAAATAAACTAATCAACTGTTATACAATGCAAGCTAATGCAATACACATATCAAAATAATTAATCCTTAACTTTGAAATATGTATGATAAAATGTATTGACTTTACTTCCTACTTTAAAAATAATACTTTATATGGAAAAAGATTTTTTGTGGACGCATATTTTGTATGTTTTGTGGCCTTATTTCAGAAACTTTCATTTTTAGTTTTTTTTAATAACCACGCATAAACAATATTCTCTCAAAAATACAAACATGTACATACATGTTGCTCACATATTATGGTAGCCCTATTTGTGCAAAATATAGTGTAATTGCCATGTGCCATCAATAAGTTTATAAGTAACTGAAAAGTTACAGGAAGTTACACATTAAACATTGCAATGTAATAAAATAGCAAGAAGTTTCTACGTGGAGCCGGTGAGAACCGGTAGTGAATGCTTCAATCCAGAGACTAAATAATAGCCAGCCAACATGTGATATTATTTCTGACACATTTACTCATAAAGTTTTTATTTTCCTGATGAAAGATGTCATAATGCTACCTCCCGGGAGTTGAAATTTAAGCGGTATGGGCAGTGCCGGATAAAATAAACACTTGGCAGGCTGCTTTTTTGGGCCCCCCTCCATCCACGTTATTTTTCAATTGAAATTTGAAACTTACCAAAGTTACTAATAAAAGATAAGTCAAAAATAAGTCATGTGTTGTATTTTAAACAGTCTATAAGACTATTTTTGATATTCATTATTTATACGTCATTACACGGCTCTATTAAATGCTATTAAGTTAGTAGTAGTAGTAGTAGTAGTCTTTTATTGTCACTTATTCACAAGTACCAGTGAAATTAGCCATCAACCTATCCATCAGACATACATACAATAAAACAAGGGGGTAGACAGGACAGGAAGACAGAGCATTGAGGAAGAAATACAGCATAACATTAGAAGTGAGGAGAAAAAAAAAGGCAACCCTTTTAACCCCCATACTATGCTCCTGTGAGGAGTACAGTTTGGGAACAGTAAAAAAAACACCTCAGCAACATTGGCACATAATCGGTACACTCTACAAAATGAACAGACAAGACTTGCAACAGGGTACGGGAGTGGGGGGTGGAGGTGACCCAGCACAGGCAAGCAGCCATCCGGTCCTGCAGCCATTCCCGGCGCTGGTCACAGACCCGCCTGTCAGACTGGGGGGTGAAAGGGGGTTATGCTCATCTTATCCATGGGAGTGTCATTGTTAAGGCAGTAGTAACCAATAAGTGTCAATAAATGTAAACAGAGCAAATAAGTTTATCTTATTTGCTCTGTTTACATTTAATCAACACATTTAATTAAGATTTTCTGCAAAATGCAATACCTTACAACATTTATAAATGTGGCGGGTGGCGGAATCCCCTTTAGGTGATTCTTATGGGGGGGGGGGGGGGGGGGTTGTTTTAATTTGAGGGGGGAGTTTAGACTTTTTATGTTTTTTTTTAAATTACATTTATCTCCTAAATTGTATACTCACTCATTGCATTTTTACAATGGGGTAATTTTGTTCTTAAAAATGTACGCAACAGGGCTCTATCTTGCACCCGGCGCAAATGACTCAATACACAAACGCATGTATCATTCCTATTTTGCCCGCGCCCAAAGCGGGATTTTTCCCTCCACAGACGCACGTCAGTAAGCTAGGAAATGAACTTGCGCTCCCTGGGCGAATCGGCGCAAAAAGGAGGCGTGTTTCGGCGCAAACAATCCCTGGTGCTATTTTACACGTCCAGAAAACAATTGCGCCACTGACCAGAAAAAACATGGTCTAAAGTCAGTGGCGCGTTGCGCGTTGTTCATGATGCTATTTTAAGCCTGCATGCTTGCCCATAATGTAGCGGGTGCACAACGCGTATACACTGATTCTCTCATCAACACAGATGCAGCAGTTTTTATTTTTGCAAATCATACATTATAACAAGGAAAAATATTAAAACATGAGGGAAATCATTGTGGTTTACATGAAGATGAAAAAACCCATTTTACCCAATTTTTAAGGCTAATTGTAGCCTACTATGGATCAGACCTGTTTGCCTAATAGTGGCAAGAAACATACGTATATAGGCTAATGTTTAACCGACGCTGATGTGCGAGAGTTTCTCCCGTCCCCATACAACGTCACTTCTCTGTCTTTCACTGTCCTGACAAGAACGTCGGTCTCCTCGGCTGTGAACGCTCCTGGCGTGCGCCTGGTAAACCCGCCGTTATAATAATAATCCATCATGCAACATGAGCTCCTGTTCTTAAAGGGCATGTTGAATGGCGCTCTGATTGGTTTATTTCACGTTACGCCCAAACCAAACCTTTGAATAATGAAGCTACTTCAGACCAACCTCTTTTAGATTTGCGCCAGGCGCAAGAGGCATTTATCCCGCCGGGAAAATTGCAACAGCGCCGGGATCCGCCCACAACTTGCGCTTTGACACTTGCGTTTCAGATCGTTAAAATAGGGCCCAAGGAAACTTAATTTCAATCTTTGAATTAAATTTAAAAAAGTAGCACAAAGTACAATAGAATAAAGATACCTATTAAGATAAAGGTTTTTGCTTAGGTCTGACCACGTAGTAGGCCTATTCAGAAATAGTTTTACAGATTGAATAAAGTAATCAAATGTAAAATAACACTGGGTAGTGCTTAAGTCCTGAGAACTAAATTAAATACATCAAGCCTGATTCCTTAAAATGAAAGCTGTTTTGTTGTTTTGACAACCAAATTAATGACAGACCATGGCTGCTGTCACTGTAAGGCTCGTGCACGGATCCTTTAGACGCTGACATCACATGGTCACGTGCGACGTGCGATGTATTCTTATTTAAGACATAACCGACTGTGTTTAGAGGATACTCACCAAGACCGAAATTGACATAATTTTTGCATGTTTTTGACTGGTAAAGTGATATAATCCACAAAAAATAACTGTTGTACCTGTGAGCTGTTTGTGAGGCGGCTTGTAGCCTATGTGTGCAGAAAAAACATCTCTCAGACAGCGCGCAACCGAATAGTTAAACTGGTAATACTTAAGACGTTCAAATGGCAAACTGTAGTTACCCATGATGCAATTCTGGCCCATGCAAATGACAATTCCATCTATCACGACTCCGAAACGCGAGTGTATTATCGCCGCCTGAACGAGATAGGACATTTGTACATTTTTTTTGTCCCTCTGTCGGGGCCCCATCCGACCAATCGGGCCCTAGGCACGTGCCTAGTTTGCCTTTGCATTAATCCGGCTCTGCATGGGTGTCGGTGAACACTGCTGCGGCAGTGATATTTCTAAATGGGCTCCTGTAGGAGCTGGACTGGAACGCGTCTCCCTGCTATATCCACCATGTGGAGCTATAAACAGTGCTCTGGCGGGAGCTGAGTTTGAAAGAGTGTGCCTGCGTTCGTTGCAGGGTGAACAACATGAGGCTTGTTGAAGATTGACTGGAGTACATCTCGCTGCTGCACTGCTGCGCCAGTGACTTTCAGAAATGACTCCTGCAAAAATGAAAATTCTGTCAGTATTTACTCGCCCTCATGTTGTTCCAAACCTATGTGTTTTTTTTGTTCTGCTGAACACAAAGGAAGATATTTGTAAGAATGTTTTAATCAAACAGACTCTCATTCCACATTGACTACCATATAGGAAAAAATACATAGTCAACATGAGGGTGAGTAAATACTGACAGAATTTTCATTTTTGGGTGAACTAACCCTTTAAACTGGACGTACTGACTTTCTTCTAGAGCTGCTGTAGGCTACAGCCCCAAAAAATGCATGTTGCATTAATGGCCAGTTATCACTGTAAAGCTGCTTTGAAACAATACGTTTTGTAAAAAAGCGCTAAAGTAAATGACTTGACTTGACTAAACTGTTTAATTCAGATAAAATAAATACAGGCTATGTTGATTTAGTGTCTCTGATCACACCCCCAACTTCACCCAAAGGGGTGTGGTGTCATGTAACCAGAAACATTTTATTCACCCCCAGGTTTAACAACCTGCCTTACTAGTCTGTTGCAAACATGGAAAACACAATTTACACAGCTCAATTGAGACTTTAATTATCAGATATGTTCGGACTTTGAAGAATATGATTTTAGACACTGCTTTCATCTACTTGTGCATTCTGATCAGTAAAGGTAAGTCGGATTTAATTTCATGAAATGCTGTCAAAACCAGAGCTAATTTAAAAACATATAACACTGTAACTTTTATCTTAAAACTCAATATTGATTAGAACATTTCAACACACTAAATATGTCTGTGTTAATAAAAATAAAAAGCGACCCTGCAAAGGCACTTGTGGTTTGTGTACAAAGGAACAATTGAAAACAAAAATAAATAGATTACAGAACAGCAACCTGCGTCACACTTTTACCTGAAAAAACAATAAGCACTTAGCTCTCGCTGTTCCAGATGAAGGACATTTCCTTTTTTCAGCATTTCTGCTTTCAACATAAACAACCAATTACAGTTAACTGACAGCTAAAACTTGGAAATCCCCTGAAGTTAAAGGGTTAAAAAAAGAAAATGAGGGTGAATAATTAATGACGAAATGTTTATTTTTGGCTGAACTAACCTTATTACATAGTATTCATGTAATCTTAACAGCAAAAACACTTTCTTGTGTTTACACACCCCAAGTTCGATGGCACGCACGAGTGAAACAACAAAGCAGTGTCTCTAAAACCACTCTTTTTTGTGGAACTACTTCCTTCATCCATGGATTCATTACTAATTCTAAAACGGCACTTCAGAGCTAAGAATGCTGAGTCGCTTCATTGAAGCTTATTGTGTTATGGAGTAGGTTATTATTACTATTACTATTATTAGTGAAACATTTATTGTAGCTGTAGGTAATGAAACAGTGTGAAAATAACCCAACAAAATTACCCAATAGGATGAAAATTTTGCCTTCAATAACATTTTGGTTTCTTATGTATTTATTACAAAAATCGTTTGTTCCTCATTATTGGGCGATTGTATTGTATTAAAATTGTATTAAAATCTCAGTTTCAGGTGTGTTTGGTGCTGATACAGATGGAGTGAATTTAATATCAGTGACTGAGGGAGATTCTGTCATTCTAAACACTGATCTTACTGGAATACAAAATAATAATATATTATGGATGTTTGGACCTCAAGAGACTCGTATTGCTGAAATCTTTAGATGGACCATTAATATGTTTGACAGTATTGAGACATTTGGAGACAGACTCCAGATGGACAGTCAAACTGGATCTCTGACCATCAGAAACATCAGAACTGAACACACTGGACTTTATAAACTACTGATCAGCAGCAGTGGAAAAGGGATCTCATTATCATACAAGAGATTCAGTGTTACTGTCTATGGTGAGTAAACTGCATGAATCATGTCACAAATGCTATTTTTATTCACTTTTAATTTTAGTCTGAGCTCAACTCAGTGTGCTATATGTTTTTCCAATAAAACAATAAATTCAAATGCACCTACTAACTACTGAAATGACAAATCAAATATGTACAAAAACTGATTAAATAGTTGCTTAAATGCAATTTCATGTTCTCAGAAGGTGGAGCATACAAATAAATTTCAAAACAAATAGCAAAATACATTTATTATGCACAATCTGCAACATGTTGTTAACTGATTGTACTCACTACTGATATAATACTGATATATAATTTTACTTCTTATTTAATGTTTTCCAGCTCGTCTACATGTTCCTTTTATCACCAGAGACACTTCAGACTGTTCTTCATCATCTAAACGTACATCAGAGTCCAGATGTTTACTGGTGTGTTCAGTGTTGAATGTGAGTGATGTGACTCTCTCCTGGTATAAAGGAATGAGTGTATTGTCCAGCATCAGTGTGTCTGATCTCAGCATCAGTCTCTCTCTACCTCTGGATGTGGAATATCAGGATAACAACACTTACAGCTGTGTGATCAACAATCCCATCACACACCAGACCACACGTCTGGACATCAGTCAACTCTGCCACACATGTCCAAGTACGTCAGCATTATTAGTCCATTCACTGAACTGCCTGTGTCTTTTAAAGGTGCCATGTGTTAAAAAAAAATACTCCATATTCGGTCTTTGGCGGGACGGTCATACCATACTCCATATTCCATACCAGATGGGGGCAGTATACCTCCAGAAAGTGAGTTTTGCCGCAGCCGTGCGCACTCTCATGTCTTCAAACAACACTTGCTCTCTCTCCCTCGTGCATTTTAATCAAATCGTTTGACATCATAGTAAAAGGTTGGAAGGCCGCAGTTTCACGTGGAGCATTTGGATACTTTTAGAGAATAGAGACTCAATGAACAACATCTCAATACTAAATTATAAAGGCCGTGTCATAGACGCCTGTCTCAAATACAAGCCAGTGCATTTCGACGATACGGTATTCTTTTTGTTCATTTTACATTTTTATTGTTAGTTTGAATTAATTTGACAGACAGCATTCGCTAATGTTGACCAAGCTAACGCCATTCAGAGCTGCCAACTCTCACGAATTCACCGTGAGACACGCAATTGACATTTTTCACACGCTCTCACGCCACACATCAATTTTGTCACGCACAGAAAAGGACACGGAGACCGACAGAGCAGGTTAGTTATGATATACATACAAATCTCAGCTCTCAGATTCTATCAATTTTATTACGCAATTCAAACAATAAATACCGCTTTGGCGCTTGTAAATGTTACACAACAGATCCCTAGCGCACGTGAACCGATCATCTCTACTAGCTAATGGTAACACGAACACTGTTGAAAGATACAGTATGTTACAACTTACTAAAATGCATTCCTCATGCATAATATCGACCAATCATATTTTGAACTCTTTCTTGAACTCAAATGTAGTAATGGGCTGTACTTTCCACACGATTGACATCGGGTTCAAGTACACCCACAAGCCGTGCGAGTTACTCATGTATTGCAGTTTGGCTGGTGGTTATGTTGCCCGACCGCATACCGCCTCCCATGGCCGAAACTGGTATTATGACCAGGAAACAAGAAGGATGCTGGGAAGTGTAGTGCAGAGACAAGGACAGACTGGTGCAGACGAAGACTGTGACAATACACCCTCCTCCCGGTAGGCGTGACTTCAAGCCGATGCATAGGGGTGGAAGGGTGGGCATCCTGGATTCTGTGAAGGGAAGGCGGACCGGGTGCAGGAGGACGAATCCAAGCGTCCATGGTGGAGCAGGACGTGGCCAGGGCGGATCAGGAATTGGGCATGGCCATGGCAGAGCAGGGACAGGGACAGATTAGGGACAGGCTCGGGAACAGGAAGAGTCTCTTGCTAGACAGACGAGACGTGTGCATATTAGTGGGAGGGTGGGGATACTGTGACAACCTCTACCATGCAAAAGGGAATAGGAGACAGAACAGGAAATTATGTTGGTTCAGGACCTCACAACAATTAAAAGGGAAATCACTCAATTTGATCAGGCAGCCAGGTCAGGTGTAAATGAACAATACTGTGTGAATTCTACTTAATGATACATCTGTTTAAGTATAATTTGTATACCTGAATACCTGTGGTTGTCGATTTCAAATATCAACAGTGTTTCTCAGAAATCACTTTCTGCTAATTTTAAGCTTTAAGAACTCCGTCAGATCTGGCGTTACTTCATGTTTGTTGATGTGTGGTGAAACTTGTTTACACTGATTTGTGTTTTTGCTTTGTTTTATTGCAGAACCCCACCAACTTGCGATACTGGTGATAACCTGTGGATTTCTGCTTCTGGCGGTCCAAATTGTAGTGGTGTTAAAGTTCAGTAGCTGTATATTTAACAAACTAGCAAAACGTAAAGGCAAGTATTACTGACAGCTAATACATTTATGGTTGGCTCTTAATTTTACTGTCCTGTTATGTTTGTGTTTAAACGTCAAGTCTTTCAAACCTCCATTTCAAATTCATAAAAGCCTTTTTAATTTTATAAATTGAACTTTATTCAACAGCCCAGACTGAAGAACAAAAAGATTGTGCTAATGCAACCTTAGATACGGTAAGATCCATTATTTCATAATTTCTGACACTTGTAAATGATTTATTTTAACCAGATTGTAAAAGGTTTTTGCATGGATTTTGACTTTTGGCTTTAGTCCAGTTATTCATCATTTGGTGCATGCATTTACACGCACCTTTCATTTTAAATAGATGTTGGAAACTATTGTTATTGATTTGTTGAATTCTTTTTCTTCTCTTCTCATTAGTCCCCATTTTAACAGCCTTTGTGTGAAACGTTTTATTATTATTATTATTATTATTATTTACATTTCCTGCTTTTCTTTTCCTACTTTTTCTGCTTAAATCTTGTGTTGTATCAGAACTTTTCTCTCTTGTCTCTCTTTAACTTTCAAATGTGTTTCTTTAGTTACAGGAGGCTGATCAGGACCGTGGCATGAGAAATACCCATAGCAGGTGAACCCCTCGCAAATACAAAAGCAATCTCCCTCCATCCCCTTGGGGGGGAACACCAAAATGCATTCATTTGTGATTTCACTATTGACTCCACCTGTCCAACTTCATTCCAACTCCTAAAACAATATAATCACGTCTAAACTTGAGTTGAGCTGGTTTGTGGGTTTGTGTGTATTCTTATAAACTACGTATCCATGAATTTACGTATTAAACACTGTAACAATAATAAATAAAGCAAGAACAAGTTTTAGCTAAAAATTATCCAGTGCTTCAATCCAAGCAGCAGACTGCTCTCATGAAATGGCGTATGCATGACACGCCAATTCGTATTTCCATTTTTGGCGTGCTATCATCCTATCGATTTATATAATTATTTATATGACGTAAAAACCCATTTAGCCTATAAATGTACTGCATAAATGAAAATGAGTATTTCAAAAGTATATTTTAGCCTAAATTACACTAATATAGGAAAATTAAAATACTTTTTGTCCTAATTTCTTAACTTTCAAGAAATAAACCCTTGAGCTTTTATTTAGGAGAAAACACCAGATAACCACGATGATCGAGTGAGCAAAGTATGATCATGCAGCACAAACAGGATGCTATTCTTAAAGTCTTGTGCTGTTTTATGAAGTCACAAAGCCATATCATGGTTTCAATCTTAGTTCGTTGGCAAAATATAACGCTAGAGATCTTAATGTTAGTTTATACATTTTACATCTTTACATATGTGTTGGGAAAAGGGAGAAGATAAAGTTCGGCAAAAGGCAGATCAAAAGTTGTTTTTAAGCACCTCAAACCCTACTACCTTCGCCACTGTAGCTATTGCATAACGGGCGTCTTTTTGCTTTAAAGACAGGCACTTAGTGCAAATATATCCTAGAAAATGTTAAAAAAAAAAATGTTTTCTTCCCTCGCTTGGGTCCCAGGTGCACATGGCCAACTTGCAATAAATACATTTGATCAGACCGTCCCTCGTGGCCTCGAAACACTACCGCCCCACCGGAAAAACTCCCGACTCTCCCGATTGCCACTCCACTACTGGTGGCATATTTATGTGTATAAATGTAAATATAAATGTTTTTTAGACCTTAAATGCATTTTGCTGTATATTTGGAGTGTTTGTAAGTACAGAAAATTCTATTCAGCTGATTCGTTTATATCTTTATATTCTGTTTTGGTCATATTTTTCAACCTGTTCAGATTTTTCTGTTCTCTTTGTATTTGCAGAGGAACTGCCAAATAAGGCCATTGACTACCGGTCCAACACTTCGAGCAATCCGCCATTATTATTTCTCGCTCCGATTTTGTAGTCCAAGCTCAATGATGCAGAAGTTACGAGAGGGCAAGTCAAAATGTTCGGTTGTTGGATGTAATGTTAGTGACCTGAAGCACTTCAAGGATTCCCACTCCAACAACCTCCGCCAGTATAAAGAAGGGTTTGCCGATTGACTTCGTCTGAATGAGAGGTAAATTCCTTCTATCTTTGGAGACGACGAACAGAGCATTTCGATAAGCTGTAAATATCGTTAATAAAAATAAAGTTCTTTACTTTCTTAAAACACATGGTGGTCATGGTTCATAGCAGTACCTTTGTCTTTCTTTGTTTTATACTGTTTTATATATTATTGTTATATATATTGTTTTATATATTATTATGATTTTTTTATTCTAAACTGTTTTAATTATTCTGATTTCTTTTGATTATTTTAATTTCCTCCATGTAAAGCACTTTGAATTGCCAGTGCCACTGTGTATGAAATGTGCTATAAATAAACTTGCCTTGCCTTGCCTTGCCTAACGTTACCCGTCTGCAGTATTATTGTTCTTGAGTTTCATCAATGGTCATTTAGCTGCGGTGTTTTCTGATGCTTTTCTAAACGTATCATATCATCAATTCAGACTTTTAGTGGTAAGATTAGACCGTAGTCATTTATCTGGTCAGTGTGCTTGTTTTAACAAGAGAAATAATCGACTCTCACTTATAACACAATACAGTTACATACCACTGCACTACATCCATATGAAGACGTTGTTCTGCAGATTCGTCGTCGTCTTTTTCAAATCGCTCACTCTGGATCGAACATGTGAGGCTTGATGGACAAGTCTTCTGTTGTTGACATTTTGTTAAAGTGCTATAAATCGTATATCTCTAATCAAACTACAATAATGGCCGAACGTGGGGAGTTGAACCGACCGTGAACTCATCGACCTGGAGAGCGAGCGAGGTATGACACATCTCCTTTTTATTTAAAGGGGCTGCTTCAAAACGAGTTGCTCACAGACGCACATCAGAAAAGGGGTAGAAAAGGGGCTTGTGGAGGAGCTATAATAATGAGGAATTCAGACCCAAGCATTGCAGTTATGTTTTATATAGACCACAAATGTATGATTTATATGTAAAAATGATTGATTTAAAAGCATGATATGTACACTTTAAATAGTTTTCTTTGAAACTGTTATTGTGAACATGTATTTACGATTAGGCCTCATAATGAAGATTTAAAGTGGTTTTCCTTCACCTGCCGAAAGTCCCACTGATCCAGTCAGTCTGCTCCATCTCCAAAATGTTCATACGCATGAGTCAGAGTTTGTTTTATATAAATCACAACTTCCGCATAGGAAGTGGTGTACGCCTCTTTCAGGGCCTGTTTTGTGCGTACGCAAGAGTTATAAATGAGGTCACAGTTTGGAAGTATTTAATCTGTCTAAACTCATGCATGTTATTTGATGTGTGAAGTTTTATGTTTGTTTAGATGATTTTTTACAAATGTGTTATAACTAATACAGTAAAAATCAATGATTACATGCTTGTCACTTGGTTTGTTATTTTATACTTTTTTCTAGTGAAATTTTACATATTCCATGAAAGTATTTCAATTCCAAATGGATATGATTGACTGTATAAACCGTTTATTGTGTCTAGTCTTATCTTCAATGTAATTCAGATAAGCATTATCATGAAAACTGATAGATGTTTACAGGATATGTGCTAAAAGAAGACAAAATAAAGTAGCCTATATTCTGTTTCAAAATAGCCTACCTCTTTTTTGTTTTTCATTGTTTTACTGTACTGGAACGACAGTTACTCTAGCATGCATTTGTTACTCTCTTACTGTATCTGACTCATCCCATTCTATCTGCTGATGGAATGGCAACGGCGAACTGTTAACTGCCGTTATGCAAAAATCACTTAGCAACAACAAAGAGGGCAGTGTAACGGATTAAATCACACACAAAAAACGTGATTTAAAAAAATCAAGAGAATTGTTTTTTTTTATTATTGCTACCAAGCATCAATCAATACTCAAGTCACTTTTTCAAAAGTCATTACCCACAAAATGTACTGTCCTGATTATATAAAGTAGTCCTAATGATCCTATATGGAACTGTTAAACACAGTGGTTTCAATATCAGACTTCTGTCTGATGAGTAAACTAAATAGACCGCATAAAAATAATTTTAGATTAAATGTTCTGACCTGTCCATTTATATTTAATGATCTATGACAGTGGCTCCCCAACACTGCACATTTTTTTTTATTATTTCTCTCTTTTCTGACATATTTGAAGTTGTGGAGTCTTTGTCTGCGTCCGAAAACTGAAAAAAGCTGACAAGGGACAAAACAAGGAACACCTGTGTACAATGACAATAAACCAATTTAAACATGAGGGGATTCACATGGGGAACAAATGGCAGGATCACATGACTATAACAGGGATAGTCATGTGATCCTGCCATGCGTTCCCCATGACAGGAAACATAACTTGACACAAGAACATAAAACAAAACATGACAATTGTAATATAACTTAACCTGTAGAAGTATTTCTGAAGCAGAATGTAAAATGTATATATATATATATATATATATATATATATATATATATATATACAGGGTTCTCAAGTTTGAGCAAAAGCTTGGAGTGAGATCACACGCGGTTAGGGGAGGAGCCATAATGAAGCCCCGCCCCACCCATCCCCGCCCCCAATTTTACCCATTGTTAATAATTAACCAGAACAAATTAAAATTATAACAATTAGTAAATCTGATAAATGACAGAGCAATTCATCACATCAAATATACTCTTTAATGCAGTATTACAAATATAGCTAACCAAAAATATAACAAATTGCTCCAAACAGTTTAAAATAAATCTTTAAAAATTGCATTTTGATTTTTGAATGCGTCTTCTAGACGAATGATTTATTGTGTGGTGGGACATTGAGAACAAATGGACAGATTAGAGTGCACCACCTCTTCCACTGTCTCCTCCTCTAATCTGGCAACCTTTTTACCCTTTGGTGCCCAAAATGACAAAATATCTTTCTGTTTTTTCCTGACATCTTTGAAAAATACAAATGCAACATTATGACAATGATTAAATATTACCCAGAGCAATCTGCTGTAATACATCCTTAATGTAACTAGAAAGACTATTAATATTACAGTATAATATAATTTAAAATAAAATCAGTAAATCTTCATTCCTTTCCATACCCACTAACATTTCTCTTAGTTTCAGATAACGTAAGATAGCCAAACTGAGCCTGGTTGCAAAGTAGTTGTAGAGTTTTTGACTGCATCAATAATAATGTACGATGGGCTATATATTAAATGTTCTAGCCCAAAAATGTTAGACGAGCTTCTTCCAACTTACCTTCTTCTCCATCACGACACGTGTTCGCGCGATGTTGTTGGTTACCTAGTAACGAACGTACGAGGATGTTCCGTCCATTTCCGTGTGTTCGCGCTACTGAATGGTGCACGCAGCGCGCATATATGTTGCCTAGTAACGAACGCAATCTGGCGGAGATACGCGCTGACGGCAGGAAACTTCACTTTGTTTGCCTGCGCCTCGTATACAACGTTAGAAAGCTTTCAGCCAGGAAAACTTGGTTGGCATTGCCTTTTCAGCGTGAGAAATACACAGTGCGGCGTGTGAGCGTGTGAACCGGTCGAAATGCGTGTCTCACGGCCAATGCGTGAGACTTGAGAACCCTGTTATTATATATATATATATATATATATATATATATATATATATATTTGCACACTATCATCATGTTAAATTTAGTTAATATGAAAGAGTAATTCAATAACAGCTTCATAATCCCACAAGCCTGGTCTCATACCCAGCGGTGCCATTTGCGTCGGATGTTGATACATTGTCAAAAGCGTCAGATTACGCCCTAGGATGAGAATGCATTGAACTGCCTATGAAGCGTAAAAGACATGTCTAGACCTGAGATGACACTTGAGCTTGTGCTTCTTCAGCTGCCTTAAAAACAACTGTCAGTGTTTGTGTATTTTACCATACTAGTGCAAAATGCCCGTGCAAAATAATGCCCATATATTTTTAGCAATTGTTGGTTTGGTGTGTTTCAAATGAATAAGCGCGACGATTCAGGGAGCAAATCTGCTTTCATCGTCCCTCTGTCTCTGGTCCTGCGCTAATAATAACCGTGTGCCCATGTGTTTTTAGCAATTTTTGGTTTGGTGTGTTTGAGTGCTCAAATGAATTAGCGCAACGATTCAGGGAGCAAATCTGCTTTCTTCATCCCTCTGTCTCTGTCGCTGTGCTCAGTTTGCAGTGTGAGAGGAGGAGTGGCCAGCGGCTAGAGCACCAAAAGCCAATGTGTGCTTCTTTTAGCGATATCTTTTGCATTTCTAATCCAAACAACGTCAAACTCGGCACTGCAATTAGGTACTCGTGCCCGTAGCAAGACACTTGTGAAGTTTGAGATCCATCCAACACAGTCTCATGAAGATGCGTATCTATACCACGAGTGTCATTTCTCGTGGCATTTATACGCCAAAAGTGTTTTTTTCGTGTATATGGTACGCACTAAAAAACCCTGGGTTAGGTTTAGGGGGGAGGGGGGTGGGGAGTTCGTGCGTATTATACGCAAAAAAGTGCGTATCATATGTACGCGAAAATCGCGTGCCAAATACACGCAAAAACTGTTTTTTGGCGTATAAATGCCACGAGAAATGACATTCATGCCATAGATACGAACTTTCATGAGATCGGGCTGATCCATCGGACTGACGGTTCGAGAGATATGCGATTAACAGACACACAGACAGACGTTCCTGTAATTTATAGATAGATTTCAGCATTATTTCATGAACATTGTACTGAATGGAATGCAATAGAATAGATATTTTCATTTCACTTTATGAAGCTTTTATTATCAAATCACTTTTCTTATACTATTTTATCGAACCTAAAACAATCTCACTGATAGCTTTTAACATAACAAACCCTTATACACAAAACATAATGAATTGAGTTCTTTCATCTAGTCAACAAACCAGCTTGCTTTAGTCTGTCACTTCAGCAGTTACTGCAGATTTCCTGCATGATAGGACGTGTTTCCACAGGCTTGGCTCTTCTCCAAGGTGAAACACAGGAATGTTTTCCTCCCCAGACTGATCTCATGAAATGGCGTATGTATGACACCAATTCGTATTTGCATTTTTGGTGTGCTATCCCAACACGCATAATCGTTTTTTAGCGTGTTTATGAACGCCGTTGACTTAACGTTATTACTGTATATATAAATATATGACCTACCCCAACCCCGTCCCTAAACCTACCCGTCACTGGGGTTAATAGCAGTAGTAGTCTTCCCCTACCATCCTACACTCTAGGGTTCATTGGGGTTCATCTCCAAAGAACCTTTTATGCTAAAAAAGGTTCTATAATGACAAGAAAGAAACCTTTTGGCACAATATATATTCATTCATATATATTACATTATTCTGCAACATTCTGTAGTTGTAATTAAATCATTGTTTATTAAACTGTTGCAGTAACTTAATATCACATTTTAATATTTTTGGAGGAGAAAAACTGAAATGGCACTCTTCATGTGATATTGATTAAGTACATAAAATGTTATAAATATATACATTTTCTAACCCTTTGGATCATTCACATGTGTTTATAAATACATTTTAGGGTCTTGATTTTTGTCAATAATATAAAATATTTAAAGGTTCTCTAAGCGATGTGGGGCCAAAACATTTTTTGTCACATACATCAAACATCTCCTCACTATCGGCTAGCTGTCTGTCCCCTAAACACACTGTAAAAAAACGCGGTCTCTGTAGACACCACAGGCTCCGAAAACGGCAACAAAAACAATCATGTCTTACCCGGACCACGAAACCTAACAAACAGTGTTCCAGCCAATCACTAGCAAGAAGTATTTGAGGGTGGGTCTGGGGGTTAGTGAGCGTGCACATGAAGGGGGGGTGTGTGTGAAGGAGAGCGAAGCATCAGAGGGAAGTTTGAAAAATGGCAGACACGACCAAAGAGACGTCGTTCTGAGGAACAAATTAAAAAGAAGAAGGAGTCGGATAAAGAACGTGCGAAGTTCCGAATTTACATCGGTAGCAAAGCTTTTGAACGATGGCGAGAACTCCGGCGCCAGAAGGGCTTACAGTCCGACATTCAGGTTGCTCTGTTTTTGCTGGACAGGTGGGTAACCAAATTGTTTTTTTTCTTCTAAATTGACGCTTATGTTCGCCAAACCCACACAAGGATATAATTTGCTAGAAATGCACGTTCACAATTATTTCAGGAAGGACGGAAGGGAGGGGGAGGAAATGAGATGTGGAGGAGGGAGGGTCTAGCTAGCCTCCGATTTGTTTGAAAATATTCCGAACGTCAACACCCAGGATCGCTTAGAGAACCTTTAATCTAGAAAGGACAAAACAAATGATAATGAATGAACCCAAAAGGTTCCGTATAGAACCCTTTTCCTGGTTACAAAGAACCTTAAATGGTTCTGATTATAGAACCCTTAAAAGGGGTTCTGTATAGTGTATAGAACCTTTTAGGGGTTCCAAATACGTAGTGCTGATAGAACCTTTTACGGTTCTAACTAGAACTTTTTCTTCTAAGAGTGTAGGAAAAAAAATATCGCTCCCCAGATGTAGATCTACATTTTGCTTCATTTCGTTTCGGATATTTAACGGCGTGCACATACACGCGGAATCACTTGGACATTTAACGGCATAGACATACACGCATACACACGGAGAGCTCAAAATGCGTATAGATAACATGCCACTTAACTTGAAAGTGGCGTGTATGTTTACGCAAAAGTCATGTTGTCCTCCCTCATTCTATATCACTGCAGCCCATTATTGCAGTTTTTACCTCTTGTAATCACAGTCACGTCCAAGCACTCTGAGGGCGAGGGTGCTTCGGTCAGCGCAAGCGCCGGAAAGCCCCGGATCTCTCGGGTGTGTCCATCATTCATTGTTGACACATAGGAAGACGATTTCAATATATCAATCAATCAATCACATCTATATTTAGGACACACATATAAAATGGTCCATAGCACTATACAAAACAAAGAAATTTTTTTTTATAAAAAGACTACACAGTCGATCAATATTCCACAACACACTAAATATAAACATATAAACTAAAGCACCAGTGAACAGCACTCAATGCAGGATTAGTGTTTTGATGATGCTGTTATGTGACTCTGCTAGTCTACACATACATCTGTACATACGATTCCTGAGTACAGCAGGACATGTGGATACATTAACACTTACACACATTTGACTCGCACTGCCCCCTTGTGGCAATTCAAGCAGCATCCTCAAACCATCATAATGCCACCTTGAGTTTCTGCACACTACTTTTTTTATAGTGTTGCCACAAGTGAGCAGTGTACATCGGAGTACAAAAAGCTTTAAAAAGTATAGTCTTCACAAAAAGTGAACACATACTAAATTTTCAATTCAGCATATTAGCTTGTGCATATAAAAAATACAACACTGTCTATTAATGTCCCTATCAACAGACAAGGTTGGGTTTTTTTGAATATAGTTTTTTTCTCAAACGCGCAAGAGATCACTTCCAGCGCTTTCCGGCGGTTGCGCAGAACAACGCGCCCGCGCCCTCAGATCACTTGGACGAGGCTGTGGTAACCAGAGATAAAAACGATACAAATACTGTTAGGTTCACTTCGGGTTTGTGGAATCACTGGCGCTTTAGTTTATATGCCAATATTTGAACACTGTTTTTGTGTATTGTGGAATATTGACTGTGTAGTCTTTTTATAAAATGTATGAGTTTTCTTATCACTAGATAAGACCCTTATTCATCGTCTGGAATCGTTTAAAGCTGCACTGAAACTCTCATTTGGACCTTGAACCATTTGGTGCCCAATGAAGTGATGGAGATTCCGTCTCTCTGAACACTGATGTTAAAATAACTATTCATATTGTTCATAATTAGCATCATCGGGAAGATCACCAGAGTCCAGATGTTCATTGGTGTTTTCTCTTTATTACAGAAATGTTACAGGATTCATATTTCACTACAGTTGTTTGTGTGCCGCTCATTTCTGCATATGACAGGACATTAAAATAACTCTAATTCAAACATTGTTTTAAAATGAAGAGACAATTTAATTTAACTATTTTATTAAAAAAAAAATCATATATGTATTTGATATAATGAAATGTGTTGAACATGTAATTTTGGGGCCAATCGATGAATCTGCCTATATAACTGCACTTTAAAATGTGTCAGACACAAAATTAAATCAATAAACCTTTTGATTTCTCATGTGTGTTGAATCTTTAATTTAATGTTTTTTAATGTTCAGCCAATATTTAAATCACTTATTTGAAAATGTGAAAGAGATTCATCATTGTATTGTGTGTGTGATCCGGACATGTTTTGGAGTCAGCTCTTGAGTTATCGAGCTCAGTAAATGTGTTTGAACTGACTGTGGTTAAACGTGCTGGCCGGATGTTCAGTTAATGTGTGTTTGTGAGAGTGTGAGACGTGCAGTTTATTCTCACAACAACGAACAAACCTTCTGAGAACCTGATAGACCCTGAAACTACATAACATGAGAGTTTTCTGATGAAGAGGAATCCAGAATGATGTTGTGATGAAATATTTGTTCATGAGATACACAGTGAGAGTTTCTGAAATATAAAGAGGAAGAATATATTCAACTTAGTCAGCAGAGTGCAGAGACCAAGGAGAACTAAAACCATGTGGCTTTTGAATTAGCAATCTATACATAACAACTTTTTAATCAGGAAGTTACTCTTCTGTGTCTGAAGAGACTCTCGGCTGGACGTTTGTTTGTCACGATGTTTTCTCATCTGTGTGTTCTGATCCTGTTCATTCTGAGCGGTGAGAAACTCTTTACACTTTTAATCAGCAGTCAAAAATGTATTTAAACACAACTACATTTTTACAAGAGATTAAAATGTTTTACCTTCTAGAGGACATGATTAAACGGAAATTAGATTATATAAAGTCTCTGTCTGATAAAGATATATTATTGTTGTTATACATCTTGTTCAGGTGTGTTTGACGCTGGTACAGATGAAGTGAAGTCAGTGTCAGTGACGGAGGGAGATTCTGTCTCTCTAAACACTGATGTTCAAGTACAGAGTAAAGATCTGATTTTGTGGACGTTTGGACCTCGAGAGACTCGTATCGCTGAAATATATAAACAGAACATTGATATGTCTGACAGTGATGTGACATTTGGAGACAGACTCCAGATGGACAATCAAACTGGATCTCTGACCATCAGAAACATCAGATCTGAACACACTGGACTTTATAAACTACAGATCATCAGCAGAAAAGGAACTTTATACAAGAGATTCAATGTTACTGTCTATGGTGAGTAAAATGAATAAGATTCTACTTTTTCTCTTTATGTGTTTAATATTCGGCAGAGACACTGTCTCAGACAGTAAAATATATATTACCAATGATCATTTTTATTTCGTTTTTTATAGGGAACTATAAAATAAATGATGTTATTTTATGTCGTATTTTAATTGTTTAATTAAAGAATTGAATTATTTTAAATGTGAAAGTGTTTTAAAAAGTGAGAATCTGTGAAATGCGTCAAACTTGACATTAGATTTTTCTGGTAGAAACATTCACCAAACTTTACAAAACAATATAACTTTGAAATTAACATTATCATCCGATTATTTTTTCTAGTGTCTTGTTGAAGTTGTTGTGGCACATACGTGTATATTTTTCCCTTTATTGAACTGCAATTATTAAAAATCTTCAGATACTTTGTATAATATTTATACTATATATTTGAAAATAAACCTCTTCTTTTGTGTTTTCCAGCTCCTCTTCCCATTCCCACCATCACTAGAGACTTTTATACATCATCATCATCAAGCCAGTATTGTTCACTGGTGTGTTCAGCTGTGAATGTGAGTGATGTGACTCTCTCCTGGTATAAAGGAATGAGTGTATTGTCCAGCATCAGTGCGTCTAATATCAGCATCAGTCTCTCTCTACCTCTGGATGTGGAATATCAGGATAAAAACACTTACAGCTGTGTGATCAACAATCCTGTCACACACCAGACCACACATCTGGACATCACGCAACTCTGTCACACATATGCAGGTATGTCAACAATTTCAACACATTTTCTTTATAAATGTGCAGTTCATACGGTGTCTATATGAAGTCCGACTGAAAGGATTGACCATTTTCTTTCTTTCTTTATTACAGAAATGACACAGTCTTCATTTTCATCACTTATATTCATTATAACAGTAGTGTGTGTGACGCTGCCGCTGTTCATTTCTGCGTGTGTGTTTTACTGTTGCTGCAGGAAATGCAACCGAGAAAAACCAGAGGGCAAGTATTACTATATTAATAACTTGAATTTTTAATATTTAATAGTTCTAAAATGACAAGTATTCTTATTATTATAGAATAGCAAATATATCAGTGTGAAATGTCACCTGATTAAATAACATATAATAATGTGTGTGTGTTTGTAGATCAGGAAAGCCTGTCAGAATACACAGAGGTCATCTACCGTCTTCAGATCACACACCATCACTGATCATCACTCAGATCATTAATATTCAAAACTATAATGTAATATTCAAAAACAGTCTTCAGATGGACAGTCAAACTGGATCTCTGATCGTCACAAACATCAGAACTGAACACACTGGACTTTATGAACTGACCGTCATCAGAAACAGAAAAACTTCATACAAGAGATTCACGTTACTGTTTATGATTTAAATATTTTACAAATATTTACTAAATTAAAAGAGATTAAATAAATTGTAAAATAAAAACAAGTATTGTTATATTATTATGGATTTAATACCCTTTTTATATAATTAGTGCTTTTTTTTTAATTTCAATTATCACTTAAATCATGTTTGATTGCCTTTTGATTATGTTTCAGCTAGTGTCTGCTTCATATCAGATGTTTCTGTATCACCCTTATTTTCTTGTTTGGCGGAGATGTAAAAGTATTTCTAGATGACTGAAACAGGGTCGTGTAACCACAAACTTCACACACTTCACCTTCTTCCAAGCAAGGCCCATCTCTATCTTTAACTTGTTTGTTATCTAGCAGTTCTCACTATCACTTATGACGTAGAAACCACACACAGAACATGCTAAACATTTATATGAATCTATATTGAATAGAATACATATATATATATATATATGTATATATATCAAACTAGTGATTTGGAGTGTGTAAAATAAACTACAAAAGTTTGGCTATGAGATTTCAGTGAACAAACATGTTTCGGAGCGTGCTGAAATTTCACTGGTTATACCCTACATATAACACCTACAGACATTTCATATTATTAAGTGATTTGTATATTGCATTTAATATATTACACTTTCAATAAAAAATTTGCAATTGGATTGTAAAAGGATGTTTTGACTGAGTTTGTGTTGCATTTACACTGTTTGACCAGTAGAGGTCGTGAGCGTGTGGCGTTTCGAGCCACAGTGAATCGTTTTCGAAACAATTGGTTTAATTGATTCAGTTTAGAAAAGCTTCGTTTATCTTGAAGAGTTTTTCAAAAATATATATGGTATAAAAACATATGTGGTATAAAAACTAACCATATAGTTCCACCATGGTATACAGTGACCAACCTTTAATCATGACATTTGTAGTAAAACCATGAAAAATAATAATTTTATATATATATATATATATTCAAGACAACACATAACGGGTGCAAATGAGGTCCTTATGTTATGTTGACATTATAAGCTATAGGTTAGCCTAATCTTTTTTGCAGTTTGATGGTGAAGATCGTGGATGTTGACGGGAAGGAAGATAACCAAGGATACACACACCTCGACTTGATGGCGGTAAGGTCATCTTAGATGAACTGGAGACACTGGGGATAGTGATGTTATGTGACACCGAAGCTTCAAAGCGTGGTTATCAATGAAGCCTGACACTTTCGTTTTACTTTAGTCACGTCACATGAATGCTGCTGCAACTTTGAACCCAGACCACTATCTGCACGTTTATGCAAGTTCAATTCCATTTACCAACACATTGCCTCACCATATTTTTTGCCATATAACTAAGCAGTATACTACATACTTAAATTTATTAGAACAGCATTTACTTATTATTATTACATTTAATTCACTTTAATATGTGAATTCGATTATCTGAAAACTGAACGTTTGACTTCTGGGAACGTGGGAAATGTAGTCCATGGTAGTGTATGTAAGGATTGGAAGGAGAATGACTCATGCATTAACATTGCCTTTGTCATTATGAATTATATATATATATATATATATATAATTAACATTGTCATGGTTTTACTACAAATGTCATGGTTAAAGGTTGGTCACTGTATACCATGGTGGAACTATGGAACTATATGGTTAGTCTATAACTATAAGGACAATATGGTTACTTTTCTTAAGGTCTGTTTTTGTCTTGTCGATGTAAGCCTGTAAATGTATGTTTTTGTTGAGAATTTGCATTTGGCATAAGGTTAGATTGTAGATTTAAATTTTATGACATGAATTTTTTTTATGGTTGTTTTGCATCGACTTTGCAAAACCGCTTAAGTTTAACTTTGCATTGCAAATTTGATTGCGCAATCAACCTGAGTACCAAAATTTTTGTTAGATCTTAAAAGTCTGATTTGCTTGTTTTTTTTAATATAGCTGAAGGGTTTACTTGACCTTGTGTTAACCCCACTCCAACAGTCTGTTTACAAACTGCAATAACTGACTGATAAACATGTTTTTGGCACATTATTGACAGCAGAGGGCTTTCTTGACATTTTTAGCATGGATTGAACTCAGGCCGTTTCCATTTATGTTTAGTTATCAATTCATGGTGTCTATTCAGTATTTGATATACAACTCATTTGTGCAAACTTGAAAACATTCGAGTTTAAAATATGAACCAATGATATTTTCATAAAAATTGCCTAAAGAAAATACCATGATTTCATTTTTAGCTTATTTTATTGCTTGTTTTGTCTTACTCAAAATATATTAAATCATATTTCCCCAAGGCTTTTTTATACCTAACCTGTTTTTATTATGAAACCGGTTATATAATTTATTATTTAGGATTTTCTCTTTCTTCTAATACACTATAAAATTGACTAATTTTACTTATTAGTTTCATTTTGTGTCGTGATAGTTTAAAATAAAAATGTAAAATTTACTGTTATGTTTTTATAAAGACTATATGTTTTGAGAATGTGATAAGATTATAGCTTTTCTTGATTTTTCATAACATGACTTCACATGAGTTTCATAGGATGTGGTTTGAAAGTGAGAGACGAGGGAAATGCCAGCGATCGAGATGCTTTTCATGCACAGCGACACTTTCCAACTAAGTTACTGAGTCAAAGTGAGATGTTCTGTAGTCTTATCTAAGGCTATTGAATGTATAGGGTACATGCATAGATTGTGTGTGTGGGTGGATTTGTGGGTAAGAAGGTGCAGGGCAGATTGTCCCTCAACTTTAACAACAAGCCTACGAGTAAATAGCCTTACTGCAAACTAATGTTGAAAATATAAATACAACAATGTTTATAGGAGTCAAATCGGCTTTGCTGGTCATGATCTTCATCTTTCACATGGAATGAACTACACATTGTTTTTTACTCCATTCATTGCACTGCGCCTCGTGTTTTGTTTTTTTCTGAATCTCCCACTCGATTTTAGCAAATCAGCCAAAGAAGTTGAAAAACGGCTAGCTTGAAAAAGCCCCAAAATATGGAAATGCCCTGTGTATAGTAAGCCCGGCATTTCAATTGGTTTTGGTTAGTCATCATTTTGTGATTGACAAAAGCCGTTAGACTGCCTGGGCAAACTGGGCAGCCTAAAATGTCATTCTTTAGACCGTCACCAAACAACAAACTGAGCCGTGTTTAATGGAGACCATCAGATTAGTAATAAAAGGTAGTGGGTAGGGAATCTATTGTAAACACTTTTTGTTATACAGGTTTAAACTCCTGTTACCAATCAATAATAGAAGTTGTGTGTAAATAAAAAACATGTGCATACATTCTTTGTGGAAGTCTCAGGACCAAAAAATGCAATGACAGGATGTCCTGCCTTCCTGTCAACGGATGTATTTAACTACCTCCGTGCACCCATTATTATTGTAATGTTATGTTGTTTGAGACATGATGCAATTGAATTTAACGCAATTTTGTCTCTGGTCTCGTGACACTTTGCAAACTCTGCTTGTGACTGGAGATATTTTGAAGGGAGGGTGGGATCAAATGTTTTCAATCCTAAATTGTGAAGGGTTGGATTCTGGAATACTCTGCTGCTTCAATGTATATCTTTTGTGGTTGTTAAGTTATTAATCAATTTTTCATCTTTCTAAATATTTAATGACTTCCAAGTTTATGAGATTTTTTGTAGTCTGCTTAATGAAATGTGTGCTCTCCATATTTTTTTGAGAGCACACAATTGGCCTCTCGCTGGCCCATCCCCCAAAACGGCCATTGTCCAATCACACATCATAGCAACCGTTACTATGTGAGCAGGTCCGTCAAACCGACTCCAAGCAAAATGGTGAAGTGGTGCGCCCACGGCGTTTGTAAATCGGACACTTGGTACCCCGAGAGATTGTCTGGAGGAGTTGTGTTCCGAAGCCGAAAACACAACGTGAGCGGTGCCTATAATGATAATATAATAAAATAAAAGTTATCTATTTAATTTTATTATATTATTTGTTATGCACCTTTTTAAGCCAAAGCATTTTCCTATTTGTGAATCTCTGTCAACAATGGAAATAAAACATTTTGATTCTCAAAACGGCTATTCTCAAAACAACAGAGAAACGTTAGTTTGCATGACATATAGGTTTAGCTAGCTAACCAGTGTTGGGAAAGTTCACTTTCTACATGAACTAGTTCAAAGTTCAGTTCACACATTTTAAAATGAACTAGTTCAGTTCATAGTTCATACTTCAAAAAATGAACTGGTTCATTTATAGTTCTTTTTTTCCATATGTTGCGAGCTCTTTTTTATTATTATTATTGCCGCAGCCCATATACAACCACAGACAGCAATTATTTTATCGACGGGCAGTTTGCACAGAAACGGGCAGTTTACACAGAAATGTAAGATTTTTCCCATGATCCTCACCGTCCTCGTCATAAAATCTGTTTAAAATTTAATGGGCACTATTTGAACGATCTGAAACGCAAGTGTCAAAGCGCATGGCGCAAGTAACGTTGTGGGCGGATCCTGGCGCTGTTGCTATTTTCCCGGCCGGCAGGATAAATCATTGATCCTGGCGCGAATCTAAAAGGGGTTGGTCTGAAATAGCTTCATTATTCATAGGTGTGGTTTGGGCGTAACGTGAAATAAACCAATCAGAGCGCCATCCAACATGCCCTTTAAGAGCAGGTGCGCATGTTGCATAACGGATTGTTATTATAACGGCCAGGTGTGTGCCAGGAGCGTTCACAGCCGAGGAGACCGGTGTTCCTGTCAGGGCAGTGAAAGACAGACATTGTATGGGGATGGGAAAAACCCTCCCACATCAGCGTCGGTTAAACATTATATATTATGTAACATGTTTCTTGCCACTATTGGGCAAACAAGTCTGATCCTTCAGTAGCCTTACTAGCCTACTACAATTAGCCTTAAAAAAATGGGTAATTAGGTTTTTCATCTTCATGTAAACCACAATGATTTCCCTGTGTTAATATTTTTCCTTGTTATAATGTATTATTTGCAAAAATAAAAACGGCTGCATCTGTGTGGATGAGAGAATCAGTGTATGCGCGTTGTGCACCCGCTACATTATGGCCAAGCATGTGTGCTTAAAATAGCATTATGAACAACGTGCAACGCACCACTGACTTTAGACCAAGGTTTTTCTGGTCAGTGGCGCAATTGTTTTCTGGAAGTGTAAAATAGCACCAGGGGGAGCGCAAGTTCATTACCTAGTTTACCCTTTGGAGGGAAAAAGTCTGCTTTTAGCGCGTGCAAAATAGGAATGAGACGTCACTTGCGCCGGGTGCAATAGAGCCTATATGTCTGATTCACTGAGAACTTGAGATGGTCCTCACTGCGGAACATGAAATTGTCGGGCGTCTTTTCTGAACTTTGCTACTCCTCCCCCACTGATGACTCTCGCATTTCAGGCAAAGCTCATCTCAAAAGAACCTATTTTTCGGATCTTACACTGAATGGAGTAACTCTGACCTAGGCCAAACTACAGGGTCCGTAATCATTTTTATCATCGCTCTTCCACAACATTTCCAACGGGTTTCAGCGGAATTTATTCAGCTCTGAATTATTTTTAGCACAATTGAGTCCCTCGAAGTATGAGTCTGCATCTTTCTTCTTTTCCATCAGAAAAGCCAACCTCTTTTCTAGCAGTCTATGGAAAAGACGTAGAAAACTAGAATATTGTTGCATAATGTTGCGTTTTTTGCTAACAAACAGTTTGAGCTGTTAAAGAAGATGGTTTGCACATCTTTATTTTTTTGCTCATGGCTTTTAGGAGGTAAGTTTTTGCAGTTTTATATGTGAAACAGTGAAATAGCCTAAAGAGCCTTGATGACAAACATGTCTGTTGTTGTCCATTAGTGTGCTTTTAATTGATCTGATATGGTACATTACACGTTTAATTCTCAACTAGGCCCATAGCAAATAGCAAATAAAAAATAGTTTACCAAATAAATAATTTACCAAATAAAATAAAAATAAAACAAGGTGACATACTTTTCATTTCTATAGTGTTTTTGGTTTATTTATTATACAAAGCGATTTTTGTCGATTTTTTTTTTTTTGAGGATAACTATATAAATAACTATATCGTGAAATATATCGTTACCGTGAAATAAAATAAGTCATATCGTGAAACACAATTTTGGTCATATCGCCCACCCCTAGTTGCAAATGTATTTGGCTAATTATTTTCCTTACAAATATAATATATTTGTATCCCAAAATGCGAACTAAAATGTCCTCTAAAACATTTGATAATATGCTTTAAAGATTTATTTAATACAAGTAAACAACAAAATCTGAACTGGAAAGTTTGAATTTAGTTTTAAGTTATCTGTACTTTAAACATTAAAGTTAATTTTTATAAATTTAAAAATAAAATTTTAATAACCACATTAGCTCAACTTAAAGCTGCAGTCTGTAGTTTTTCCTCTTTGTCGCCCATTCCTCTAGTTTTTCCTATCATCAGCTTTACACGAGTTTATCGTGGATTAATCCAATGTTTTGAGGAGAATGTGCAGCTGTCAGCGCGCCGGTATGGAAACACTCTTTATTTACAGTCTATGATGGATACTGTCATTCGCAATCACAGATTCTACTTTTTGGAAGTATGACCAACATAAATTTCACGTGGCTACATTAAATGCCCTTCAGATATTTATCCTTGTTTTCGCATGGGCCGGTTGCAGTCTCTTGTTCCAAACTCTCAGTCCAACATCGGGTGAATCTCCAGCTGTCACTGTGATTGTTGTTTGAACCTTTCGGGATCCGCCATCAAATTGATAAGTTTAATTATATCATGTGCTGTGAGAAAAGGCTATAAATTCTCCAAAATCCTCGCTTGCAATATTTCCTACTAGCCGGGACTCTTCTTTATGTGTCCAGATGTGACGTAAAGATATGCTCAAATTTTCCTGCGGAAATCCACCAGTACCACTAGAATTAAAAACATTGTTACAAGCTTACCGCTTTGAATCAAGCTAAGGCAAGCAGATCGTTTTGAACACATGGCTGGATATGTACTTGCTCAATTTATTTTGGATACTTTTTAACCCCCAAAAAGCCATGGACTGCAGCTTTAATTAAATGGAGTTGTCAATTTCCCCAATGCACAGTTGAACTAGAGAATCACTTTCTTCAAATCATTTGAGTAGTCTTAAAGGGATACTCCACTTTTTTTGGAAATAGGCTCATTTGACAACTCCCCCAGAGTTAAAAAGTTTAGTTTTACCGTTTTCGAATCCATTCAGCCGATTTTCTGTTATTTAGAAGAATATCACTAACCAGATAGTTTCTGGTCTCATTGACTTCCATAGTATATTTTTTTCCTACTATGGAAGTCAATGAGACCAGAAACTGTCTGGTTACTGATATTCTTCTAAATATCAGAAAATCGGCTGAATGGATTTGAAAACGGTAAAACTCAACTGTTTAACTCTGGGGGAGTTGTAAAATGAGCCTATTTCCAAAAAAAGTGGAGTATCCCTTTAACTTATTAGGGTTCACAGTGTATCATTGTATTATTAATGTACTTTTTTAGCTGTTTCATTAAACTGTTCAAGTCTTTTGCAGTTTTAAAGTTGACACAGCAGCAACTACATTCAAATACTGTAGCCAGCTCAACAGCAAATGGTAAGATGATCTAAGATGACCTTATTTCTTCAGGGTGCAGCTTATTAGTGTAGACCGTAATGTCCTTGTGAAGCTTTATGCTTTTTTGTTGTTGTTGTATCTTTAGCTTTTATGTACGTTGTTTAAAATATATAGTTTAAGAAATTATAGTGGTTTTATTTTGTCATTCTCCAAATAAACTATCCGATATCTGAGGTGATAATCTAATCTTGTGCTGACTGTTTTGTTCCAGGTGTGTCTGGTGTTTATACAGATGAAACTGAGACGATATCAGTAATGGAGGGAGATTCTGTCACTTTACACACTGGTGTCACTGAAATACAGAGAGATGAACAGATACTGTGGACATTTAGACATCAAAAGTCAGAGACTCGTATCGCTGAAATCTATAAACAGATCATCTCTATATATGATAGTGTTGATAATGAGAGATTCAGAGGCAGATTACAGATAGATGAGAAAACAGGATCTCTGAACATCACAAATATCAACACATTACACTCTGGACTTTATAAACTACAGGTCATCAGTGAAAAGGTCAAACACATGAGCTTCAATATTGCTGTCTATGGTGAGTAAATCATGAATCATGAGAATCTTTACAAACATCTTAATGAGTCATTCTTCCTAAAAAAAATGTCTTTATCTTTTAGCGCTTTTAACTGTTCCTGTCATCAGTGATTCGCTGCAAAAACCTTCAGTATCAGAAAAATCATCTAGTCAGAATTGTTCACTGGTGTGTTCAGCTGAAAATGTGAGTGATGTGACTCTCTCCTGGTATAAAGGAATCAGTGTATTGTCCAACATCAGTGTGTCTGATCTCAGCATCAGTCTCTCTCTACCTCTGGAGATTCAGTGTCTGGATGATTCATACAGCTGTGTAGTGTCTTATTCATTCACCAACCGAACTACACACCTCAACATCACTGATCTCTGTCAGGCGTGTCCAGGTTTGTCAACATTTAACACACTCTGCATCTTGAACACATATTCATGCATTTTACTGATCACACCAGGCACTTAATTGGCGTTTTTCTCATTACAAAACATACATTTGATGGATATATTCTTATGGTCACAACCACGTTTAATCATTTCTGCTCGGATATTTTTAGGTTTTTCTATTTTTGTCATTTCTGAGTTTGAATTTCCTGTGTAACATAATTTAGTTATGTTAATTTGTTTCCATGGTGTCTAGTGCTGATTTGTTTCCATAGTTACCCATTGTTTTCACCTGTGTCCAGTTAAGTTATTTGTCCCATAGATATGTATATAAAGGCTAGATGTGTTACGGCGGAATTTCCGTCATAATCACCGGGGGCCATCTTGTCACAGACAGGCTTTCTGGCGGCTCTGTTGTATCTGATGTAAGAAATACTCTTATCTCGTTGAAATCTTGACGGATTTACAAACGGTTTGGTTTCTTACAAACGTTATTAACGTGGCTATAATTCTGGATGATTATTCATAAGTATGCAGTATCATAACTACATCTCTGTCGTTTATAACAAACCAGACTGTTTGAAAATCGGTAGAAAATTGAGCAAGTTACGGTGATTTAAAAAGTACATGCACCATTAAAACAATGTTACCAATGAGCGAGCTGCCTGTGACAAGATGGCCGCCTGGTGCTGACGTCGACCTCCATTGGCCAGCAGCGCGGACACACATCAAGCCTTTATATACATATCTATGATTTGTCCCCCTTGTGTATTTATACTCCTCATTACAGTAATGGCTGTTGTTGTCTTTTGCATTGCAGAAGCCAGACAACATGTATTTATCACGCTGATAATGGTTGGTTTGGTGGTCGTGATCATAGCGGGGGTTGTGTTGATGTATTGTTGCTGTAAAAACAACAAACAAGCGAAACGAAAAGGCAAGTATTAGCGACTTGTTGCAATCTATCTTTTTTGCGGAAGTAGTGCCAACAAATTTCAAAATTTCTGAATTGATTATTAAACAGCTCAGACAACCGAGGAAGAGGTCGTTTATACTGATACGACGTTTACCACGCAGAGAGCTTTAGATGCGGTAAGATATGTTTGTTATTTACCTAAATCTCGATTTTATCGATATTGTTTGTTTGCACATCTGCTTGTGCATGGCTGCTCTTTATATGCTTGATGTTGCATGATTTAACACTCAGACGACATGAATAATTGTTCTTATTTTGTTGATGCTTGTGGATAGGTGGTTCAATTTATTTTTTACCATGTTTAAACATGATTTGCGTTCTCACATCACCCTCATGATATGCTGATGGTTGTGCATTACGCGTGACTCGGCTTCAGGCCAGTTCTTCTGTGGATTCTGTGCATGTTCCTACATGATAATGAAGCTTACATTTAGATGTACGATTCTCTAATATATTTAGTTTCCCATTTTAACAGCCTTTGTGGAACATATGTGGTGCAACATTTCCTTAATAGCTGATATTATTTTGTGAATTAGTTCTTTGAGTATGTATAGTAGTTTCATCTCTCTCTCTACCTCTCTCTCTCTCGAATTTCTTTCTTTTCTTTCAGGAGACTAATAGACGGGATGAGACCGAGTATTCAAGAGTTGTTTTGAGATGATAACCAACCACACAGTCTGTTATTGTACAGCTCTGTTATTAAATGATAGACAGAGCATGTTGGAGCACACCTGGCAATGCTTCATTACTCATTCATGTCTAGACGTGAGTAGAGCTGGTTTGCGTGCCTAGTAGTTAGTATTATTATACAGCCATCATAATACTACCCTATTCCATGAGTCAGAGATAAAGAGAAAGAAGTCGACTCAGAAAACATCTATGTTTTCACCTATGGTAGTAAGTAATGAGAGCAACATGCATTTAATGACCCGTTGAATGTGTGTGTAAAGCCAAGGCCTCCCTCTACTGACTGTAAGTGATACTTACAAGAATCACTATGATGGATTTTGCTGGTTATCATGGATAAGTAATCAAGTTAGTCTCTGCTTGTTCTGTACATAACTGTAACTGCACAAGATGAGGAGCAAAAGCAAGATCTAAGGAAAAATTTCTTATAATGTTAATCTGAGATGATTTTGTTTATTGTCATGTCAGTGAATATGGTACTTTTGCAAAGAGTCATTTTTGTAAAGAGTCATGTCATTAAGTGATGTTAAATAGTGGGTTGATGTAATGTCATGCGAAAGTGTTGATTTTTATAAAAGCATTCAGTGTACATTACTAGTACTTTATAATGATGTTGTAATCATTGCTGTGTTTTGCTTATTTGCTGAGAAATAAATATTTCTAAACTTTTACTCTGTACTGATTGTGTTTGTCTCCACTAAACTTGTAAGTATGAAGTTGAACGAGATGAGATGGATAACACAGTGCCTTCATCTATTCTAGTGCATGCAAGACTATCTGTAGGCATAATAATTAATTCTATTCAATGTGAATTCCAGCATCGGGCATTATTTTCGGTTATGTGATCCTGTTGTTTCTATGTTAACTTGACAGTGGGATAAAGATGTTGATTTAACAAAAAACACTGAATAACCTTGAAATCTCGTCTGTGTTAAAATACATTCTAATATGTATTATTTTAAACCAATAAAAACAGAAAAGTATCTGTTGTCTTACCAGTTTTTTCCACTTCACGCTTCATGCTGTGACGCTAACAGTTGCGGTAAAACGTTTGGTGTGTTTTTTAGGTCAGTGTAACCGTTTACTCGACAAACCTTTCTGTCTTATTAGACGTTTGCAGTTGTTCAGTGTGTTTTACTTTGTTCTGGATTTAGAAGGATTTTACATTTTACAAGGATTTTAATTTTCCTTTAGAAAGTGGAGTGTGTGGTTGTTGGATATTTCTTGAATTTCTGTTTATCACATCACAGCACAATGAGGAGTGTGTTGCTTTCAGAGACATTTTGAATATGTTGTCAAACGCTGCCATCTTCTTTCTTCTTTTATGTGTGTGTGTCACAAATTGTAAGTGGATTTCATTTAATTTGATGTATTTGTGGATTTCAACTATGTTGTGTTTGAGTCGTTTAATTTAAGTTAAACTATTTTAATTCAAACTGCACTCTTTATATATTTTTATACATGTAGTTTCAGGTGTGTTTGGTGATTCAGATGAAGTGAAGTCAGTGTCAGTGACTGAGGGAGATTCTGTCTCTCTAAACACTGATGTTCAAGTACAGATAGGAGATCAGATACTGTGGACGTTTGGACCTCAAAACACAAAAATAGCTGAAATCATTAGAAGAGACCAAATTAACCTTATAACTATCATTAATGATGGAATATTCAGTTACATACTCCAGATGGACAATCATACTGGATCTCTGATCATCAGAAACATCAGATCTGATCACACTGGACTTTATGAACTGACCATCATCAGCAGCAGAAAAACACTGAAGAGATTCAATGTTACTGTCTATGGTGAGTAAATGCTATGAATCACATCACAAATGCTTTGATTGCTAATTATTATTATTTAATTATATATGCTGAACTCAAGTGCGCTGAATAATAGTTTCCTTAAAAGGATAGATCACTTTGAAATTAATTTTTGACAAGTTTTAGCTTACCTCAATGGCATCCAAGAAGTAGGTGTCTTTGTTTCCACAGCATTTTCAATTTTGACATCTGTTGGTCAAACCGTTGTTGTCTGTCAGTCATACACTGGAGGTGAAGGGGGTCCTCAATCGGTTCACCTCAAAGAGCATGCACAGAGAAGTCAAAATTAAACATGATTTAATGACTCGTAAATTTAAGTAGGCTACACATAGATGGCCTAACACGAAGCAGTTTGAGTGAGAAAACGAACAGTTTTTATATCGTTTTTACCTCTTGTTAACAGCCGTCGAACTGGAAATCGGGAAATGGAAGACGATTTCGATATATCTAAATATGTTTGGTGAAAGGTAAAACTTTCGAAATCTCCGTGTAAACAATGCCGCGCGCAAGATCACTTCCGGCGTAACGTCTGGAGACGGTTCAGTTCGGTTCAGTTGGAGTAAAAATTCATTTCAAAGTGAACTATCCCTTTAATGCAGAATTCTAATGATAATACAAATGCCCAAAATTGCAGTGAAATTACCTACAAATTGTTGAAATAATTATGCTGTTCAACTGTTTGACCAGTATCTTAGTTTAGGTGCAGAAGTTTCTTTTTTCCTAGCCTTGCATTCACATTTTGGGATTGTTTTTAATTAGCCTTGCAAGAAAACATCTGTATCATGTTATATTATTATTTTTGATAATAATACTGAGATAAAAAAAATTCATGTTCTTTCATGTTTTCCAGCTCCTCTACCCATTCTTGACATTTCCAGTCACTCTTCAGACTGTTCATCATCCTCATCATCATCAAGATCAACAGTGTCCAGATGTTCACTGGTGTGTTCAGTGTTGAATGTGAGTCATGTGACTCTCTCCTGGTATAAAGGAATGAGTGTATTGTCCAGCATCAGTGCGTCTGATCTCAGCATCAGTCTCTCTCTACCTCTGGATGTGGAATATCAGGATAAAAACACTTACAGCTGTGTGATCAACAATCCTGCCAGAAACCAGACCACACATCTGGACATCAACACACTCTGTCACAAATGTCCAGGTACGCCAGCGCTCACATTAGGCCTACTGATCTGTTCCTCCATGGACTGATATTTTCTATTTATAGACTGATGTATTTTTGTTGCCTGAATTCGTAACAGAAAGACTGAAAGTTTTTCTCTATATATTCATTACAGAACAGAGCCATCGTTCATATTTTACTCTGATAATAATCAGTGTGTGTCTGTTGTTGGTGTTCATGTCTGCTGTTATACTCATATACTGTTGCTCCAGGACATTCAGTCGAGCGCAACAAAAAGGCAAGTATTCGCCATATGGCATTATACTCATATTATATTAATAGACATTTAGTTATTGAATATATAACATTAAATAATAAGAAACATTTCATTGAATCAATAAAACGGGTTATGTGTATATAAATGCATACAATTCTTGGATTTTTGGTGGGAAAACAGAAGAATTTATCAGAAGTTCTCAACATCTCGACGCTCATCTGTCATGTAAACTCATGCCATGTGATCATGCTCCACTAGATGGCAGGGAACCACAGAACACACTGATGTTAAAGCTGCACTAAAACTTTTCCTTTGTGTTTTGTTCCCCTGTTAGGTTAAGTTTATATTTTAGTATAAACTTATAAACAGGAAATTGCATACAAACGTCTCTCACCTACGCGGGTCCCATCAAATCTGTAAATAGAGTAAAGTTGCTCCGGCTACTTTGACGTGTGTATAGTGTGTGAGTGGAAGAGGTTAGTTGTCACAATGAAAAAGGTTGACGTTGAGCCGGTAGATCTCAAACCTCTGAGAAATCACCCGTTTTAAGCGAACAGCACACATAGGAGAGTCTGTTGGCAGATGAGGAGATGATGGTGTTTTTATAACTCAACTGTAATTTCCGCTCGTGTGTTTGTGTTTGCAGATCTGACCTTCACAGAACAGCAAAGCATGTCAGAATACACACAGATCATCTACTGTGTTCAGATGAGAGATCTGCCACAGGTCAGCAAACACTTTATCTGGTTTTACTTTAAATATTTAATGAATATGACGGTCTGAAGACCTACTTCCAGTCTGCACTGAAGTTTATCTGTTTGTAATGGTTTCTTCTTTATAGATATCCTTACTGAGTGAGGACAGAACAGTGACAGCTGTGAACTATCCAGAGATCATCAAGATGAAGAATAAGCATTGTAAGATGACCTGAGTCTTGTGATCATCTTGCACCTGTAGGGGTTTAGAGTTTAAAGAAATAATGCTGAATAGAGTTTGATAGGTGCTTTCCACCATCGACAGCTGTTTTTTCCGCAAGCTGAAAGCTCCATTGAGGTGTGCGACAGCTGCTCTGCCCTCTGGACTTTGTTCTTTTTTGTAGAGTCAGTTTGTGCATTGTTTTGGAAATAAATCCCCCTTCATTTCTGTTGATTATATGTCACCATGAGACACAGATGGTGATGTTTTGTGTGTGGGTGGATTCCAGCTTGTAAATAAACTCCAGGTGCGGTATATCACTTTTCTGACCTGACAGTTTGTCTTGTGGGAAGGAACAAGACAAGGGTGATTCAATGCAGGCACAATGAGAAGATGTTATTTAATCTCTTCTAGAATATTCATTTGACAGAAATAGTCCAAGCCTTGCGGGAGGATGACGTTAGCAGCAGATTCTTGGAGCCACCGTGGATCGAACTTGCCAGTCCAGGACACCCCACAGTTGATCAGTGGGATTGTCAAAGTAGCTCAGATCTTCCTTTCTGCCCATTTCTCCTGCATCCAAAACATTGATAACCAGACCTGATTGTTTGTTTACCATCTGATCTACCCAGACCTTTATTGTTAGCAGATGATCAATGACATTCGCTTCATAATGTCCTTTGTATGTTTGGAATGGGGTATGTGTGCTAATTCTGTGAATGTGATTTCACCAAGCAGCATGTTGCTGGATGAACATTTTTGTTGATTCTTGATCAACATTACTATCAATCAATCAATAGGGGATTATCACGCTGATATGTAGAACTTCCGGATTCAGTGATATTTGTGCACTGCCACTTCCGTTGAATCACCGATCTCACTGGCGAACTGATGACGGACTACACTAAGTTTATTTATAAGGCATCCCAGGTAAATTAGTCTGATTCACTAAAGTGCCGGCTGCAAACAAATGTGCTACCTTGTTTTATTTTAGAGTTTTAATCCAGTTCTTCCTTATACTCAATTCAGTCGGGAATCCATGAAAACTTACGTAGGGTTGGCGTTGTTGGTTAGATTTACAAAGTGGAACAGAGCAGTGACATATATAGCCTTCGTCTCAGCCATTGTTGAACTGCGTCGGAAGTGGACATGCACAAAGTTGACAAATCCCGGCCATGAAACCCGGAAGCGTGATAATCCCCTATCAATCAGATTTGAGAGACATGACAAGTTTAGTCTTACAATCAGGGTTATTCTGCTTATACATCTGTTCCCATCATTTCCCTCTGATTTTATGGATAAGTTATGAGTGGGGTAAGATTTAAGGATGGGGTTTAGTGCCAATTTTAGGACCGAAATGTTATTCCAGTGTCCACAAAGTGTTAATCCAGGAACATGTCTTGGCAAAATCACAGTGACCTGCCAGTGTCCCTGAATTATATGTAAATGCATGTTCATGTAAATGCAAAAAACCAAAATTAAAAAAAAAAAAATCCATTTTTCCATTATTGAAGAAATTATTCCATTGTAAAAAATAAAACCGTAATTTTTACAGTAAAAAAGGAAGAAAAAAAACGGCAGCTGCCAGAACTTTACCGTCATAAATACGGTAGCAATGTTATTGGTTTTTATAGACTTAACTTAAAATTTACAGTAATAAACCGTATTTTATTATCTGATATAATGTTAATTTACCGACCTATTGAAGTATTGATATCTGTTTTGTACCACTGTAACACACTGACAACCAACAATCATCACAGCAGTGATGAGTCACATGATCAATCAAAGCTCATCACAAGCTTGTAAGATGAGCTGAGCCTTGGTTGTGATCATAGACTTCCCATAAGAAGGTTAAAAAAGCTGCACAGTGTCATTCACACAAACATTAAACACCATAAAAAATAAATGCATTAAACATTAACAACATTAAATGTAACATAAAACTAATGTACATAGCCTAACTGATTAGAAAAAACAAGAAAACTATGAGGAAACAGTTATTTCAACAAAAAGAAATAAAATGTGAAGTGTCACGCAGGGAATTGTGGGTATGTCAATTTACTTTTTTTCACTTTAAATTATACAATGAGTTTTTTTTCACTTTCAAAAACTGTAAATTGAATGGTATTTTACAGTAAAATTACATTAAATGTACCATGAGATCTATGGGTTTTCATTTGAATTATATATGATTTTCCTAGTCACATGCTGATTGTGTTTCTCTTGACAGTGTGGTCAGGATGTGGTTTGTCTGAGAGAGATGGAGAGATGCAGAAGCTGAAATAGAGTAGAGGGGGAACATGACTTTCTCAGAGCTGAAGTTGCAGGGTTTGTCTGTTTGTTTGACTAGAATTCGATATAGGCTCACGAATGCTTTCGTATTCATTTTAACAAATGAAGCCATTTCTTTGATTTAACAACAACTCCAGAAGAGTAGCCTATGCTGTGTTTTTTATTCAAATTGTCACAGTCATAAAAGATTTTTTGGGAACTTAGGATTTTAGAGAACTTAAATTAAAAAGGGGGAACTCCACTATCATGTTCAGAGATGAGAAATCCATCAGCAGGAAGTAATAAAGCCCTGTGATCGTCTGGTGAAGAGCATTAGAGAATCAGAGTGAAATAAAAGCTGCCATCAAGCTAATGCATTACGGGAAAGACGGATGCATTACAAAAAAATCTGCTTTTTCATAATGATAAAATGGTTAACATGTTGTTTTGAAAGTTGTGGTGTAGAAAGGCAGTGTAAAAAATGTACTACCGGTATAGAGAGTTCAAATAACCAAGCGTCAATGGAAAAAAACAGCTAAGCAGTTGATGCAGGACCAACATCGTAACCTATTATCTAGAGCTGACTGAACAGTTTTTGAGATAAACAGCAGTCTAAAATTTACTGTAAATAGTTATCACAGATTTTTTTTTTTTTTTTTACTCCAGAGGCCAGCCAGTAACAGTTTAATCCATGTTTTGAATATATTATTCTCCCTGAACATGAAGGTCTATGACATAAAGTAATGTTATGACTAAAAACAAATGCACTGTACTTAAATGCAGTAACTGTACTTGAACTTGAATCACTCGAGATTATTTCATTTTGTAAACAAATTGCTGATACTAAAATGCAGTTTGTTAACAGAAGATTTCTCAAGGGCTGAATGAAATTTGAATGTCCCCGAAAGTATTGATTTCCCTCACAATGTTTTCAAGTCATTCCCACACCTGTGATATTAAAGTTCATTGCTCTTACATCTGGAGAAACGTGTGCTTTCAGTGAGATATAAAGATAATCTGCAAGGCCTCCAATGGTCTATTTTAACTCTGAGAGGAATCAACACTGTGTTATGCACTCAGTTTCTGAGTCAGAGCGAGATCTTCTGTGGTCTGGGTTATTTAGGACGGGGTCTAAGCGTGCACTGAACCCATGTGGTCTTGTTTAGTTTTTGGTAAACGCTCTGCAGTTAAATGAACGCTTGTCTATTATGGGATGTGTGTGGTTGGTGTTTCTGCATTTGGGCAGTGGGCCACTTCTGTTCTCAGGCTCATGACCTACACATTAGTATGAGTAGAAAACATGTAATTATTTATTGCATATTTTTAACCTATTTATCTTTTTTTGCTTTTTTGCATAATTTACGATTTTCTGGTCAGTTTTATCTATATCCTCATGCTTTATGCTATACATATGAATGATAAAGATTCAGTACATGCTCAGTGGATCTCCAAAACATCAGGTGGCAGTGTTAGTACAGACATCCTGGTTCAAAATAACACACTTTCATCTTATTTTCACCTTCTATGTTTCCCTTTTTTTATACCATAACTGTAAATTATGATGATATCAATCATTTACATGCAGTGAGCAAACATTTATTTTAATGATATTCAGAATTAATCACACACCACTGTTAATTTCGATGAACATAGATAACACTTTGTGTTTGTACATTGCTCAACAGGAAATTGTGGCTGCCTACCATTACCCAATGTGTCAAAACATCTGTAGAAGTGTGAAAAGGCCAATACATAAATTTCATTCTTTTTTTCCAAATACTATCTACATAATTTCATGCAAATAAAATCAATATTGCTTTTTTTCAAAATCAATATTGGTTTTTAAAGACCCCCTGTTGAGAAAATCAAGTTTTTAATGTTTCCTATGTTGTTTTAAAATGCATTAAGACAACCCATCTCCAAATTCATGTAGCCTATTCATCCTCTTCTTCTTCTTTTAAAAACTGTTATGCATATATGAATAAAACTAATATTTCCACTTCATTGTGTAGCATTTGGTTTACCCAGTTAGGCTACTCTTAACTGGTGTGATTGAGTGGAGGGCTCATTTGCATATTCATGAATCTCATGAATAAGACATGAATAAAATATTTTCTCCAAAGGAAACAACTTTAAATATGTAATTTTGATTATTTAGGGAATAATTTTGATCATGCAATTGAGAAATTGCGACGCGAAATATCCAAATAGCGTAGAATAAGTCCCGCCTTCTAAATAAATTAGCCAATCGCCAATTTGGTACCGTTACGGTGCGCGTCCACTGGCACGGAGCGTGCGGAGCGAGCGTTTTCATTCCTATGGAAGTCGAGCTTCACGCTTGCGCATTGCATTATGGGATTGACAGCGGACCGGAGAAAGTAGGCTTGTTTGAGATGAGCAAATTCTGCGCAGAATCGATCACCGGTGATCAGCGCGAGATGCATGCCGGTTAGAAATGTGTCCGAGAACGGTCCGCCTGGCACTGATGTCATGCCGACGTATGTCAAAAAACTCTCGCGAGCGCAAGGCGGAAGGGTCGGATTCTGCAGTCGCGCGCAGTTGCTCTGGTTGCTCTCCACCGACTGCGCTGATCAAAAGCATGATGGGAAACGACTTGCTGACGACACAGCTTAATGCTCATTGGTTTAAACAACAGTGATGGAGGTAAATTCCATATTCATTAAGCTAAATTCTCCAAATCAAGGCCATGTTTTATTTATTTATTTATTTTTCAAATTGAAACTGATATATATTGTGAATCTCTTAAACGGGTTAAAAATAAGAAAGCTATAGTCAGTAACTCAAATATACTAGGCCTACTCTAAAATGTTCAAGTGAAAAATAGCTCTCATTTTATAGATGATGAAGTTTGTAAGTCTGTCTATTTAAGCTAAGCTTATTTTGATTTATTTATTTATTTTATTATTAATTTTATTCTGATGTTTATTTATTTGTCGCTGTATAATAGGCCTATTTGTTTCACGAATTGTGGGGCTTGTAGGTAGGCTATGTTTGTAACTTGCATTCTAATAAAAAAGTAAAATAAATAAAAATAAAAGAACAACAGATGAATTGTTCTCTTTTAAAATGTTTGATTTTAAAACTGATATCATGTTTTATGTGTATACATATGGGTGAATAAACTCTCTGACAGTGCCATATGGGTTATATTTCATTTTTGTTAAAACAATAGGCTATATAAAAACACGTGACGTCTGTATTAAAGAAAAAAAAAGATCGATAAACACATTGGAATGTAATTAAATAACAAGTACTTTGGGTGTCTTGTTCATTATATTTATTTTTATATAAAAGCAACAGAACTTAAATCACATCCAGTTTATTAGCAACACGTGCACGAGCGTAAATCCCGTTAATCCCGCGATATCCGCCTTTGATCTCACAGGTGTCTGATTCACTGCGAGAACCGAGATCTGTCCGGCTTTATTGCGCTTTTTTCACTCCTCCTCTTACTGCAGCCGCCTACTCTCGACTACATTGCAGGCGAGGCGAGGCGCATCTCAAACAAGCCTAGTGTGTTGACTGTTGAGAGCGACCGAAAGCGTCAAGAAGTTTGGCCAAAAGCGTCAAAAAGGTTGGCCAGTGCGAAAAATGCGGTCAGCAGCCAATTGACGTGCGGTTTGGGATGTGACGTCTATTTTGAGATTTTTAAAATAGGCTATGCAAATTGCGCCGAAGTTTATGTTGGATTTAGTGCGTAAATAATTTTGTATACAAATTAGACGCTTTGTAGTTGTTATATGTTAAATAGGCCTAATTCATTTTGGATGTGTTCATTAATGATTATAATGGCTAAACTTTATAAAATTGACGGGATATCTTTGCTTGGGGTATTTATGTAAAGCTTGTCTATTTCCGAATGTAATCTATACTGTGTGTATATGTTGAAAAAAAAAAAAAAACCCAGATTAAACACACTCGCAACAGACACACCCCAAATGACCATTTCACAAGATGTAAACAACACTGGTCCAGAAGCACTTCCTGTTTCAGTTTTTTAACACTACATAAAAGCTGGGATAAAATACAACCAACAGAACATTTAAAAATGAATCAAAAAGTTAGACAAACATCTTTAAGATGTTTTCTTTACACGTGAAATAAAGAAAACAGTTACAAACTGAAACAGGAAGTGTTTCTGGACCAGTGTTGTTTACATCTTGTGAAATGGTCTTAGCCGCACTGAGCGGATCTTTGCCGCTGTAGTGGACGCACCGTAAATTACGTCGCCATAGAAACAGTCGCTTAGGACCACAAATTAATATTGGTCCAGTCTGAAATATATACACCCTTTTAAACCCTGACCGATCATTTCTGCATTAAACCCCATCAATGGCACTGCTTCATGTCAGATTTGGTTGGACTGGATTTCTAGATTCTAGTTGAGACTGTTTTAGTGATATTGATCAAAGATGCTTTTTCGACGTGTAATTTTATGGTGAATTGAAATAGTTCTAAAATAATAACAAATAACAGTTTCACCGATAATTCACATAATAATCTCTATAAACGTTGCATTGCTGCAGCCAATGATAAGAGTAATTTCGTCATCACTTTCTCTGTGAGCACGAGCAGACAGCTCTCTATGGCAGACAGACAGACAGACAGACACACGTTCAGAGAAACAAGTTGAGTGCTTTGTTTATCCGTTTGAAAACACGTTTTCAACAGCGCCATGAGGACTTTATTTATCAGAAATCGTTCGTACATATTTTGAGGAATATGATTTTAAACACTGCTTTCATTTGTCTATGCATTCTGACCACAAATGGTAAGTCGGATTTAATCTCATGCAAAGCGCGGTCATGACTGGAACCGTCTAACAACAAATGCAAATACGTGCAAATACATTTCTACTTTCTGAATGCGTTGTCACTCAAGCTTTTTTTGGTTTCAGGTAGAAACACCTAATTTAACTTTTCAACTTAATTTAATAAGTTATTATTTATTATTATTATTTATTTTAAATGAACAAATAATGTATTTGTTTCTTTGTTATGACAAAGAAAATTCATTTGTTTGAATCAGTTTCAGGTGTGTTTGGTGATACGGATGAAGTGAAGTCAGTGTCAGTGATTGAGGGAGATTCTGTCTCTTTAAACACTGATGTTCAAGTACAGATAGGAGATCTGATACTGTGGACGTTTGGACCTCAAAACACAAAAATGGCTGAAATCATTAGAAGAGAGCAAATGAACTATATATTTGTCAGTAATGATGGAATATTCAGAGACAGACTCCAGATGGACAATCAAACTGGATCTCTGATCATCAGAAACATCAGATCTGAACACACTGGACTTTATGAACTGACCGTCATCAGCAGCAGAAAAACACTGAAGAGATTCAATGTTACTGTCTATGGTGAGTAAACGCTATGAGTCATATCACAAATTCTATAATTTCTGATATGAAAAATAATAATTCAAATGCACAAAATTGCTGCCAAAATTACCTACAAATTGTTTAAATAATAAGATATAATATGCACGATAGCTGCATATTATTGATTTTTGATAATTCTAATATAAAGCTTTCATAACATAAAAAAAACAAACAAAACAAAAATCAAAACTTGCACCTTGGAACATATTTCACAGTTTGTGTTTTCGAGCCACCCAACCCTGCTGTCATGTAAATGAACGGCCAGAACACATTAAAGTTTTCTGGAAAAAAATGGTGTAAGCAGCCCCTAATGATCTTTACAATGGAAATAAATCGATCAAAACTAACTTTAGCTGGACAGTTTCTGTTATCAATGTAAAGCTGATTTGAAACTATCTGTATTGTTAAAGCACTATATAAATAAAGGTGACTTGACTTCATGTTCTTTCATGTTTTCAAGCTCCTCTACCCATTCTTGACATTTCCAGTCACTCTTTTAACTGTTCATCATCATCATCCTCATCAAGATCATCAGAGTCCAGATGTTCACTGGTGTGTTCAGTGTTGAATGTGAGTGATGTGACTCTCTCCTGGTATAAAGGAATGAGTGTATTGTCCAGCATCAGTGCGTCTGATCTCAGCATCAGTCTCTCTCTACCTCTGGATGTGGAATATCAGGATAAAAACACTTACAGCTGTGTGATCAACAATCCTGTCAGAAACCAGACCACACTTCTGGACATCACTCAACTCTGTCAACCATGTGCAGGTACGTCAGCACTGAGATTACAGTCTTCTGATCTGTATGGATTGGATTATGTTGTAGGTTCATCTTTGTGAGCTATAACCTCAACACAATATCAGTATATTTGATTATGGATTTCATATTAGGTTTTACATTACTTTAATCACCTGGGGCCAGTTGCATAAACATATTATGTTAACACAGTGTCTCGAGGATGAGCCACTAGCAGTTAGTCAAGGGGCAGGCAATCTTACTTTTTGGTATCAAATTAGGCCAATCTATATTTTTATGTAATATACTTAAAACGGTTATGAACTGTCAGACAGTTTAAGAAAACAATTTGATGACTAACTTGTAAGACTAGTCTGAGCAGTTTATAACCAGCCCGTGGGTTTAAAACTCTGAACAGGCTGGCCAGCATCATGTCAAGCTGAATAGTTAAAGGTGCTATATGTATTTTTTAGCGGCCTCTATCGGTGATGTTTCAGATTGCAACCAATTTTTGCGCGGGCTCGAACACAAGAGCGATCACTCATGGTACACGGCCACACTGAGACTTTACACACACCGGAGAAAGCATCACACAACATGCTGGAAACTCATGTAAACTACCACTGCAACGTTACAATAATAGGACACTTTTATCAGCTTGACTGAACTAATGCCCCATGCTCGTATGATAACGGTACATTTGTGGTGTTATCTAGCATAAGGCATTTCACTAATTATTCGTGTATCTTTCACAATTAGCAATGTCAACATCGGTGAGTGTATAATATGATAACGAAAGCGGTTAGTGAACTAGACTGAACAGTTTCAGTGTATCAGTAAGATCGTAGGAAGTAACATTACTCTACTGAACGTGTCTGGAAATGTGTATTATAAACAATAGGATAGTAGTGGGATGAGTGACGTCAGACTGTAGATCTAGTACATAAAATAAAAGTTGCATCCTAAAGGTGCATTTTGTTATCCTGGAACAGTCTTTTGTACTTCATGTCTCATATATGTTGTAGTTTACCTTTCTATTTCATTACAGTTTACCATTATTTCAGCATATCTGAAAACTTTTAATTTATCACAATAAAAGTAGCGGAGGTCTCTCCATTATTCAAACGCTCAGCCGATGTTGATCCGTGTTTTCGTCCTAAGTCGATCTGATTCACGTTTGGCCTGATGAGCTTCAGCAGATACATTTTTTTTTAAGTGGAGTGTGTGTTGGAGTGTGTGTTGTGCTGGAGACAGGAGTGTTTTGGTGTTCTCATGTCGTTCGCTGCAGTGCCGTCTCAGATAGTGTATAGACCTTATGCACCAGAGAAACGTGGGCGCCATCATCTTTAGAATATTGTCTTTGATCTTCCGGTTTTTGCGGTCGCTCTGTATATTTCTATGGCATCGCTGTCGAGGAGTAATTAGCTGGTGAAGTGGATTTACTTAGTGTAGAGTTAACAAAAGTTATCATGAGTATTGTAATGTTTATCTTAAGCATTGTAATGCAGATGTCTTAACAAATGTCGACCGGGAAATTCTTTACGAGCAGTTCATTCATACCTATGCAAGATCGCTGTGGAAAAACAGACCGAAAGTCAAAAGACAACGAGCGCAGAGCTGAAAAGGGGCGGTGCTACATAAGGTCTATATAAAGGAGAGAGGCTCGGGAGCGCGAATGCATGTCAGATCTGATGGATTTCGTAGAAAATCGACCCGAAGACTTCACATAGAAATGGGAATACTGGCTTTCAGAGGTAATAGCAAAACCAGACAAGTGTGATTACAACCCCTTCACGCACAGGCAATAAAAAAGGATTCATTTTAGAAGGAAAGGTTACATTTAGCACCTTTAACTATTTTTAAGAGGTTCTCCAGTTGTGTAATATTAAATGATCTCCCCTGATCTTCTGTATTCTGTCTCGTGTTTGACTGGCAGGACTAACATATACAACATACTGTTTTCTGTTTGTTCATTACAGAACAGAGTCAACGTTCATATTTTATATCAGTGGTAGTTGGTGTATTGGTATTTCTGGCCATAATTGCAGTTTCTGTAGTGATTGTGTTCTGGCACATCAAGAACCGTAAACCATCATCAACACTAAGTGGTAAGTCTTACTGCAGTTTGTGTATCACCATTTCAGGTTCATGTATAATTGTTATAGTTCAAATGTGATTATTGTTAAAACAGTTGAAACTGAAGAAATACAATATGCTACAACAACATTCTGTGCTCGTCATTTACAGATTACGGTAAGATACGGTGTTGCTGTGTGCGCTGTTGTGTTTCGCTGCCTCTCTGTAAAGCTCCGCTCCAGTGCATTAATGGATCATTCACAAATGAAATCTCAGTGCCTGTCTGTGCTTGCTTGTTTCTTATCATAGCCTAAGCAAATATGTGCTTTGGATTTAATGCTAGTGATTCATTTAAAGACTTAACCTGAATCAGGACACACCCCTTTCTGCTTAACTGGGTTTGGTTATTTCAGTTACACCTACTGTATTACAGGTGTGCAAATCTTCACAAATCTAACTGAAAAGATATAGATTAGAAAGACAAATTGTTCAAAAGCAACAGACTGAAAAGATGGCAGTTTGTCAGTTAAGAAACCTGTTTTTCTTGTGATTAACGAATCAGACAGAAAAAAAGCCAAAAATATCTGAATATTTGAATAATCATGATGAAGTGTGTCTATAGGTTTTTGCATTGTTGTAAATTTCCCTGGAAGTTACTGTGATGTTACATCAAACACCTGCTGCTCGCACTTGCCAAACAAAGAGAGATGGGTGCTACTGGACAAACACACAGAACAGTTTCCTTCACTGTTTATATTTACCAGCAGATAGATGTTTAGTGAACATCTGAAAGGACACAATGATTGTAAACACTGTTATCTAACAGAAATCTAATATTATCAAGCTTACCGTTAACTGATATTGAAATTACTCCCTTGGATTGAACACAAAGAGGAAGACTTTATTGCTGTTGTCTTTTGCTGCTTTACTGTATCATGTCTAAAATCTTGTGATTTGTGAGTTTCTTTGAATGTTCGTAGTGTGCATACACTTGCATGATCACATATCTGTGTGTGCAGATCATGTCATGTATGTTGTAGATTGACTAGATCTATGAAAACTTGGTTCTTTTTCATAGACTTCTCAATTGTAAGATGTTCTGCTGCCATTTTTTCTTTTGACATTTGTCAGTTTTGATGACAAAATAAACCATCTCATTCGGGGATTTTGATTCTGATTTTATAGGAAACACAATTGTTAGGCACAATGTCTCTTTCAGAGCTTCCTCTTTAGTATAAAATGACAATTCATTGACTCTGAGCCACAAAAACAGCCATGTTCTGAACTTCTGCATTTGTGTCACGCAAAAGAACGCATTAAAGTAGATTTACAGACTGATCAAAAGTTGCTCTGGGTGAGATTTACAGGAATGGAGTAACATCTTTGTTTTATAGAGCGAATGTCACTGTTCTTGAAAGAGAAATTACAGGCAAAATTACAGTTTGGGTGCAGAACATCTTACTTCTAACTTTATTAATCGTGATAGACCAATGTTTTAATGGATTTCTTGTCATTTGTTATTCTATTCTCTGAATTATTAACCTCTTTTTCCAGGTTTGCATCTGTTTACTGTTCCTGATTTTACTTTTGTGTTTTCTTACAGAGACGCAATGAGGAGGATGAAATAGTGTACTCAAGTGTTATGATCTAAGGAACAAAATTACTTTTAATATTTTGTCTACAATACTTCAGTCTTGTTGCAGTGTTTCTCAACTGGTGTGTTATGACCCAAATATTGGTCAGAGGGAAGCAAAGATGCATGCAAATATAAAAATACTTCTAACGTGACTGTAATCATATAGAAAACTTGGACAGTTGGTTTGGAAAATGGATGAATATAGAAAGTAAAATACTAAAAATAGTTTAATATTCAGCCAATTTAATGGTAATAATTAATATGCAGCTCACCGTAATACTATAACTTAACCGGTAGAAGTATTTCTGGTATTACAACGCTCACTTTAGTATTATAAAAAATTTTAATGTCAAATCTGGGTCTGGAAGTTAAAACAGTTGAGAAGCACTGAAGCAGAATGTAAGAATGTATTATTTTCTTAGGTATTTATTTGCACGCTGCCATTTCATTGTGTTATTGTCCGTTACGACCTGTAAAAAGAGTATTCAATAACAGCTTCATAATCCCACAAGAACTGCCTATGGTTGTTTAAAACCTGTCTAAACCTGAGATGATGCTTGAGATTGTGCTTTAGCTGCCTTAAACACAACTGTCAGCGTTTGTGTGTATTTTACCATATTTCAGCATTATTTCATGAACATTGTACTGAAATGAAAGCAACAGAATAAACAATTTCAATTTTTTTAAAAAAGTGTTTATTATTAAATCAGTTTTCTTATACTTTTTCTCAAACCTAAAACAATCTAGTCCCTGATAGCTTTTAACATTACATGTTACACCATAAATTACAACAAAAATCCGTCCAGGACAGGTAACAAAAACCAGCGTGCTTAAAACTAGCGTGCTTTAATCTAATTATCACTTCAGCAGTTACTGCAGATGTCCTGCGTGATAGGACATGTTTCCACACGTTTGGCTCCAAGGTGGGAATTGTTTTCCTCCCCCATTCTTTATCACTGCAGCCCATCTGGCGCGTGAAGCCAAGCTCCTCCTCTTTGAAATATGGGAATAACAGGAGGAGTGATGTTCCAACCATACACTACCCCCACCCAAAACTTCCTCCACCTATTACTATTATGTTTTGGAGCTGGATGTCGCTTAGCTCTGCACTGAGCACCACGTGTCCAAATGGGTTGTATAAAGCTCTAACCACAACTTTAAACTTAACCCCATATGAGGCACAGGCGCCTCCCACTTGAAGTGTCTGGCCTTCAGCAAAACAGTATTTTCTTGGCATTCCCTGCTTTTCATGCTGGAGAACAATAAAAACACCAAGAAAAAGAGTTGATTGAAAGAGCCCAACACACTGTACACTAGCGACACCTGCTGGTCAAAATCGTAAATGCAACGAGAACACAGCCATACCAGAGCCATTGGAAGGCAAGCCTGTAACCTTTAGCCAAAAAAAAAAAAAAAAAAAAACACTATTAAAAAATTTGATATCAATGATATGTAGATTTCAACTATATGTAGATTTTACCTTGATAAAATGATATTTTTAAGAGAAGGCTGAGTAGGGAATGTCCATGACATTTCCACCAGCAATGAGTTAGCGATGAACTAAATGAGTTAATTTGCATCAGTGTATCATATGTATACCCAATAAAGCGGTCTTAAAGGAGAACTCCGGCGCAAAATGAACCTTTGGTCTAATAACACATCAGTACCTAGTCAACCGTTCTCTGAGATTTGTTTTCATGATAATCGAATGTAAAGAGTTTTATCTCTAAAAACAGTTTAGCATATAACGCTAGTATATAGGTCATAGAGTAATGACAAATAAAAATCGCTTGTTAATACCACTAACAAGGCGTAAAATAGCCCCACACTAACACAGTAACATAATGAGGGTCCCTATCTTCAAACCGAAGCATTGAGAACTTTGTCAAGAGTCCAGACTGTTTAATAAGAAGATATTTTATACATACAGTCAACTTCGCGTATACAGACAGAAGCCATCTTTGAAAAAAAGTCTCTACCAGTCGATCTACGAACGCCAATCCAAGTGCGCTGAACTGTGTAGAATCTCATATGGCCCGTTGTTTTCGGGAAAAGCACAAACACCAACCATTTTCTTCTCTTCAATATGTACACGTAGCCAACTGTTCGTGCTGCTCTCTCACGGCCCTCGGCCTCGTCCTGCTCGCCACCGTGGTTTTATGCGCACAGTAATCCGCAGTTAAAAAGCAAAGATTTTACAGCTCTGTGAAGCACATTCTACAAACATTGCAGTCTATTGAATCACTGCGTAAAAGATAAAACTGATTAATAAATGCTGATTAAACTTGGAGTAAATGGATATAATAAGGTGGCAAAGGGAAGGTGAAGAATCCACTCCTGTTCGCTTTCATAAAACGTTTAAATATAATAAGACCAAAATACAAAAATCATAAATAAAGTGTAGACTTGGAATTACACCAGTTATCTTGCCAAGAAAGATTTTATGAAAGAAGAAGAGAAACTTTAAGATGTTGTATTCATGCCAAGTCTATGCGTTTTATATAGCACAGAGAAACTTCCAGCTTCCTTGTAATGTAACAAAACTTGTGGCTTTGAGCTTCTTTCTTAACTTAGAACGTATATATGTCAAGATTCACGTCCATATTAAGATCTAAGCATCAGTGGAAACGTTACATTGTACACACCACTTAAAGAAATATATAAAATATAGTTATATATATTCTGCAAAATATATAATATATATATATAATATGCAAAATATAGTTTGCACCCTCTGACGTGCTATCTATAGTCTTATCATGCATTTAAATTCATGCTTTTGAAACTCGCTTAAGATAATACAACTTATTATGAATATTAAGAAAGAATAATAGTACAAATAGATATTATTAATACAATCATATTGATACAGATACATAATATTAATAATACATTAATATTAAAAAAAGATGACATTTTAGTCTTCATAAAGCATGATTTTATTTTATCATGAAGTAAACATTTATACAAGAACTTCTTAGATATTGTTGATTTAGGAGAAACTCGTGTAGATCTCGGTAAAGAGGGACTCTGTTCACAGTAATTACTTTGAATGTTTCATTGACCCGTCAGTTATGGCTGGTTTGGGCAGATTTATATAGAGGAGATAGATTTGATTGCTTAGTTTGGCGAGGACAAAGTGTTGCATTTTGAATGAGATGTATCCGAAGATGATTTCAAACATTTGTTTCTTAAATGAAAACCTAGAGAAGATGAATGAGTGAAACTCTTCCCACACGGAGGGCAGTGATACGGTTTCACTCCAGTGTGGATCCTCTCGTGTGATTTCAGAGATGCCGAATCAGTGAAAGTCTTCTCACAGTGTGAACACTTGTAAGGTTTCACTCCAGCGTGGATCCGCTCATGTGATTTCCGATATGCTGAACTTTTGAATCTCTTGTCGCAGTGTGAACACTTGTAAGGTTTTTCTCTAGAGTGAGTTAGTTGGTGCAGCTTTAGTTCAGCATCTCGAACAAAAGTGTTCCCACAATCAAAGCACATGTGATCCTTCACACCGTTGTGTCTTTTCTGGTGTATATTTAGGGTACTCATCTGACTGAAACTCTTTCCACACAAAGGACACGTGTAAGGCTTCTCCTTTGTGTGAACTTTAATGTGGTCCTTCAGCGCATCTGCCCTAACAAATGTTTTTCCGCACTGATCACAGGTAAACGGCCTTTCTCCAGAATGACAACGCAGGTGTATTTTTAAAGTGCATGATTTTCTGAAACTCTTCCCGCACTGATCACATGTGTGCGGCTTCTCTCCAGTGTGGATTGTCATGTGTTCCTTAAGGGATCCTTTTTTTCCGAAACTCATCCCACACTGATCACACGTGAATGGCTTCTCCCCGCTGTGGATTTTCAGGTGTTCCCTAAATGTTGCTTTAAATATGTAACTCTTCTCACACTGATCACATGTGTACGGCTTCTCTCCAGTGTGGATTTTCATGTGTTCCCTAAGGACTGTTTTTACTGCGTAACTCTTCCCGCACTGACGGCACGCGAAAGATTTTTTTTTTGCTGTTCTTTTCAATAAATTACTTTCAGTCTGTGAGCGACTCAAAGATTTTTCTCCAGTTTTGACATGATGTTTCCCCTCCGCTTCACTCAGTTCTTCGCTCTCCTCGTTGTGTTCCATCAGGACTAAAATTAAAATAAGGAAAAGCTCATTTTCAGTAAAACAAACAAAAAAAAATAGAGAAATGTAAAGGGAAAGACGCAAAGGTGAACCATGATGTGATATCAGAAAGAACGTAACTGCTCTACAATTATTATTTTGATGCATTAATGTTAGAGATCGGCTAATAAATCCCAATACCAATCTACTGTATTCTAAATATAATTAGCCTATGTTTTATCCCCAACTTTAAATGCTTTCATTTAGGCTATTTTTGTAATAGCGCCGCAGTTTAGCGAACACTCGGGAACCGCACCTGTGGCTGGCTGCGCTGCTGCTTCGCGCTCAGTAAGGGATATAGGTAGTTTTGCTGTATTCATTCAGTTATAAGTTAGAAGACTTTAGTCGACAAAATATCCAAGAAATCTAAATCTTTTGTCTGGCTGTATTTAAAAAAAAAAAAAAAAAAAAGACGACAAGACTCAAGTGCAAGCTATGCGGCCTAAAGCTAACTTACCATAGCTCAACGTCAACGACCAATATGGCATTCTGAAAAGTTGAGATGTTTTATCTCGATTAGGCGTGGACTACCAAGGGTTGGGTACCAAAACTCGGTGCCAATAGGGAACCGGTTCTGACGTAAACGGTAGTAACCAGACCGAATAAGAATTCAATTTCCTGTGCCTGATTTCGGTGCCTGAGTCTGTGGCATGAGCATACACTGTAAAAAATATGGACAAAACGTCTTTGATGTCACCCATAGATTCTGATATTACCCAATACCCATAGTTCTGAGGCTGTTTATGGGGGGTATGGGCGGCGCCATACTGGAAAATCTTGGGAAATACAAAATACAAATGTTCAGAAAGGAAACAGAGGTGGTATGATGTGTTGTGCCAGATCATGGCCGAGACGTCAAATTCCACTCGGCGCAGCCCGTTAGTAGTTCAAATGTTAAATGTTTGAACATTACAATATTGCTGGCCATAAATTGATAGTGTGCGCCCAGATATGAAGAGCGACTTCAGGTTCTGCCTGGCAAAAATGTAGACTGCTGAAACAATGATCAAATTATTTTGCAGATAATAAAGCTACATTTTTTCAGTCACACTTTATTTGATTTCCCTTTTTTCCATAGGTAACCAACTTGTTACCTTATGTTTTATGTTTGTTTGTTTGTTTTCACTTACAACTTATTTAATTTGAAAACTGTTATTTAGAATTAATTTATTTTGCAATAAATTTTTCATTTGCATTCTCTCGTGACTCCATAAAATGAAAAGGTTTTTAATGATATCTGAGCATCATAAAATATAAGCGAAAGTTTGACTCTCTAATGAAATAATAACCTTTTTGGGGACCATGTCTAAAGTGCACATTCCTTTGTGTGCCAGTTATTCCTAAACTTCTAAAACAAACTTGTTACCTTATGTTTTATGTTCATTTTTTTTTCATTTACAACTTACTTAATTTGATTGTTATTTAGAATTTATTTATTTTAGCAACACGTTTTATTTTTATACTTTTTGTATATAAAATTTGTCAAATCTAACTGATTTTTGTGTTAATTTGCATGCCTTTAAATGTGTTCTTGATGCAGATTGATTTGTTCCATGAATTGTTGTGAGTTTGGCATCTTCTTGTATGTGCAGGTTTACTACACAAGAAAAATAAACTGTCAAACTACAATTGGATTTCATTTAGTTATTGAATACAAATCAAAGAATGGCTTAGATCAATAACCCAATACAGTGGTAATATTTGAATGAGCCCTGGGCCACTTTGTAGGCTACTGTAAAATTTGGGCCCCGACATCAAACCCTGTTGTAAACTAACTTACCTCAGACTTGCTGTCCGACGTTCAGTTCTTTGTTGGGCAGTGAGTCCAGTTGTCAGACTCGCGGTGTAAAATCCTTTGAAAACAATTCTGCCCTACTCTGACTCGGATTGACTGTCAGGTATTGGCATTAGGAATCATGATTGTTTGTTTTAAGCTGCGGAGTTTGAACGCTAGCCACGCTTCCTGTTGCTGGACATGAATGAAGCGCGTCACAGGCGTGAAGCCGGAAATGACGTCATTACGCCGAAATGCCAAATGAAAATAACTAATTTAGTAAAATTCTTTTGTTCACATAAACCCCAAAGAAAAAATTACGCAATGTTTAGAAGTATTAGGAAAAAATAACATTTAACGATTTAAAAATTAATTTGAAGAAGTAATTTTACAAAATTGTAGGCTGTCTAATGAAACAATAACTTTTTTGGGGACCATGTCTAAAGGGTAAATTCCTTTATGTGCCAGTTATTGTTTCTGCTTTACAGTCTTAAAGTAAACAGGTAGCAGTGATTTATGAAAGAGTCCCAAGAGCACAGAACTCTAAATGGTTAACACATAGGTTCTGTTTACATTTGGTATTATCAATCCTATCACGAATGGACGACGCTAAATACAGATGTAAACAGAGTTTAAAATGTTTTGAGCTTGTCCACCTTCCACCACGACTTCCAAAGTGGAAAATGTGTTCGACCGGATTGCTTTCGTAGTGTAAAAAGCTAGATAGGCTTAAATGTAAATGCTAGAATATGTACTATTCGAACAGCCACAACAGACCGCCTGCTCTCCGCAAAATGACTTAATGCAAAAATGCATAAGCAGCCCAACAGGAAAGACCCAAGTTTGATTTGAAGACGAAAAATGTACCAAGCGCAATGTTCTCTCACCATTCCCGATTTCACACACGCTAGTGCTGAGTGGTCTGACCAAAAATTTATATCATGTTTTTTTCCCCCAAATTTAAGCTGGTTTTCCGGTTTGTTGTTATTTTTGTTGTTATTTCTTAACATTCTAATAACCAGGAAATAACGTTAAAATATAACGTTTATATAACGGGAGAACTGAACGTTCTAATGACGTTTGAATTGTAAGAAAAAATGAGGAGGAGGTCGAAGATCTCAAAAATGTAGTTTATTACAGCATACGCCTTCTTCACGGCAGCGCCATCTTTGATTTTTAATGAGAATGAAAGCGAGGCTGTGAGGGATAGACATGCATCTCTTCAATGGGCTGTACTGTTATTTAATGTGTTTTCGGATTGTTCTGCTCATGAAACACTGGAAAAATATCTTTCAAAGAAATGTCAGTTGACAAAAATCTCCCGACAATGTAAGCTGTGGAAAATTGTAAGTAATCTAGCCGCTTTATTCAGCTTTTTACAGTGGATGCCATTGGAAACATGGTAAGTCTATCCCTCACAGCCTCACTTTCATACCTGTCATGGCGCTGCTCTGAATAAGGTCTATAGCAGTGGCACGGCACTCTAAGCACCTTGGGTTCAACGGCGTCAGAATTAACCCCGAAATAATCTCAGCTCAAACATTATACTGTATTCCATTCGTCTTCCCACTCAGCATGTAAATGAAGTACAGGAGTTAGCCCATTTCCCCAGTCCTAATCTCATCAGCATAACAGTCCCACTCACACCTTGATGAAAACCCAATCAGCTCACCTGATTCATTTAATTTATAATAGAGAAAATATAACAGGCAGAACTCTCATGCTTAACAGGTGACATCATCATCATCACAACTCCAAAGTGTGAAACTCAATGTACATCACTTCAATGTAGAACAGTCAAATGTTAAGGTGATAACATTTATTTGAAGTCCCTGTAATCAGGATGGTTCCTGATTACCTGCTGTCGCTCCCAAACTATAGTTGATAAATGTGACTCTGTGCACATTACTTGATTGGAAAGGATTGTCTCTATGATAAGTAAGCTCTTTTAATGAAGGAAGTTGATGAATGTGGAAGTTGGATCAGAGCAGACAATAATTTCTTACAGAATGATGTTCTCATGGCCAAGCAAGAACGTTAATACAACGTTTATATAAAGGGAGAACTGAACGTTCTTATAACCAAGAAATAACGTTAATACAACGTCAAAAACTGGACGTTTTGAATGTTCCTAGAATATTCAGAAATAACGTTTTTATAACTTAATGGGAACGTTATGAAAACGTTCTTATAACCTAAAATTGTTATCTGGGGAAGAGGAGAGATTCGCGATTGCACTGAACACGTTTTATGTGCCGGATTCTCTGAGCGAGACCTACCGGTATTCTTACAAGAGCGTGTATCTGAGAGCGAGCGGCACATTATATTCCGCACACGAGCAGAGAGATTTGCGCATTACATTAATGTAGTTTTGCGTGGTTTTTCAGATGTTCTGATCGACTGAATCTCTTGTCGCAGTGTGAACACTTGTAAGGTCTCTCACCAGTGTGACTTCTCTGGTGCAGTTTCAGTTCACCATCTCTAACAAAAGTCTTCCCGCAATCAATGCACACATGATTCTTGACGCCGTTGTGTCTTTTCTGGTGTAATTTTAATGTACCCAAGTGACTGAAACTCTTTCCACACAAAGAACACACATAAGGCCTCTCCTTTGTGTGAACTTTCATGTGGTCCTTCAGCGCATCTGGCCTAAGAAATGTTTTTCCGCACTGATCACAGTAAAACGGTCTTTCTCCAGAATGAGAACGCAGATGCGATTTTAAACTGCATATCTTCCTGAAACTCTTCCCGCACTGATCACATGTGTGCGGCTTCTCTCCAGTGTGGGTCCTCATGTGTTCCTTAAGGGATCCTTTTTTTGCAAACCCTTTCCCACACTGATCACATGCGTGCGGTTTCTCTCCAGTGTGGATTTTCATGTGATCCCGAAGGCCGCCTTTCTGTAAAAAACTCTTCCCGCACTGATCACATGTGTGTGGCTTCTCTCCACTGTGGATTCTCATGTGAAGTTTAAGACTCTGTGTGTATGTGAAACTCTTCTCACACTGACTGCACGCATGCTTCTCTCCAGTGTGGATCCTCATGTGCACCTGAAGGTTTCCTTTATCTGTGTAACTCTTCCCGCACTGATCACATGTGTGCCTCTCTCCGGTGTGGATTCGCATGTGTCTCGTCAGGCTTCCTTGTTCGGTGTAACTCTTCCCACACTGAGGGCAGGTGAAAGATTTTTTGTCTCTTCTTTTCAGGAAATGAAAGTGACTCAAACTATGTTCATCACTTTTGACATCATGTTTCTCCTTCGTTTCACTCTCCTCGTTCTCTTCCATCAGGCCTAAAATAAAAGAAAGGTTACATTTTCAGTAAATCATAAACAAATTGTGACATTAAAAAGTGAACCATGATGTAATCGCATAAAGAAGTCAACTGCTATAAATTTATTATTTTGATGCATTTATATAAGAAATCGGCCATTGATTGCCTTTACCAATACATTTTCCATATTTTACGTTTTTTTCTTAATATTAATTTCCAAATGGCTTGTCCTATATTCAGTCTAGGGCTGCAACTAACGATTCTTTAGATTAATAGATTGATCTCTTAATAGATTTACAATGAACCTGTGCAGCTTCTATATGATAATATGAACTTCCTTGCGGAAGAGCTGATTATGATGAGCTTTGATTGATCATTTGACTCATCACTGCTGTGATTGTTGACTGTCAAGTGTATTACAATCGAACAAAACAGATATTAATACTTCAAAAGGTCAGTAAATTAACATTTTATCAGATAACGAAATACGGTTTATTGCTGTAAAATTAAATACGGTTAAAAGTCTGTAAAACCATAACCGTAAAAATAAGTAAAAATAAGTAAAAATTTTACAACAGCTAACATTTTTTTAACTATCATCGTGGTTACGGTCATGAAACCAAGCAGTGTTTCTCTTCCACGAAAGTTTGTCCTTTTTATTTTAAGCCTTCCTTGATTAAGATACGGAAGTGAATTTAACTTGGTTCTTGTACACTGTTTGGACGGTCGGCAGGGTTTATTCTGCAGGGTTCTGGATCATTCATGTTCCCTAAACTCTAATTTCTTCACTTGTAAGATGATGAAAATATTCTAACTTGCAACATTTAATTCCAGGACAAATGGATTCAAGCAATGTTTCTATTCATTACATAATAAAAGAGGGTATTGTAAACATTTTTTTTTTTCAGTTTTCATGACTATTCTTCTGACAACAATTTCTAGATCTGTTTAACTGCTTCAAGTGTTATAATAACCTAAATATACTTCATTCATCAAGAATAAACACCAACCTCTTTGATTTTCAGTATCTTCATGTTTTATTCGGCAGGGTTCTGGATCATTCATGTTCCCTAAACTCTAATTTCTTCACTTGTAAGATGATGAAAATATTCCAGTATTTATTCCAAATATTCCAAATATTCCGAATTCCTGTGGAGAATATGAGAAGCAGATCTGATGAATAAAAAATAAATCAGTTATCGAGTTACACATTTTATGTTATGTTTAACTATCCATCTACCAAAATGTAAAATTACTGACATTGTTTTATATATATAACTTAATTTAGCTTTTCACTTGCCTATATTTTTGTTCATAGGTTATTATTATATTTGTATTTTTATTTTATATGAAACATTTTTTTTCACAGACTATAACAAAAATAATGGTGTTAAGAGAGGTGTACTCAGTCTGCTGCACCAATGAAATTACTTGTGACCTATGATCTAAAGACCATTTCAAGAGATGAAACGGGACTTGTTGTCATTAAATAAAGAGATTATCGTTTTATACTACTCATGCATAATACGAGTCGGTATACTCTGAGGGGAAAAAAACGCTACAACTGTACAATATTTCTCACCCACAATCTGAGACAAGTAACGAAAACGTTTTTGCTTCGTTTTAAGTAACTTATTTAACATTTACACAGTGACTTGACTTGAGTAACATAACATCAAAGCAAGACGAACAGACAAAAAAAAAAGAAAACATAGCAGAGAAACGTCAACAATTTACCTCAAATGACCAGCTACGCTAAATGTTAATAGTAACGTTAGGTAAACGCCAAAAGACAAATAGCACAGCACATTTGATGGGGGAAAAGACAGAAATGAGCGCTAAAATGTTGCTAATGAATGTATTAATTTATTTGTCAAAATAAGACATTTGTAAATAAACTACGCGCTGTGAATTACTCACCTCCACCGACTGAGAGAACGCTGGTGTTGACCGGTGACGTCATCACTGCGAGACGATCTATTCACTTTTTTTGATGGTCTTTTTTGTTTATTTTTCAATATATCATGTACAAACAATATTGCAACAAAAATATATAATTACAATATAAAGGGAGGTACAGGTACAAAAGCGCATTACAGAAAAAAAAAGAGTAGACTGTTTGCTGCAAACTCTTTATTGTGATGGTCCTCAAACAATTGTGCAACTACATGTCAACTTAAGACATTTGTAAATAAACTACAAACAAACCAGTCTATTAATACTCAACTAAAGCTCTAATGAGAGTTATTAGACATGTAGGTGCAACGTTACTTATAAGAATGTGTTAAAGGGACTGTAAGTGAAACCTAATTTTTTGAAACAATATCTACTATAAAAATCTAATATCCATGTGCGAAGTCAGTTTATTGTAAAAAGTACAATATTTGCCTCTGAGATTAGGCTACTTCTGCAGCTAATGAATTGAGACATCTTTTGAGTTGATCTAAAATCACACTTGAAACCGCCGGTCTTGAAGATGAACTCTGTTCACTGTAAAAACAAACATGTGATGTTGTTTCATTGTCCTGACCAGTGGGTGGCGTAACTATTGGTAAGCAGGGTACGCGGTTCCTTACGGGCCCGGACCAATCAAGGCCCCGCATGACTGGAAGCTAGTCATGCGGCCCCTATCGCATTTCTATTTTTAGTCTGATGGCATTTTAATTTTTCGCAAATTTATTTGAATAAATAATGACGACAACATAATTTACTGATCATTAAATGTATGTCTGAAACAAACAATGATGGATTTTGGTGTAATTTGTTTGAATTGGGACTGTGGAATCCCTGGGTGAACATGCGCATTGCGTGCAAAAATAGTAAAAAAAAAAGTTTGAACTTGAGATTGATATGGATAATGGAGTCGTCAAATTACAAACACAAAAGTGGCTTACAAAAGCGCAAATGGAAAGAAGAATGACAAATTAATTAACAAATTACCAAAAATATGAAGGTTCTTTAAAAAGATGACACAGGAGATGGAGATTGAGAAGGAGCAAGAGAGTGAAGCGTGTGACGCACCTGAAGTGTCCGTTGGTAGTAGCAGCTCCGTGGTTAATGCTAGCACCAGTGGATCAAGTAACATCGATGTAAAAGGTGAAAATTGAGGAGGAAGGGAGTGATGCACCCACTGCAACCTCGGTGGCCTGTGCTAACACCAGTGGGTCATCCAACAGCATCGAGGAGAACGAGGTAGATTCTATGCCCATCACTGCTAATATATCCTCTTTGCATGAGCATCCAACCAACATGGGTCATTTTCCAGAGCATCTAGACTCAAATGTCAAACGATATATAGTATCTTTGGGGTCATGCAAACCTACTGGCCCTTTCACGCGGGATCCTGCACAGGATAACCGCTAATTTACAATGGCATATTACATCTGCAAAACCAAGTCTGGTATGGAGATACCGAGGACATAGCTGTGCTACTCCCCCACACTGGATGTAGCCTACTGCGAGCCCTGTCGGCTTTTTTCCAAGTCAACATGGAAAGCAAATACCTGGTGTAATTTATCAAAGAAAATTCAACAGCACGAGTCATCCACTCTACACAAAGCTGCATGTGTGATATGCGACCTTTGGCGTCAGAACAGAACTATGGATAAGGATATGGAGAGGGACATACTTCATGAGGCCAGCTTTTGGAGACAGGTACTACACCGTGTGATTAATGTTACGCTCACTTTAGCTACGAACAATATTCCGTTTAGCAGACATAGGGAAAAAAATAGGGGAAATTAACAATGGTAATTTCCTTTCTGTCGTTGAGCTCCTGGCAATGTACGACCCAGTGCTTAAAGATCTGATTAGCCGCCCTGCTTGCTCGATCAAGTACCTAAGCCTACTGGTACAAAATGAGCTAATTGAAATTCTAGCAAAAAATACTCAGAAAGACATTCTAGACGAAATACGATCAGCTCCATTTTTCTCCGTGATTATGGACACAACACAAGATGTGGCTAAAGTTGATCAGATGAGCCAGATCTTCAGATATGTTATAGTTGAGCAAGATGCTCGTGGTGTTGCCACTGATGTGACGATCAAAGGGTCCTTCATTGGATTTCGTGACGTTAACGACTCATCAGCCTGCGAGCTTACTCGGGCGATTATTGCGTCTGTGGAGGACAACGGCTTAGACTTTTCCAAGTGCAGAGGGCAAGGGTACGACGGTGCCGCGAATATGCACGGTATATACAGTGGTGTCCAGGCAAGGATAGCTGCCAAGGTATGTACACTGTGCCTCACACAATTTGAATCTCATCCTTAATGATGCGGTGAAGATACAAGAAGTACGACAGTTCTTTGACATTGTTGAGCGCATTTATGTGTTCTTTGGCCACAGCATAAAGAGATGGGCAATGCTTTCAAATACTACACAAAGTAATGACGAAGACACAAACAATGACTCTAACATAACACTGAAAAATTTATGCCCGACTAGATGGTCCTCACGTTATGAAGCAGTAACCACTTTGAGATATCGGTACAATGATGTAATGAAGGCATTGGCAAAACTTTCACTGACGAGCAGAAAGAAAGATGAACGGGACGAGGCTGCATCGTTGAAACAGACAATTGAGAAATTCTCATTTGTTTGTCTTGTTGTCCTCCAAAGCAAAATCTTGGAACGGACTAATGTAATATCAAAACTTCTACAATCCCAAGACATGGATCTGGCTTCAGCAGTCCAGCTACTGGGCAGCGCCATCAGAGACCTAACTGTGTTCCGAGAAAGTTTTGAAAATGTCAAACAAACAGCAAGGAGCCTTTCAGAGAAGTGGGGAGTCGGTTGAGAAAAGTGAAAGCGCATTTTGATGAGCTGTGTCAAGATGAACGTATATCGGATGCTGAGTCTTACTTTCATGTCAATGTGTTTAATGCCTTCCTTGATATTGTCATCTCTCAATTGACCCAGAGATTCGCCGGTTTACGATCAACAGTTGACCATTCCAAAGTTTTACTGCCCAAGACCCTTTGCACTGCAACAGATGATGAACTGTTTTTGCAAGCAAATAGGCTGGTGGAGATTTACAGAGACAACATTGCTACTGATTTCCCAATGCAATTGTTATCATTTCGTTCATGCTTAAAAGACCGGATCTCACAAATGAAAACAGTGCAAGAGCTGACGAAGATGCTAATCGTCGAGAACAGCTGCATCACTGCGAGTTTCGGGGAGGTTTGCACTGCTTTTATGCTTTTTCTAACCATCCCAGTGGCAGTGGCTTCTGCAGAGCGTTCTTTTTCAAAAGTGAAAATGCAGCTATAATGCAAGTAAGAATTTTTTTTAATGTATTTGGACCTAGGCCTGTGTGTAAAGTCATAGCAGTGAGTAACAATGTGTTATGGTGCGCCATCACCAGCAGTGTTTTATATATATATATATATATATATATATAGAATATTGTCGTCAAGCGTTTTTTTTTTTTTTGACGACATTGCGGGAGCCCGCATTAAAAATCCTGCTTAAGGGCCTGGTGTTGGCTTGTTACGCCACTGGTCCTAACACTTGTTGTAAAGAAGATAAATGAGTAAAACTCTTCCCTCCTGGAGGTGGGCAGTGATACGGCTTCTCTCCAGTGTGGATCCTCTTGTGTCTCTTCAGGTTTTCAGACTGACTGAAACTCTTGTCGCAGTGTGAACACTTGTAAGGTTTTTCTCCAGTGTGGATCCTCTCATGTTTCTTCAGGTGTCCTGACTGACTGAAACTCTTGTCGCAGTGTGAACACTTGTAAGGTTTTTCTCCAGTATGATTCCTCTCGTGTGCCTTCAGGTGTCCTGACTGAGTGAATCTCTTGTCGCAGTGTGAACACTTGTAAGGTTTTTCTCCAGTGTGATTCCTCTCGTGTGCCTTCAGGTGGTCTGACTGACTGAAACTCTTGTCACAGTGTGAACATTTGTATGGCTTCTCTCCAGTGTGGACACTCTTGTGTGTCTTTAGGTTTCCTGAATGACTGAATCTCTTATCGCAGAGTGAACACTTGTATGGCTTCTCTCCAGTGTGGATCCTTTCGTGTTCTTTCCGGTTTCCTAAATTAAAGAAAGTTTTGTCGCAGTGAGTACACTTGTAAGGTTTTTCTCCAGTGTGGATCCTTTCGTGTTCTTTCCGGTTTCCTAAATTAATGAAAGTTTTGTCGCAGTGAGTACACTTGTAAGGTTTTTCTCCAGTGTGGATCCTCTTGTGTGCTTCCAGATATCCTAACTGACTGAATCTCTTGTCGCAGTGTGAACACTTGTAAGGTTTTTCTCCAGTGTGGATCCTCTGATGCTTTTTCACTGCAGCATCTGTAATGAAGGTCTTCCCACAATCAAAGCACACATGATTCTTCACACCACTGTGTCTTTTCTGGTGTAATTTTAATAAACCCAGCCATCTAAATCTATTTCCACACAAATAACACAAGTAAGGCTTTTCATTTGAATGAAGATTCAGGTGTCTATTCAGGGATGATTCTGAAAAAAATGATTTACCACACTGATCACAGCTATATGGTCTTTCTCCAGAATGAAAACGTAGATGTGATTTGAAAGTTCTTAAATATGTGAAACTCTTCCCGCACTGATCACATGTGTACGGCTTCTCTCCTGTGTGGATTCTCATGTGTCTATTCAGGGTAACTTGATACAAAAAACTGTTCCCGCACTGATCACATGTGTGCAGATTCTCTCCAGTGTGGATTTTCATGTGTACATTAAGGCCTCTTTTTATTAAGAAAGTTTTCCCACACTGGTCACATTTGTGCAGATTCTTTCCAGTGTGGATTTTCATGTGTACATTAAGGCCTCTTTTTCTTGTGAAACTCTTCCCACACTGATCACATGTGTGTGGCTTCTTCCCAGTGTGGATGTTCATGTGTCTCTTCAGGATTACATTTTCTGTAAAACTCTTCCCACACTGAGGCGAGGGGAAGGATTTTCTCAATAAAGTACTTTCAGTCTGTAAGCAACTTGAAAATTTTTCACCAGCTTTGACATGTTTCTCCTTTGCTTCTCTAAGTTCTTCACTCTCCTTGTCTTCCATCAGATCTAAAATGAAAGAAAGGTGTAATTTTCAGGAAATCGTAAAAAACTGGAGAAATGAGAAGGGAGATAACATAAATTTAACCCAGATATTTGATCAGAAAGAAACCAATAACTGCCTTTACCAAAAAAAAATAATAATAATAATAATATTTGTAATTTTCCTTTCTTAATCTGATATTCATCTATTCCCAAATCTCTTGTCCTTTGTAGGGTCACAGTGATCCTGGAGACTGTCAGCATCTCTAGCCATAAGCTGGAAAACATCCTGGATTGATTCACACAGAGTTCACAGATTACGGTGTTCACAGGTAAGTTAACTTGATTTGATTTAATTGTTAAAATGGTGCCGTCAGCATGTGTATGTGACATAACATGACATTTGAGGTGAACACTAACTAAGTTATGTGTGTACTGTACTATTTTTTTCCTAATGTATAATTATTCCAGTAAATTGGGGTAGGTGATTTACAGTAGAGATAAACCCGTAGAGAGTTGACAACCACTATGAATGTTATACTACAGTCATCATGGTTATACTCCCAAAACCAAGGGTGCACAGTACTTTTTGGGTATGGTTCTCAAGGGAGCACCTGTAGATGATGCTCGGTACTCAAACTTTTTGAGGCACACTTATCCTAAAAGCTGTCTAAATGTAAAATATCACTATTTGTTCACTGAAGAAATGAAATATAGATTAATCTTTGTTAAAGCTGCATTTTTCTATTTTATTAACATTAATGACACAGACAACAACAAGAATATTCGGCTGGTGTTGTTACTTTCTGAAATCAGGCAAGTTGCATCACACACGATCTTGGAACGGAATTTACATTTGAATAAATCCATTTTATAAAAAACTTCTTTATGAAATGTATAAATTACGAATAAATAAATTTTAAACTTTAATATTACAAGGATGTACCAACTGTGGTTGACTGTAAAGTTTACCGCACTAGATGAGAGATATCTTTGTCTTTGAGGAAATTTGCCATGCACTATACCCGATAGGCCCCAAATTAATCAATATAGAATCAAACTTGGATCGAAAGCTTATGAGTCACAATCTTATTGAGGAATTTAAGTTAAAGCCCAGCCCTAGAATCAATAAATATTTTTACTTTAAGAAAATGTTGTCTTTCCTTTATTTGAGTGCACCAGATTGCTTCGTTTACATGTAAAAAACATGTGTTTACATGTATTCCCCTACGGGACGAAGCTGCTCTCAGACATTCAAGTTTCAAGAGTAAACGTCACCATTCAAAATACTTCCCTCACATGTCAAAACTCAGCATCCCTAAGCATTTAACGTTAATTGTTAACTTTCCCAGAGCATCAACAAGATTTTCCAAGGCCATTTTACATGTGTTTTCCAGGACTGGAAACAGGGCACATGAGAACTTCACTGTTCTAATAACAACCATTAAATCTGATGAACTGCTGAAGTTTTATAACCTTAAATGTTCTTCAGAATCAATAATGAAAAATAAAGAATAAAACACCAACCTATTAGATTTTCAGTCTCTTCATGTTTTATTCTGCAGGGTTCTGGATCATTCATGTTTTTTAAACTCTATTTCTTCACTAGTAAAATGAAAATATTCCAGCAATTAGGCCTTTTGTTGAATTCCTGTGGGAGGAGCTTCACAGTTGCAATCAGATCTGTTAAAAAAAAACAGTTATTAAATTACACATTAAGCATTTATATTACGTTTAACATTGTTTTGACTCAACTTTTCGATAGCCATATTTTTATTAGCTTTCTATAATTTATTTGTTTAATGTTGTTATATATAAAATGTATTCCAACCCACATACTATAATGAAGAGTTTTAAAGAGTTTTTGCCACTTTGCCTCAGTGAGTCTCTTCGACCAATAAAATTACTTTAAGGGACAGATTAAATATTAAAGACAATTTATGAGAGATCTATCAAACAAATAAAAAGAAAACAGAAGCTGTTGACAATAAACAAAGAGATAATCATTTTATAATCAGATAATAGGAGTCTGAAAAAGATGATACAACTGCACTTTAATAGTATTATTTCTCAAACGAGAAAAACATTAGTAATTCGAGTAACATAAAAACGATCTCTCTCTCTCTCTCTCTCTCTCTCACACACACACACACACACAAAAACACAAAAAAACTTTCTCATTGCCAGCTATACCAACGTTAAATGTCTATTCTAGTAGGCAGACGCCAGGAAATGGCAAACAAATACCGCAGAATCAAATGAAAATAAGAAAGAAAGGACAGCAAAAACGTTGCTTATACAAACATTTTTTCACGATTGTGTTCATACAAAGCGCAGGGATTCGTTTAACTCACCTCACAAGACTTCTTTGATGGAGTGAAAACGTGACGGTGGTGACGTCATCACTCCGAGACGAAATTTACAAGTTATGAAAAGGCGAAAAGACAAATATTTCCTCAGACGAATGGATGAAAGCTATTTCTTTAGACCGAACGTGTACAGACGATACAACGCGAAGACGCGTTATTGCCTATGGTTATTGTGTGCGTGTAGCCCACGGATACATATGGTGCAGACGCGAAAATCCAGCTTTTCCGTTGTCAAAATAAAAGTAACATCCTCTAGTACCGCAAACTCTACACTATTTGTATTAAAGTCCCATATTGTACACCTTTCTTGAGTTTTATTTGGTTGATGTTCTTAAGAATATATTTTGCTAAGAATTTTTTTTTTCAACACATCCCATAATTTTTTAAATATCGGCCTCTACCAAACTGTTGAGATGTCACTTAATGTTAATAAATGGTACCGGAATTCATACACATACTTTGCCATACTTTTTCATTGCCCATCATATTATGATCAAAACCTTAAATTTCTGTCCAAATATCACTTCTGTTACAAAATATGGAACCTTGAGACTCAGACCTTTCTGACAACGTCTTTTGTCAAGATTAGAAAAGGTTTTGATCATGTGTTACAGCAGAATGCATACAATTAAATTCAATGGAATTTATGTCATTTTTGATCATTTGTTACAGCAGAATGCATACAATTAAATTCAATGGAATTTATGTCATTTTTGGTATTACGTCTAAACAAAATCTCATGAGAACTTCAATTTTTGTGATATCAACTTCAAATTTGGAATAAAACTTGGATAGATATATGGCTTTGATTTTATAGTAATTTTATAGGAAAAAAATGTTTCGTAAAATATATATTTTATTTAAAAGAAAAAATATTTAGTACAGTATATTTGATTTAATGTAAATTTAAAACTTCCTAAAAAAAGTGTTTTTACTTCAGCAATAATCTGCTAAGTGTTTTCTTTAAACAACACTAAACTTAGGTTTTTATTATTTATTCCAAAGCATACTTGAATTACAACCAAGTTTTAATAGTGCATTGTAATGTCCATTCTCAAAAAGGGGGGTGACAATAAACTGTTATGTGCCAAATCAACCGTTTGGTTGAGCATGTTTTTGAAAAATTATTAAAAATATACTAAAGTTTTTTCATAGCACCGAGTAACATCATTTAGTAAAGTAAAGACTCCTACAGTGTAATATGTAAAAAAAAATATGCTTAGCTTGCAAAATTTCACCAAAAACAGTTCACATGGCTGGGGTGATTTATTTGTTTCTGACATCCATGTTAGAAGAAGTGTTGTGACAAGTGCTGTTTATTGACACTGTGACATCTAGTGGATTTTTTGGCATAATATACCTCAACCAGATGATAGAGCTGGCTTAATCAGTTTGAGGTAAGTTAGGTACTCCTCTCAACAAAATATAACGACTCAAAATGTGCTCAACCGGTACACCTTTGCGTTCAGTTCAGTTCTCGCGCATGCGTCGTGGAAATCTCTTGAACTCCGGTCTCAGGCCCAGACGGAAGAAAAGGAATAGTCGAATAAAGTTGTTATTTTTATTTTATTTACGCACAAAAAGTAGTCTCGTCGCTTGATAAACTTATAGTTGAGCCACTGTAGTCACACGGAATATTTAAACCTTTTCTTCAATGACTTTCTGGGCCGTCAAGTTTCTATGTAAGCCTATGTAGCAGTCAAATTTAATCAAAAATATCTTCATTTGTGTTCCGAAGATGAACGAAGGTCTTACGGGGTTGGTACAGCATGGGGGTGAGTAAATAATGACTTAATTTTAATTTTTGGGTGAACTAACCCTTTAAGTGGCCAAATAACTATATGATCTAAGCACAAGTTATAATTCTTTAGATTTATTCTTATATATCAAATACACGTCTCACTTAAAAGTGTTATAGCATTCTTATGTTGATCTGAATCTCACTGTGACGACTTTTGGTGACGGTTCTTTGTCCGGTCATTTGTCGCAGCTGACTAGAATAGATTTATTTGGAAGGAAGCTTTTATTGCATTGGACATATTCTTTTTGAATGGCTGCGTAGAGAAGCTAATTTACTAAAACTCTTCCCACATGAAGGACAGAGATATGGCCTCTCTCCAGTGTGGCTCTTTTCATGTATTTTCAGGCATGCTGACCAACTGAATCTCTTGTCGCAGTGTGAACACTTGTAAGGTTTTTCCCCAGTGTGAATTCTCTGGTGCAGTTTCAGCTCAGAATTTGTAATAAAGGTCTTCCCACAATCAAAGCAAACATGGTTCTTCACGCCGCTGTGTATTTTCTGGTGTCGTTTCAAAGCACCCGGCTGACTAAAACTCTTTCCACACAAAGAACACGTGTAAGGCTTTTCCTTTGAGTGAACTCTCAGGTGGACCTTCAGGGATACTGCCAAAACAAATGTTTTACTGCACTGATCACAGTTATACTGTTTTTCCCCGGAATGACAAAGCAGATGTAATTTAAGAGTGTTTGCATGTGCAAAACTCTTCCCGCACAGATCACATGTGTACGGTTTCTCTCCAGTGTGGATCCTCTCGTGTATTTTCATGTGTCCTGCCTGACTGAATCTCTTGTCGCAGTGTGAACACTTGTAAGGTTTTTCTCCAGTGTGAGTTTTCTGGTGCTGTTTCAGTTCAGCATCTCTAATAAAGGATTTCCCGCAATCGAAGCACATGTGATCCTTCACACCGCTGTGTCTTTTCTGGTGTATTTTTAATGCACCCATCTGACTAAAACTCCTTCCACACAAATAACAAACATGAGGCTTTTCCTTTGAATGAACTTTCAAGTGCTTCTTCAGGTTTTCAGGGCTTGAAAACATTTTACCGCACTGATCACAGTTATATGGTCTTTCTCCAGAGTGAGAACGCAGATGTGATTTAAGAGTGTTTGCTTGCGTGAAACTCTTCCCGCATTGATCACATGTGTACGGCTTCTCTCCTGTGTGGATTTTCATGTGTTCCTTGAGGAGTCTTTCTTGTGTGAAACTCTTCCCGCACTGATCACACTTGAACGGCTTCTCTCCAGTGTGAACTCTCATGTGGTGTATCAGAATGTGTTTGTATGAGTACCTCTTCCCACACTGAATGCAGGTGAAAGATTGTTTGGCGTTTCTTTTCAACAAAGAGTTTTGTTTGTTGACATCATGTTTCTCCTCGGCTTCGATAAATTCTTCACTCTCCTCTTTTTCTTCTGTCAGGTCTGATTTTCAGTAAATCATAAAAAGAGAAATGTGAAGGAAAAGAACACACAAGTAAACCCTGATATGATAGCAGAAAGCTGCTATAAATGATTTGTTTGCACAATGATCTCAATGTCATCATTGAAAAATTTCAGGCACAATTATAATTATTTATTATGATTATTTATTAACTATCTTTTTAACTACAACCACTTAATCTAATGAACTGACTGAAGATGTATAACCTTAATGTTCTTCAGCATTATTAATGAATAATCAAGAATAAACACCAACCTCTTTGTTCCTCGGTATCTTCATCTTTTATTTTGCAGGGTTCTGGATCACTCATGTTCTCACTGATTTTTTTCTCTTGTAGGCTGAGCATTTTTGGGTGAAATATTGTAGAAGAAGCTTTACAAAAGGGGAAGTTCTGTGTAGAAGCAAGAACATATTTGGTTACATTGAAAAACATTAAATAAGAGATTTAAACTGATCATTTGAATTGACATATTTTAAGCATTTAAATTTTGTTTATCCATGTCAAAGGATGTGATTTTTTTACTATTGAAAGTCTTCAAGTGAAGACTTTCTGGGGCAAACTGGGGCAAGTCTTGCATATAATACTGACAAAAGAAAACTGGGGGTAACAAATAAGGATTGGAGCCTAAAATGATTTTTTTTTCCAGGTATCTCTCTCGATCGTTCAAATGAGCAGTCTAGGCGGCCATACCGGTCGATATCCGTCATAAATATTGCGGCGATCTATAGTATTTGGTAGTGAGGTGGCATCTATGAATAGGCAGAATAAGCATAAAAGTGCTCGGTAATAGCATTATTTATATCTGACTGAGACACAATTAACTCACAAGCCACACCTATACAACAGTTCTTCTTCGTGTAGGAGAACATTTCATGAAAAAGAAATCTAAGAATATACCTCCATATTTAAATATAGCCTAGTTCGATTTTTATAATATCTACACAGCAATTATACGAACCACATCATTTACATACTTTGACAATACCTTGATATTGGTGACATTCAGTAACGTCAACTATAACATTAGTGTTCCAAACATCGACACACGAACAAAGAAAAAACACAAAATCGCTCGTCTTAATGAATTTACCACACACCATCGTTGACAACTAAATGTTCATTTCCGTCGGCAAACGCAAGTAAAGACGCACAACTAAAGATGTACCCGATGAAAACAATACATAAACCTTCCCTTTAAAGGCTGTTTTAGGTAATTTTGTACTTTACAGTTAGAAAAATAGACGCGGCTGGCTGCACCGTGAACTGCTAGACTCACCTCAGATCACTCGATCCTGACTGACGGCGTAAACAGTGACGTCATCACTGGTATCAAAAATGCGCCAAATATTGTCCACAATTATCATATAAATCAGGAACTCATTTATGAAACAAAAATAACGGGATAGTTTCCACTCTGCGTCGCGCTGTTTGTTAGAACAAATTAATTTTGGATTGTGATATTAAATGATGTAGACAGACATTCAGTCATGTGTGCGGTGAAATAATTTATTAGGCATATAAAAGCTATATCGAGAAATTAAAAAGATGCAAAGCCTCAAAATACATTAGCTTTCATAATCAAAATTATTAAATTATTTATTTTATAGTCAGGAATAAAAGCAGAGGTGGACTAGGACTAAAAATGGCCCTTTTAGCTATTTTCCATAAAGACAGTTTAATAACTAGCAAAGATTCAATTAGTAAAATAAGTCCATATATGCCACAATGATGTATGTTCTCAAGTGACTAGGAGTGTAGTTTTTTTTTTTTTTTTTTTTACTGCAGGCTAAATCAAGGATTCCCAACCATGTTCCTGGAGCCCCAAAACTAACACTAAAGACCATGATTATTTTTAAATGAATTTCTACATAAAATTATATGTATAACATAGTTATATGTACATCACATCAATATTAAATTGAATAATTATATTTAATAACTAAAGTGATTTTACAATAGACATTTGTATTTTGTACATTTGTACATTGATTTCACAATAGACAATAGATTCCCAATCCCAACCATGTTCCAGGAGCCCCAAAACTAACACTAAAGACCATGATTATTTGTATATAAATTTCTACATATAATTATATCTACATATAGCATAGTTATTAATAACTAATGTGATTTTACAATAGACAAAAGTGTATTTATAAATTAGTATTAACCAAAAACAAATATGTGCAAGTGCAAGTATATTGATTATTTGAATATACCTCTTTTAGAATGAAATACTTCACATGAACAAATGATAATATATACAACGTTGTTGGAAAGCATTAGGAATAATAAAATAAAATATTTCCCCATCATTACAGTAGGCCTATATCCCACATCTTCATTTGGTAAATATGTCTGAAGTGGTCAAGTGATTAGATGTTTCTAATCACAAGGATGAAGAATAAGTTCAAATAAAGATATACACGTCTTAAAAGTGTTTGTTTTCTGGATGACTGAGTAGAAAAGCTAATCTACTAAAACTCTTCCCACAATGATAAAGTCTTTCTTCAGTGTGGCTCCTCTCATGTATATTTAAAGATGCTGACCACTTGTAAGGTTTCTCTTCAGAGTTTATTCTCTGGTGCAGTTTCAGTTCATTATCTGTAATAAAGGTCTTCACACAATCAAAGCACATATGATTCTTCACACCGCTGTGACTTTCCTCATGTGTATCAAAACTCTTTCCACACAAAGAACACACGTGAGGCTTCTCCTTTCTATGAACTTTCCGGTGATTCTTCAGACAATCTGCCCTAACAAATGTCTTCTTACACTGATCGCAGCTGTAATTTCTTTCTCCGGCATGAGAAAGCAGATGTAATTTAAGAGAGTTTAAATGTGCAAAGCTCTTCCCGCACAGATCACATGAGTGCGGTTTCTCTCCGGTGTGGATCCTCTCGTGTATTTTCATGTGTCCTGCCTGACTGAATCTCTTGTCGCAGTGTGAACACTTGTAAGGTTTTTCTCCAGTGTGAGTTTTCTGGTGCTGTTTCAGTTCAGCGTCTCTAATAAAGGATTTCCCACATTCGAAGCATATGTGATTCTTCACACCGCTGTGTCTTTTCAGGTGTAATTTAAAAGCGTTCAGCCGACTGAAACTCTTTCCACAAAAAGAACAAACATGAGGCCTCTCCTTTGAATGAACTTTCAGGTGGCTCTTGAGGGATTCTGCCCTTAAGAACAATTTCCCGCACTGATCACAGTTATACGGTCTTTCTCCAGAGTGAGAACGCAGATGTGATTTAAGAGTGCTTGAATGTCTGAAACTCTTCCCGCATTGATCACATGTGTGCGGCTTCTCTCCGGTGTGGATTTTCATGTGTCCTTCAAGAGATCCTTTTCGCGTGAAACTGTTCCCACACTGATCACATGTGAACGGCTTCTCTCCGGTGTGAATTCTCATGTGATTATTCAGATTTTGTTTGCATGAGAAACTCTTTCCACACTGACAGCAGGTGAAAGATTGCGTGGCACTTATTTTCGGTGTGTGGACATGTTTCTCCTTCTCTTCAGTAAATTTTTCACTCTTCTCGGATTCTTCCATCAGGTCTGAAATTGACGTAAAACAGGTTTGATTTTAAGTCAATCATACAATTAAAAATAGAAATATGAAGGAAAAGAACACATGTGATCACTGATATGATAGAAGTATCAGGAATGCAAACAGGGGTGAAATCAGGTGAAAAGATGCAAAACATTTTTCCTAGTATAATTTCCATTAAACGAATACTCCCTTTAGATAGATCATTTCCAGTCCTTGCACAGACTGAAGCGCCCTTGCCCTCAGAGTACTTGGACGTTGACTGTGATTACAAGAGGTAAAAACAATATAAATACTGTTCGTTTTCTCACACAAACTGCTCATTTCGTGTCTTAGGCCATCAGTGTGTGCTTACATTTACGAGTCATAAAATCATGTTTAATTTGGACTTCTCTGTGCATGCTCTTTGAGGTGGTGACCATAGACCTCCATTATATGACTGATCGAACAACGGTTTGACATAAAAATATCAAAATTGAAAGTACTGCGGAAACAAAGACACATACATCTTGGATGCCCTTGAGGTAAGCTAAAACATACCAAACATTAATTTCAAAGTGAACTATCCTTTTAAATAATGCTATGAGTGTAATGTTTTAAAATAAATTCAATTTGGAATGGTAAAAAATTAAAGATACTTCACACAGCAACAGGGGGTTAATACGCACAACCGGCACATCCGGGAACTTAACTGTCAATTTAGTCCCCGCCCCCTTTTGGGGGAAACAAACTAGATTCCCCATAGACTTCAATACAACATTACAGCAAAAACCAACGTCCGTACACAGCCGACATGCGTAAATAACTTATATACACCATGTCAAGTAATTACATGTCCACCCTGCCTGCCATAGTGCGTGAAAGATACATTTTTTTAAGCCCGTTATCAAGTAGCCCAGCCCAGGCTACCAGCATCATCATCATGAATTCATAATATATACATTAAGGTTTTTTACTTTACAAAACGAAATAAAATCATTCACTGGCTTACCTGGTGACTCGATGAGGTACAAATACATGTCCGGGTAAGACACCTCTGGCCACTGGGTGGGGTTGTTACCCTAATTTGACGCTGTTTAAATTGGCTAAATAAAGTTTGTGTATGTATCTTTCAGGCTCTTTATCAGGCAGGGTGGACATATAATTACTTAAAATGTTTTATATAAGTGATTTCTTAAGTCATTTACGCCTGTCGGCTGTGTACGGACGTTGGTTTTTGCCATTATTTTGTATTGAAGTCTATGGGGAGTAGGGTTGGGTATCGTTTGAATTTGAACGATTCTGATTCTGATTCCGATTCCTTGTTTCGATTCCGGTTCCTAACGATTCTCGATTTCGATTCTTTTAAGAGGCAGGGTCAAAAAAGTTTAGCTAACCTTGCTAACCAACGGTCTTTCTGAAGGAAATACTCCTTCTGTCACAAATACTTGTCACAAATTTAGCATTTTGCCGAGATTTCGTTAATTTTTAGAAAAGTGAAGCCACACTTTGGACCGCTGACGTAAGCTACTCATGTTCGACTCGCGCGGTTATGCCAACACTTCCGGTAGACGCTTCTTCGTTGGTGTTGTTCAGCGGTTTCTTCTTCCGCTCGGCGGACTGTGAATATCGAAACTAGGAATTGAAATTTTAACTTTTGAACGATTCCGGGAAAAACGAAAAGTTAGTCCCGGTTCCAATCGATACTCGATTCTCGATACCCAACCCTAATGGGGAGGCTAGTTTGTTTTCCTCCAAAAGTGGGCGTGAACCTATTCAGAGACATTCTATGACGCAGCGCCGGTTGTGCGTATAAAGGCCTTCTGAAGCAAAGTAATGAGATTAAGTAAAATTAATATTTAAAACTTTATAAAGGAAAATAACTAGCTTCCAGCCCAAAAAACATACAGATTCCACTTAGGCCTACGTGTAAAGCGCAACTTTTGCGACATATTGCTGATATTTACGCTACGCCATGTCGCACTATGCTACTTCCGGCTTAATACATTTTGTAAGCTGTCATTATAAAAATGTAAAATTTGGAAGAGCCACAATATATTTTTTAACCCGTTAAGATCTGTGAATATGCGATGAGATGACTAAATGCCTGTGAAGAGACGACTCAACGCCAGCGATATGTTATGCCCTAAATTAATACATGATTGACTAACTGTTTTTTTCTATGTACATTTATGAAATGCACCTTCTGTAAAGCTGCTTTGAAACAATGTTTTGTGAAAAGGCTATACAAATAAATTTGAAAAATGCTAATTAGCCACAAAGAGTGGTTGAAAATGGTTACATTTTTTAAGTAATATGATTATGAAATGATTTAAATTAAACCGCTTTTATATGTAATCTGACCCACTTATTTAAAAAATAAATATGAATGTTTTTCAAACCTCTCTACAATGACCATTTGTTGACACTAAAGTAAAGAAAACTTCATTTTACACTAATTCTTTGGAAAGTATCCTCTATATTATTTGCTGACGTTATTTCAGCGCTCTTGCGAATTTTCTAACTACGTCCATTATATCTGATGACCTGCTTTGAAGATGCATGACCTTAATGATCTTCAGCATCATTAATGAAGAATCAAGAATAAACACCAACCTCTTTGTTCTTCAGTATCTTCATCTTTTATTCTGCAGGGATCTGGATCACTCATGTTCTCGGTGTTCCTCTTCTTCACTTGTAGACTGATGGGAATATTCCAGCATTTATCGGTGAATTGTTGAGGGGTATTCCTGTGTAGAAGGAAGAGCAGATCATTTTAACCCTTCAAGGTCTAAGGGGTTTTAAGCTGGCCTGGCACTATATTGATATTTTGGTTTCTGGAATGGTCAATTTTCATAGCAGAGTGAAGTGAGTCATATTTTTGGATTCTATAGATACATTGTCAATACACTTCTTGAGACATTTATATGTGTTCTAAATTGGAATGTAAACGGTTAATCGATTATTGATTAATTGTCGACAAAAGTTCACTCGATTAAATTAAATGAATTGTCGGCTAACTTAAAGATTGTGAACGTGACACGAGATTCTCACACGAGAGACCCTAACCTGGAAAAGCGTGCTAACCTCGAAGATCCAGCTGTATTCCCACAATAACTTAGCTCTCCTTATTAGCTAGGCTAATCGGTGTTCCGTGAGAGAGCGAGAGAGGTACAGTTAACCCTAAAACCGTATTCTGGACAAATGTGGGCAAAATAGTTTTGATTTATTTTTAAAAAATACTTCCCTTGATCTGAGCGGTACAAGACTTGGCTACTTTTCCTAAGTTTGCCTCCTGAACACACACACATGTTTTTTTTACTCATTTCTACAATCTTAAGTGGGTGAAAAAAAAAACCCTCCTTAATCTTGTATTTGGCTCAAAAATGGGCACCCATAGAAATGAATGGGAAAAACTGCAATTTAGAGCATTCTAAAATAAGCCAAAATAAGACACCAGGTGACGGCAAAGTCACTTCATCTTTAGGTTTAGCTCTAAGAACTTATTGAAATTATATTTTAATGTACTTAAAAAAAAATGAAAAAACAAACCATAATTTACATTAAAAATATGGTACTTTAAGTAAAAAAATTCAAAAATACCCCCAAAATAAAAATAAAAAAACACCATAAATGGATAGACAAAACTTTATCGAAGACAGTGATAACATTACATTTATAATAAATTAAAATTAGGATCACACCTGAGTCCTCTGTGCCCACAATTGTCCACAATTACAGGATTAAGGGCTATAAAGTGAATGCGGTTTGAGGGCTACGTGACAGGTAGCGCTACACGAATGCGCTACGGCGCTCTGAAATCAAACATACGGGACATTTAACATTTAGTTGAACTAGATAAATGCCATTATCTGTACCGTATCCCAACTGTTACTGTTAGAACATCAATTGAGCAATATAACATGCAATTCTATTCAGTATATAAGCAATATTTTGCTTTTTATGTTAATTAATGAATTAATCGATAATTTACATCACTAATTCTGATGTGATGCATCACCAAGAAACACAAAAACAGAAGTTCCTTTTTTTGGTTTTTATTATACAGAACAACAGATTTTACAACAAATATTTTTTCCTCAAAGGCTCTAGAACTTCAAAAAAAAATTGGGTGAAAAAATATAACTATTACTTTTCTTTGACTGTAGTCACCATATGTTCCTTTTTTCTTTTTTTTCTTCTTTTTTTTGAAAAACACAGAAATAAGAAAATATAAAAGGGAACAAAATCTTTATTTGCTTTTCACCAGTCGTTCTTTTCTCACATGTTGTGCCACATATGAAAGCAGTTGCGCTCCGGCTGGAGGCAGAGCGGCACATCACACTCATTGCATTTCCACGAGGTGTCTTTTCTTGGGAGCCCATCCGCCTTGCATTTCTCACACCTCAGCCTTGCAACAGGAATTGAGATAGGCACAGGTGTATGTCTGGTTCTCCTCTGCACAGGCACGGTGCCGACCGTGACGCCACACAGCTCGGCCACGAGCTGCTCCACGTAGGCCCTGTGGGTGATGAGCTGGTTGGCTGGGGTGTTCCTCAGCTTTTGAAGTTCTCTGTATATTATAAAGCCATTGGTCACAGCAATGTCAATAAAATGAAAAAACATGGTTCGGTACCATCTTCTGGTCGTGTGGTGAGCCGAGTAGTACTGTATCAGCTGGTCTGATAGGTCCACTCCCCCCATGTACATGTTGTAATCAACAATCGGTTTTGGTACTGGTATGTTTATCTCCTCCCAGGATCCATCCCTCTTTTTCTGGTTCCTCTTGACAGTGTCCCCATCATAAGCAACATGGACACTGCTGCACATTGCCACCTCCCTGTTGTCCATCCACCTGGTGAAGAGAAGGTCATCTTCTCTTATCCACCTGAGAGCTCCTCTAGGGGATTTCACAGTCAGTTGGTTTATTTTTGTATTCGGAGCGTCCTTCCTCCCCTCACGTATGGTACCACAGGCTCCAAAATGGAGGGACAGCAAGTGTCTGAAGAGTTTTGGGCTGGTGTAAAAATTATCACAGTAGAGGTGATAACCACTGCCTAAGAAAGATGGCCTCATCAATTCCACCACAGAGTCAAACGGGAGCCCTAGCCCAGAGATCAACCTGCTTTTACCTGTGTATATGTTGAAGTCACAGGTATAGCCATTACTGGCGTCTGCCAGCACAAACAACTTTATCCCCCATTTGGTAGGTTTCGCTTTCATGTACTGGGTCATCTCAGTTCTTGCCTTGGTGGCCACCATCCTCTCATCGATGGAAACCTGCTTCCTGGGATGGTAGGCAGACTGACAGGCGGTCTTTATCTCAGTCATCAATGGCTTCAAACGAAAGAGTGTGTCATACTCATCTGGCCGAGTGTGCCTCTTTTTGTCATTCACAACATCTTCCTCCGGGTCACTCATATGGATATTCCAAGATATGGCGCGGAACCGATCCCTTGACATGACCGTGTTCGGAAAATTCACAGAAAAAATGTTTTTTCTCTTCCAATAGTCACTTATGGCCGGGAGCTTTAGAACTCCCATGAACAAAACCAAGCCGATGTATTTCAACATCTCTGCAGGGTTGATGGTGGTCCACTTGTACCTTTTCCCATTAGCAATGTTTCTCTCGGCCAGCTTGTTTGTGTTGGCACACAACGTCCTGATTGATTGAGCACTGAAAAAGTGCTTGAAAAGGCAGAGGGGGCTTTGCTCTACAGAGGTGTCCAATTGCACTCCAGGTTGCCGTTTGGGGCAAAACCTGTGGAGAACGGGGGCCACATCAAGATCCTTTTCAGTCTTCCATACTTGATCCGGCTGGTTTGGTGTTGCTGGACTTCTGAAAGATGAACGTGACTTGCCTACTGGGGAGCCAAACCGACTCTTTGACTCAGAGGGCCTCCTTCCGCTACGATGCAACTTCAAGGGAGTGGTCGCAGGCGATCTTGGTGACCCCGTGGCAGAGCTGGAGGAGCCGGGTTGAGGAGGAAAAATGGATATGCGGGCTGCACGAGGAGACCTAGATCTGTGGGCTGCACGAGGAGACTTAGATTTGTGGGCTGCACGAGGAGACCTAGATCTGTGGGCTGCACGAGGAGACTTAGATCTGTGGGCTGCACGAGGAGACTTAGATCTGTGGGCTGCACGAGGAGTAGAAGCGGTGCTGTGTGAACTAGCGGTCGGGGTCCCCGATTCAGCTGGTGTACTCGGCTGCTCTGTGGTTTCCTGATTTAGACTAAAACACACAGATTTTGTCATTAGTTTAGATTCACACATTTCAAAAGTTGTACTACATTTTTTTATAATGAAATAAAGATTAGCTATTCATCATCATGTGTGCATTTTTTTCATCCAAGTCATAGGACTTCTAACTACAAAAAAATGATTACTTGAGCCTTCATCATAGTGTTATATGCACAGAGTAAATACAATGTCTAAACCAAACCCATGTAGACAAATAGTACAGGCCTTACTGTACGTTCACACCACCGCCGCCGTAAAAAAGTACGGGGAAGCTTGTTGACGTTTTGACGTTGCAGGGAGAATAGAAGTGTCACAACATGAAATGTAATAAACAGAAAAAAAACAAGCAATACATAAAGAAAACTTTTATAATGACAGCATTTTTATAACCGCTTTGGTCACATTTGGTCGGGAAAAAAATAGTTAGCTTTTATTATTATTATTTGCGGCCAAATCGGTGTCACCGTGAGCAAATTAATTGCATTCCCGCTTTAAAACGAGCGTTCGTAAATATTTCAAATAAAAGTTGCGCTCATGCGGTCCAAATAAGCAAACAACGTCCTGTCATAAATGATACGAAACCAGTAGGAAACCCAGCAATGGCGATTATTAGCTTCTCTTCCATTAACTCGGAACTAATGTTTTGGTAGGAACGAAAGTTTACATTGTGTATTTCTCCGGAATCAGCCAGCGTGAAGGACGTCTATATTCCGATTGGTTGCTGGCGTTTTGCCGCTGAACCGCGTCACAGCTCATTACCATAAAGTTTAGCTTGTTTCAACTTTCTGATTGAAGCTCGAAAACGCTCAAAACTGCCAAAACGCGACGCTGATGGATTTGACACTCTTTGCAGCTGAGAAAAGCCAGCTTCCGTTGAAAATGAATGACTTCCGGCCACTTTGGAAGCTCAAGTTGGCGGCGGTGTGAACGTACAGTTAGATAAGGCTTACTGCACCATTATTTCTGAAAAACTACAATAAAATTTCCATAAAAAACGTTACAATAAAATAGACAAAAAAGCCAAGTAAACAAAATAGCTTATAAATGAAGATGGACTACACACGGACAAAATGTGCACATTATTTTATGGCACACAATATTTTATTACTGCTCCGTTATTTCTGGGATGCGTAAATAAAATAATTTTACTAAGAAAAACGATACAATAGCCAAGGCATACATATTAGACAATATATTAGCAGCAATATTGCATTCATAACTACTTACTCCTCAACTGGATAAATTACGTCCAAGAATTGATCCTCTTCACTCGAATCAAACCAATCTGGATCAGATCCGTTCTCGCTCTCAGATCCGTTCTCGCTCTCATCGCTGTCGTCAAAAAACAGTTCAGCAACTTGCTTGGAGTCGGCAGTGAGTCTTCGTCGCGCCATATTCGTCTTTGAAAATAATCAATTGCCAAGTACAAATAAGCATTTCTCCAAATGTGCGCGTCCAAAGACCATGTATGAAAGATTGCGTCAGCAAACAATTTAGGAATCACACCTGGAATTGTTTCGAAACCCCTCCCCTTTTTTTTCGTTCCTAGGACATCTGACATCATTTTATGTTTTTGGTCAGTGACTGGTTCACACACAGGTCTGTGATTGGTTTACACACACCAACAGCATTTTACATTATTAGATAAAATAAAGTAGGCCTACAATTTCTTTGTTTTGCGTAAAATGCTATAGATTTGCACTAAAATACGGAAGGCTTATCATTCGTTTTAATAAATGTGTCAGGGATGCGCACTTTGACGCTCTAGACTGTCAGTCGACTTAATTTTAAGCATTTAAATTGTGTGTATCCATCTTTCAAAAAGGTAGGTTTGTTATTGTTTGTATTATTAAAACCAATATATTCTACATGTTTAAATTTTGCCTGTGAGACTATCAATTTACACAATTTTTATGCATTTTCATTCTCGTATGTGCAGTACAGTCATAAGAACAACCAAATAATGAAATTATGAAAACATACTAGTTAAAATAACAATCCAAGTGATTCAACTTGTCATTTAGCAGTTTTTATTCACTGATTTTAAGTGTTTTATTGCTGTTAAGAATTATTTTGTACTTCAAAAGAGTCAAGTGTGTTTTGTTTTGCTTGCCTTAATTTGTTGTGTTGGATTTGCCGTATCGTTGTTTGTAGAGTAACCAATTGATAAAACCCCATGGGGCAAGAAACGATTAATAGGCTATTAAAATTTCTATTTCTTTTCAATTATTAAAATTAAATGATGTTCTTTGCCTGACTCTAAACAAGTTTTTTTTTTCTTTGCAGTTCCCACTGATGCAAATTCAAAGACCTCATCATTAAATGTTACTATGATATGTTGAAATAGTATTCTGTAAATAAAAGGAAATAAAATAGCCTAGGTAAAACAAACAAATGGATGTAGTGAGGAATCTTTGTCTGCTTTGTCCTCCAGCTGTCAATCAGAGTCAGTAAATCAGCGAGAGATCTTGTAGCTGGCGCGACCTTGGGTGACGTGACGCGACGCGCACTCCATTATGAACAAAAAGATGGAATCGATTTATTCAAAGACATGACTTGGCCTTAAAATTATGCTTTTCTTTTTTTTTTATTTTTTTTTATGTATTACATAATTTGATGTATGCATACCCAGGATGCTTATTTTCTGTTAGGTACTATTGTTTGTTTGTTTGTACACCTTGCCTTACTTCCCTGTGTTGGTATTTTTGTATAAGTTCTGCAATAAAAAAAAAATAATAAATAAATAAAAAAAAATGGAATCAAGTATAAGATGATCATAAATAGGTAAATAAGAGCAGGATTGCACTGTTGTGTATGCACGAACCGTCAATGATTATAAAACCTCATAATGATCATAAAAGTAAGTGTAAGCGAAATTAAATTGTGTCCGCGCTTAAGATCGCTTCCATGCGTTCACAGTCACATTCGGCAACAATAATACCCTATTATCGCAACAAACATCGAAAAACACAAACAAAGAAAACACACATACACCATCCTGATTTTAACACACACTAGTGTGTCCTGCTAAATGTTAATTTCCGTCGACAGATGCCAAAAAAAGACGCACATATTGAAAAAATACATAAATCACTCTTTTAAAAGGCTTCTTAGGGGTTATTGTGCAGTTTATAATTATATAAATATACGTGACACCATAAACAGCAATTACCTCGTCAGAAGATTCTTCTTCGTCTGTTTCTATGGCTGTTAGCAAACCAAACTAGCTTATTATGTGCTTTACCGCCACCTATTGAACGGGAGTGTGGATCAGAAGAATTGGCGGAATGCAGGGGAAGAAAATATATAATTAGCAATAACCTTTATACTCGCTCCATCAGACCTGTTTCTTTCAAAAAGTTTAGTTTAATTTTTTAGTGCTTCTTTTAATTCCTTCCTTTCCTTTTCATATACATAATCTATATCAACACATGTTGGACAGATTGGTTGATTGCAAAGTAAACACATTGTTGATCCATTAATGTCTTTTTGAGCCTTGTATGTCCTTTCTGAGATGTCCTTTCTGAGATGAGTGATAATCCTTTCTTCACTTTGATTTTCACTCAGCTCCCTATCCATGCCAATTACCAATTAGCTTTTGGATACCATACAAACGTCTTCATCAGTAGATTCGATGCTGACTGATGGATGTCATCACTGCAATGCAACAACGCATGTTATAAAAAAAGGCTGTGTCCTAATGGACCACTTGCACTGAGCTTCGAGGCGCACTTACATTTGGAAATAGTATAGTATCTCACTTATTTCCGGTTATGTTTATGTTCAATGTATACGTCAGCTAAAATGAGTGTCCGCAATAAGATTTAAAAACGCTGTGTATGTTATTTCAATTTCAATTTCAATTTTTGATTAAACTGCATCAGCTTGAGATGTTCAGTGAGCATTACAGCATCTCAGACAATATAATAAACTACTGCAAGTTTATATGAGACAGACACCACTAGAGGGTGATATAGACAACATTTAAAATCTGTGCATGTTTGCACACGTGTTTGAGACGCAGAGGGTGTGCAAAACGTGCTGAAACGCTGCATGGGGTACAAATGAACCCTTGGTCTAATGGTACTAGAAACTAATGTAGTGTTCTCAATGCCAAGTTTCCATGGGTGAGAACAAAGAGTCAACTGAGAAGCAACGGAATACAAAACAGTTCGGCTACAGTTCCCACAGTGTATGTTCCTTGTCCACTGTATGCAGTTTATTTTGTAAATCATGATTTGATGGACTCATAAAGTGTTAGACGCACTTTGAACATTAACTTCAAGAAAACTACTGTTATGAAAAACATTAAAAGAAGATGTCAGTCTCTTTGTTGAACAGGAAATAGTGGCCTTCCAGAACCCAAAGTGTCAGAAGATCTCTAGATAGTGTGAACGAGTGGTTATAGAAATGAAATGAAATAATGTACAGCTTACATGTTTATCAGATGCTAATGGGATTCTGTGCTTAAAAATGAATGCTGTGCTGAAATAATCTATATCTATTTAGCCTTACCGTCACAAAAACACCCGCCAGTGGATTCTGTGATATATGTTAGGGAAATAAAAAAAACATTCAGATGATCAGTTATCGGGCTGTAAAATCTAAAGAGAGTTGTTTTTCACGCTGAGACGAAAATTACAGGAAGGAGATGTGCAGTTCAGGAAGAGCAGAAAACCACAGTCCCAGCTCACAATCTTTAGGTTTTTGTCTATGAAAGAGCTGATTTTTCCCTGATGCTCATTTAGCTACAGTAAAGATATCTTAAATACTGATATATCCACACTGAATACGTTAACTATTCTGCTGAACTCATCACTCGAGCAGAGAGGGCGGGCAAAGTAACCCGAAATCTGGAAATCTGGGAACTGAAATCAAGAACTAGTGTTTTGGATTATCTTTCACTGAAAAACATCAACACTGAAGAAAAATACCTTAATCGACTAGCGTTTCCTAGACAACAACGTAGTGTTGAGACGATTCATGCTACCTATCGAGATTTGCTACTTACCGGTTATGCGCATGTGCAGACTCACAGTTTTTATTTATTTATTTATTTTTTACAAAAGGTACATTTTCCTGTTTTAATGTATAAGTTCCCTTTAAAAAAAGCTTACTACCATATGAATATTTGTACGGTCAGCCAGCTGAAAAAGAATAACTGAAAGTTTCAGTTACTATGAGGAAAGGTGTACTTTGACAAGTCAAAGATGAATATTTTATGATAATTTTTACTTTTCACACCGTTTTAAAAATAAAAACAGTAGTCTACAGTATACAGTAGCTACTCATAACTTAGAATTGTATTATAATTGTATTTCATACGACTTTAATCGGCATTCTGTGATCAATTCCCGCTACGGTAGCATTTTTCGACAAGGCAGCAAAAATCGACAGAACACCGGCCCACCTCTGGTACATGTGGGATACTATGTTGCTGTCTGTGTTGATTTTGTGAAAAATTTTAATAATAAAACACACTAACTTAACACCTTTGACTAGGATCAACTTCAGGATCCATCAAAATCATTGTTTGTTTTAAACGTAGGCTTATATTTAGTATTTAAAATGTTCAATTAATATGGCCACGTATTTTAGTAGGAATATTTGTCAGAAATTTCGGTCTTTTTCTCTAAAATTTTCATTTTAATTCAGCCAGCATCTTTGTACAAACACCACCTGAGGCTATACAGACATAATTAAAACCATATACCGATTATTCTATAATGGGCCGCTGTGGATTTTTTGCAATGATGAATGACATATAAAAAAATACATAAGGTATGGTTTACTTTAATATCCCTCACTGGTTTCACAGCCAGCAGTAAACCATACAATCATGCCTTCACAAAAATTGTTCTTTGGTTTCACTTTACATAAAGCAGATCTTTTGTGTGACTGTACTGGAATAGCACTCACACCCTCTCTTTGTTCGGCCATATGAAGACGATCTATCGCAGATGTCACCATCGATGACGATGACCCATCGTACCCGTTTTAAAACTACAGCGCCTCATTGCTGAGACGCTGAACAAAACATCAGCGCAGTTTCCGCTCAGCTGCCTGAAGGTCTGTAGGTCTGCAAACACATACTTGTGATTAATGAAAGCCTGGATTCAATATCCCAGATCAAACATCTAATGCATCCATCATAAACCTCTAAAGCAGAAGTAATGGATTTGTGGATTTGTAAATTGGTCATGGTGCCATTGGTCACATGCATTTTCGAGAGTGTTTACAGGATGTGGCTTGTTCCAGTTAGTCTATCATAAGTCAAATCCACCAATATAAAACACACAAATCAAGAGTTTATCTTTTCAAATCTGAACTTTAGGAATAAGGCATATGGCATTGGCTCACATTCAAGACTCATTTTCAAGATAAAAATGTCAATGTAAAAAGCTTTTTAAATATTTATGAACAGGAAGCAATAAAGTTACTCATGCGCTCACCAGTATAAATCAGTAACAGCATTAGCTTAGATAAAGAGCATCGGTAAGCAACCAAAACACTTCAAAATAAGGATTCTTTCATTTGTTTTAAAATAAAATATAATAATCTACAAATCAATCAAATAAATGAATATACATTACTGTAAAAAATTGTTAATGACAAAAGTTCATTTCATGTATTTATGTATTCAGGTTTCTGATTCATTTCTGTCACAAATTGAGCCTTTTATTGCATGTTATATTAAAAAAATTGACTTTATAGGCTTAAGAGAACGTTTTAAGTGTGTTTGCATGATTTGACCACTTTAATATTTTTAATTATTATAAATACAGGCATTTGTGTTGCAGAAAAAGCTAACAAAATGGTTTAAATCAATAAATATAAAAGAAAAATGGTCTTCTAACAGATTGAATGGATGTATATTCTTTCAGTGTTAGTCTTTTATAGTGAATTATTACAACAAAATGCTTCTTATTTTGGTACGTATTTCTATTTTGCAGTCTGCACAGTCCGAATGCGAGAAGCTTCATGCACTTGACACATTACCTGCTCCGCTCAGAACGAGATGTGTGTGGTCTTTGGTGAGATGTACGGGTGTCTATTATTGGAGATATGAGCGGAAAGTGCTGGAAACGCTGTGTGTGGGTGAGAGGCTGCAGGCGAAGTCCTGCAACATAAAAGAATAAATGTGTTGCATTACGTTAAAACAACATAATTCATCATATGTAGGCCTATACATTAACACAGAACAAGCTGTTCAGATTCACTTTTACCAACAAACACAAAAAAATGAATGGCTATATTGAACAGAACAAACGTTTTCACGTTACGAAAAATGCAAAGAACTGAGCTGAGAATTAAAAGAAGAGGAAAAAGCTAGAAGTGAGAAAATATAACTGAAGGAAACTCTTGCACAAACTTGAAAGTCATGTAAGTCATGAAAGGCTGCATTGAGGATGATGGCTGACCTTGACCTTATGCTTCCTTCAGTGAGAACAATAAGTCTACTGAGATTAGACTGAATACAATGAACAAACTCTGAATATTTGTATTATATTTCCTACAATACAACAAGCATGTGTGCGGATGCTTTTGTAAATCAGAATTTGCTGACAAAGAACATTATGGATGGTTTTCAAAAGAACATCCTTTTTAATATGTCATTTGAATATCCAATAATAATGCTACACACAGGAAGAGAGGTCAGCATTATTCCCACATGCACAAACATTCACCACACACACTTATTTTCAACTTAACTAGATTGCTGTACAGGAAATGGTGGCCAACCAAAACCCAAAGTGTCAGAAAATCTCTTGAATCTCTAGTGTGAACTAGTGTCTAAGTGAAATGACATCAACTATTCAATGAAGTTTACGCAGCCTAACTTTTGTACACTGATTTGACATCTCATATTGTATTTAAAAGCAGGATGTGCTAAGCTGTTAAACACCATATTCGTTGTCATAATGCCAACATGTCATTGTCTTTTCAGATTAAAAAAAACACCTGTAAACCGACTCTGTGATTTACTAGTTGTGTTATATGGAAATAGTAAAAACTATTTTTTTGATTAGAGACAAATGTAAGCAGGAAAATGTTTACAGTCAGCTGTTAGTTATAGAGCTTTTGATGTAGGCTACTCTGACATTCTTTTTTTTTTCTGAGAGAAAAATGACAGGAAGAAGTTGAAAAGCTTATAGAAGAGAAAACCACAAGTAGAGCAAAGTAACAAAATCATGCAAAAAAAATATGCACTATAACACACTCATAAACAGTCCCAACTCACAGTCTCCATCGATGATGAAAAAATGATATTTTCCTCTGTAAAGACGTCTAGAACTGGAACGGACCCTGAAGGGGCGGGCCTAAAATCCTGAAGTCTTGAAACCATGAACGCGCTTTGGGTTCTGTATTTCTTTTTATCTATTTAATTTTTTAAATGGTTAAACGTTAAATGTTGAACGGGCGGAGTCACGGCTGTTCCATCTGGAGCCCATCCTCATTGTAACGCATGTGTGTACCTCGCCTTCAGATCTTAAACGATCATGAATTCAGATTTTAGTAGTAGGCCTGCTATTCGAAATGGTGTTTTAGACGTTTGATTACTTTAGTTTTTCGATTTTCACAGATCAAGCGGATAGAAATGCTCGTAACGCATTGTTGGCCAAACGAGGGTTACACGTACCACGAGCTCTGAATCACGAGGATTTATTTATTTATTTATTTTAGGGTGGATCGGATATGTAGGGAATTTGGAATATGCTTCAAAAATCATTTTTCTTCTGTCTGTGGATTTGTTTCTCACGTGGTAAGTGTATTAATTTTTATTAAATGTGCTTTCACTCCTCGTTCACACAATGAATGCATTTTCAATATTAGTAAGGGTGGAGGAGGAATTACGAAAGTGGAAACGTCCCAACAAAAAGTCTTCAGGGAGAAAAAAGGCATGCTCGTGTCAACAGGTTTGAGTTCAGCCTTGCCCAAAAACATCTGGAAAACATCCTCTGTGGAAGAGTAAACAACTGACTGCAGTTCCGTTCCAGAAGAAACGTTGTTAAAATTATAAACAAACGTATAATTTGTATAATGTTATATTATTTTGGGTGTGTGTTTGAGTTAGTGAACTGTGTAAACCGTATGTTTTTGCCATGTAAGTTTCTCTGCAAAAAAAAAGTTATAAATAAAAAAATCATTATATTTGTGTTTCAGGTGTGTTTGGCGCTGGTACAGATGAAGTGAAGTCAGTGTCAGTGACGGAGGGAGATTCTGTCTCTCTAAACACTGATGTTCAAGTACAAAGAGATCAGATACTGTGGGCTTATATACATGACCGTTCAGAGATTCGTATCGCTGAAATCTATAAGCAGATTATTGATATGTTTGACAGTAATGTGAGATTTGGAGACAGACTCCAGATGGACAGTCAAACTGGATCTCTGACCATCAGAAACATCAGAACCACAGACTCTGGACTTTATAAACTGAGCATCTTCAGCAAAACTAACACACACAAAAGTTTCAGTGTTACTGTCTATGGTGAGTAAAATTAAGTTTTGATCAAGCAGTCTAGATAGTGGGCTGGTGTAGGGGGATTGAGGGATGGAGATATACAGATGTTTATGTTTTGTGATTGCCTGGGATGATTATTAAATGAACATTCTGCTCCTGACCTGAACCATTTACATGTTTTCCAGCTCCTCTACAGACTCCTGTCATCACCAGAGACTCTTCAGACTCTTCATCATCATCATCATCTAAACGTTCATCAGTGTCCAGATGTTCACTGGTGTGTTCAGTGTTGAATGTGAGTGATGTGACTCTCTCCTGGTATAAAGGAATCAGTGTATTGTCCAGCATCAGTGCGTCTGATCTCAGCATCAGTCTCTCTCTACCTCTGGATGTGGAATATCAGGATAACAACACCTACAGGTGTGTGATCAACAATCCTGTCAGAAACCAGACCACACATCTGGACATCACGCAACTCTGTCACACGAGTGCAGGTACTGCAGTGCTGATATTATTGATATTTTAATTGGTGATTTTAGATTTACTTTCACAGATTTCCAACAGAGACGTATTAACTGAGATGCAAACATTACAGAACTCGTTCATAATTATTTATTTTTTTCTGTTTGTTCATTACAGAGCGCGTTCAGTCGTCACAACGGGTGGGAATATTGATTAGTTTGTTTCTGGCTTTAGTAGTTGTGGCGGCAGTAATGTGTCTTAGAAGGAAGAGTAAATCAGCAACACAAGCAGGCAAGTATTACTTTTTTTCAAAGAAATTAATATCCAGGGTTCATTCACTGAAATGTGCCACAATATCTGTTTTTAAAACACAATTTCAGACTTATTGTGTAGTTTGAAAATATGAATATTAATATCATTTAAACAGTCCGGTCTTGTGCGGAAGAAGTACTTTATGCCGAAACAACATTTCGTGCACACAGTGTTCACAGTACGGTAAGACACTGTTTGACTGAAACCTCAGCTTTCACCACAGGCGCTAAGAAAAAAGCTGTTTGTGCTTATGAGCTGTAGCGGTGTCATCTTGTGCTAATGTTAGCCTTCGTACCTTATCCGCGCAAAATGTGGCCTAAGACAAGTTATCTGTTTTATTCTGCGCTTTAAAGTGCTCAATTTTGCTTAATGTCTGTTTTTGCTTGCACTTTTCATGCTAAGGTTTCAAATTTACACAGTAGCGTCCTCAAGCCACAGAACCATCAGATAACTTTAGAAACACAACACACTATCATGTGCTCTCATCTCTCAGGCTCACTATGCTTTAGGGAGGATGGAGGTTTTCAGTTTACACTATACCAAGATTAAAGCATTAGGAGCCACCAGTTGACATTTGTGCAGCTCCACCAGTCATTAACATTGAACAACGAAAAAATATATAAAGTTAATTAGACAAAAAAATCCCAAAAGCAAGACAGAAGGCATCCCGTTATGGCAGAACATATTAGTAAGTCTGTTTGACAATCTAGGAAAATATCATGTTTTGCCGCTATCATGTCCTGTGCTTGTAATTGTTTTTTTTTGTTGTTTGTTTAGTTTTTTTTTTAATTCAGCAACGGCTGAATCCTTGAGGCAAATTTGGATTTTTATATTTTTTATTACAGTGGATGAGAGATCTTAATAAAAAATAAAATAAAATAATACAACTTAATAAAAAAACTGAAGAAAACAAAACATTTAGAACTCAAATGCAAATTAGGAAAAGATCGGTTTTGCAACACATGTGCTGCAAATACTCACACAACGCAACCAAGGACAGAAACACGCTGGAAATAGCTACTCATAATGCAACCGAATACAAAAGCGCATTTTTCAACGTCCTTCTGGGTCCCACTTTATATTAAGTGGCGTTAAGTACTATGTACTTACATTTAAAAATAAGTACAATGTACTTATTGTGCTCATGTTGTGTTGTAAATCACTTTTGGTGCTATTGAGGTGGGATACGGGTAAGGTTAGGGACAGGTGTGGTGGTATGGGTAGGTTTAAGGGTAGGTTTAAGTGTAAGGGATGGGTCAGCTGTGTAATTACAGATGTAATTACATAAATTAATTACGGCTGTAACTACATGCTGGTATTTTTTAAATATAAGTACAATGTAAAAACATGTACGTACACAATAAGTCCATTGTATCAAATTATTAATTTCAATGTAAGTACATGGTACTTAAAGCCACTTAATATAAAGTGGGACCTGTTTGGGTATTTGCAGCACGTGTTGTCAGACTGATGACTAGTTTTCTTTATATAATGTTTTTTTCTATTTGCATGTGCTTTTGTTTCAGTTGGCGCACGTTGAGCTCTCTCGGCCACCTTATTTTATATTGAAGGATTAAAAGAACATTAACTGACTGTTGTTGTATATATAAATATATATATATATATAATATATATATATATATATGAAGAGTTATTAATTGTCATTTAAGTGAAATCACTGAACTTAAATATACAAGCTTGATACAAATGATCATTCTAGAAGAAAATTTCGAATGGCACTTAGAGGCTTTTGCATCTAAACTATTAGTTTATATATATATATATATATATACACACACACACACACACACACACACACATATATATATATATACACACACATATTTATATATATATATATATATATATACACAGTATATATGTATATATATATATATATATATATATATATACACATATACATACACATAATATATATATATATATATATATATATGAAGAGTTCAGATGCAAAAGCCTCTAAGTGCCATTTGAAATTTTCTTCTAGAATGATAATTTGTATCAAGCTTGTATATTTAAGTTCAGTGATTTCACTTAAATGACAATGATAATTACCTATTAATTGTTATTTAAGTGAAATTACTGAACTTAAATATACAAGTTTGATAAAAATCATCATTAAAGAAGAAAATTTCAAATGGCATTTAGAGGCTTTTGCATCTGAACTCTTCATATATATACATATATTTATCAGATCTATAAACTTATAATTAAAAACTTAATCAATTATAAAAAGTGTGTGTGTGATATACAGTATATGCACACACAAACAAAGTTTTTTTGTTTTTCACATTTTAATTCCTATGTTTTGTTTTCTTTCAGAAAGCTAATGGAGAAGACCACGTCATATACTCGGGTGTTAATGTAACGTGACATATTCGGTGTATGCCCATGTTAAGTATTTTATTCAAGTACTTTACTTCAAACATTTCTCTCAGTATTTTCTGCGACCAATATTACACTGCCATGTAATTATCAAGTAACTCAATTTTTAGAGAAAGTGAAGGGTAGACTTGCAGAGAGTTATGAAATCCCGAGCTTCCGTTTCATCAGGATTTGATCAGTATTCCCGCATCAGGATTTTCTCTCGCTTGCTCTAACATTCCATGTAATAGACTTTCAGTGACTATTAATATTCTTTATTCATTGATACATTTTACTCTAGAATACTTGATTCTGATTGGTCCATTGCCATTGAAATATTTGTGAATAATCACAGCTCAGTGTTGAATCGTACAATGACCTGCCATCCTGCTCTAACTTGTTCTGCGGTTAGATGTTTACCTGTTAGACATGTTCATACAAGCTCAACTCTATTACGGGAATCTTTCCTCCCTTATTTTGACCTTTTAACTGTGAGTTGTATAGACCATTTCACAAGATGTAAACAACACTGGTCCAGAAACACTTCCTGTTTCAGTTTGTAACTGTTTTCTTTATTTCACATGCAAAGAAAACATCTTGAAGGTGTTTGTTTAACTTTTTGATTCAGTTTTAAATGTTCTGTTGGTTGTATTTTATCCCAGCTTTTATGTAGTGTTAAAAAACTGAAACAGGAAGTGCTTCTGGACCAGTGTTGTTTACATCTTGTGAAATGGTCTATACTTATTAACAACATGCATAACAAACTGCATTTTTTTTATAGAGTTTTTATATGTTTTTGTACGGAATTTTGCCCAATTTTTGATATACATTTGTATATTTTAATGTTAGATTTTTGGACCAAATGTTTCATTATTATGCATTCACTGTGCCTTAAGACCATAATTTCTAAGCATGTTGGTATTTCTATTTCTTTATCTACACAACCTTGCCAATGTGTTTTAATCTGTCACCACTGCCAAGACCACATTTGGTCTCTGCTCTTCTGAATCTGTTCCAGCTGAGAAACTGCCATTGATATGAAGAATGATGATGCTAACAGATAGCTTGTGTCTTTGTTCATTTTATGGAAACCTTTTCTTATTTCTCTACGGTTATGTTTAGTTGTTCAGCTTGTCAGACTAGACATGTTTGTGTAAGCTAAACTAAATGCAGGAGTCTTTACATCCTTACAATGAGCTCAGCAGAAAAAAAAAGTTGTATACCCCATTTTTTAAATGTAAAATCTCAACAAGAAAGGTTGTACTTAATCCCAGTGTTGTGTGTTGTGTATTCCATACTGACCTTGACATGCTAATGTTAATTCAATTTAAGTCACAGATACAGTAGTAACATGTGGCACCCTTAACAAAACACTTTGGTATTTTTTCAATATTTAGTGTTATCTGAAACTGCACTTAACACTTACAAAGTTTTTTTTTTTAAGTATTGTGCCAATAAAAGCCTTTTTTAACCCAGTATTTACAAAGCATCTTTTACTTTCTACTGACTTCTGCCCAGACAGACCAAGTTTGTCATGTTCTAAAACTACATGAAGATTTTATGGAGTGATATTCATTAATTATTGATTAATATAACTGAAAAGTGTGTGTAAACTCTGTTAATTGTATAATGGAGTGAGTCAACATCACTGACACTAGAGGGAGCCAGAGCGGAGATAACAACAGCAACCATGTGACCCAATTTCTGGTTGATCTTCAAAATATGAACCCAGATTTAGTCCCAATTAACATACATGTACTTGTACTATCCAGCTGTCTAGTGTATCAATTGTATATGTTTTGTTATTTTGACATCCAGTGTCAGTCTGATATTCACTGAGTGCATAAAGTGTCTAACGCTCCACACAAATTTACTTTTTTTCACATTTTTCGCAGGGCACATTCGGGGGGGAATTTTCAGTTTGAACGCACTGCTTGCACAAGAACACAAATTGGGATCCAGCAAAAGATTGTATAAGCTAAGATGGTGCACTAATACCGTTTTTATGAATTACTAAAACACATTTCTTGAAACTCACTTTCTCAAAACCAACACAAAACCAACTTTTCAAACCATATTCAGAGAACCTCTGATTCGTCTGTCAAAATCAAACAATTGAACTGTTTTATCTGTGCTCAAAATCATACACACAGCGAGCCAAAATTATCAACACTGCAGACCATTCCTTAGACACTACATAAATAAATGGAGTTACAGGGGAAGAAAAGTATATTATAACAAAGTAACCAAATTTTCCAATTACATAAAAAGTATAGTAATGATAACGTACAGTAGTAAGACGAATAAATGGTATAAATACTGTACTGCAAGTGTAGTATTGTAATGGATATTGTATAGTAGGCCCATCGAATGTCTGTACTGTATATTCAGCACTAGCATACTGTGAAAATACAGTGACCCAACCGCAAAAGCCAAAAAGATTACAGTTAAATACTCTAAAAGAAACCATGTCTTCATGTTGAGTCCGGTCTGAGGAGTGTGTCCACATCACACACACACACCACATCATCTCAGACAAAGGGGAAAACCCTAAAGCAGATCAAGCCTTGAACACATGCTCTTTCTCTTTCTCTTCCTCCTCCTTCACCACCTCTCATACACATACTCTTCCTTCTCTTCCTCTTATATAGTTTCATCCATTACTGGTATCAACATTGAGTAAATTTTGGTACTCTGAACTGACTGGTATTATAAACACAGTTGTTTGAACACATCAATAGAAATAATGTTTGCCTGCCTGTGTTTAGCATTTTAAAACATAAGTGCGTCACAGTGCGAAATGTGTTTCAATGAGTAAAAAAGTGTTTAGAGTGCATGATATTTGCAAACAGTGTTTTAACTATCGGAACTTGTTTAATGTTTTACAGAAAGAGTGATTTATTCGACAAATTAGCAAAGGCGGACGTAGCACACAGCTTTATTACTTGAGTGAAAGCACAGATAGCCTTTGCTAAATTTTACTCAAGTACAAGAAAAAGTACTAGCAACCTGATCTCACGGGAATTCGTATGAATTTTACGAGGTGGCTAATTTGTAACAATTCATACGATTTCACTCGTACAAATTAGTACGATTTTGCTAAATCGTACATATTTTACGAATTGGCCAATTCGTATGAATTCGTACGAATGACCTACCCCTGACCCCGCCCCTAAACCTAACCATCACGTGGGTTTAGACAAATCGTACGAATTCGTACAAGTGAGGTCGTACGAATTAGCCACTTTTTAATCACTCGTACGAATTCGTACGAATTGGTCGTGAGATAGGGTAGCAAACAACCACAGTCAGATGTCTAGTCTACTTGTTTTTAAAAGTACTTGAGTATCAAGAGTACTTACATTTATGTACAGAAACGTCCTACATGTACTTTTTCAGAAGTAGTAACGGGTACTCACGGTTATGGATAGAAATGTAGCGGAGTAAAGTGTACAATATTTCCCTCTCAAATGTACTTGAGTAAAGTCATGAGTACTCCCCATAAATGATACTCGAGTAAAGTACAGATCTCTCAAAATTGTACTTAAGAACTGCACTCACAGACTGATCTCATGAAGTAGCGTGTGTATGACACGCCAATTCGTATTTCCATTTTTGGCGTGCTATCAAGACGCATAATCGCCTTTCAGCGTGTTTATGAACGCCGTTGACTTAACGTTATATAAATATATGACTTACCTCAACCCCGTCCCTAAACCTAACCGTCACTGGGGTTAATGGCATTTATGACTGTTCCCTTACCATCCTAGGTAAAAAAAAAGATATGACTTACCTCAACCCCATCCCTAAACTTAACCGTCACTGGGGTTAATGGCATTTATAACTGGAGATTTGACTGCGTGTTCAGACACGCGGAATGACGCAGACGTTAATGGCGTAGACATATACGCATACACGCGAATGCACGCGGATAGCTCAAAATGCGTAGAGATAACACGCCACCTGACTCGAAAGTGGCGTGTATGTTTACGCAAAAGTCATGATGTCATGTTGGCACTCAAGCAAATGTACTCTGTTACTGTCCGGCTCTGTAAATTAGGCTATTGAGAATTTGGTTCAGAGAATGGGGTTTAGAGTTTAGTGTGCCGTCACACTATCAAAAATGTCCTACTTTCCACTTCTGAGGTCGTGATTACAAGTGCTTTGTTGTCAGAACAGGAATCATGGAGGACACCCGGTTCATTCTTGCCTGTTTATTGGGAAAATCTTATTAGAGACAAAAATTTGATTTAGCGCCCCATTCATTGTCAAACATAGGCCTAAAAATGAACCACATTATCTATCTAGCTGACAATTCTGGTGTTTTGGTCAAAACCAGGCTATTTTGACTGTTTAAAACCTACAATACGCTTCAGATGATTATTCACATATGTAAATATGGACTACTTTAATAGCAAGACGAGGCGATGTAGCTGTTGTGGAAAAACGAATGAAGAACAGCAGTCATGGCAGCAATCGTCAGTTCTCTCCTCCTCCATGTTTCAATTTCATTGTTCACCCAACTTTGGGAACTTGGGTATTCATATTATCCCAAACTTCCCAGTGGTAAGTTCAACTTGAGATGGCGTTCATGTTGAATTTCTAACTTACGGTAGTTCTGATAGCATGCGGTCATTTTGAAGTAAGTCATTAAAAGCAGTTATTATCAAATGCCGAACATATAGCGATTGCATCATTACCATTGTATATACATTAACTAATATTGTAAAAAATATTATTGAACTTGACATGCTTATCACAAAAACTTTGCATTGAAGCAATTGTGCAGAATGAACATGAGCTTCTTTGTGGCTTTAGCAGCTCGGTGAGTCAGAAAGATACCTGTCAGATCTATATAGGTCAGTGTAAGGTATCAAGTGTGTTTTGTTGTTGTTGGCTGAATGCAGTAGGTGGTTTTTTGGTGTACCTATTATTGAGCTCACAAGAGTGCACTCGAGTGTTAGTGTGTATAAAAGTGTCTGAGTGGGTAAAGAGATGCTCTTGTTAAAACTCCCTCACTAGGCCTCAGCGCTTCACTGGAAACTAACGTTGTCTGAACTTTGTGGGAATTAGAAGGCATATGAATACTTCAAACATCATTTGTCTTTAAGTGACTAAACCGAGACAAGCTTTTATCCCAGATTCTAGGTTGCTCTAGTTAGGTTGTGCCCCGCGCTCCCCTAAAGGACCAGAAAATAGTCCTAGTTGAATGATTGCATTTTCTGGTCCTTTAGGGGAGCGCGGGGCACAAGAAAAAAACGGGAAAACAAACTTTAATTGTTCATTTGTAACAGAAGTGTATGTTGCTTGTGTTAAAAAACAATACTCTAACTCCATTATTTTTTTAAACAATTGACTCAAACCCCTATGTGTTTTCAAAAGGTGTGAACACAGATGTTGTGTCTTAGCTGTGAAGGAAATGGTGGCCTACCAGAACCCAAAGTGTCAAAAGAAAAAACCCTCTAGATGTAAACTGATAAGAACGAGGCTGTTACGGTTTCTTGGTGGTCTGGGGTCGTACATTGGCACTGTTCTGAATAGCATGCTACAATACTACTCTATTTATGCAGTGGTCACTCACACTTTGGCGAAAGAAACACGTTTGATCAAGTGTCGTCCACTGTGCCCTGTTTGCATATCATAAAGGGTATTTAACAATAGAGTATTTAATACACAATAAAAATACTTCAATATAATATTTGCCAACTTTTACACTGCATGCTTCAAATGTGTTTAAAACTGTCATGAGGAGAGCTTCTCAGATAACCCCCCGGCTCCTCCAAACGTTTTCCTCCTCGTCTACAGCAAATAAACATTCACATTCCAACGTTGGACCAATGTGTAGCCTAATTTCAAGAGCGCCATACAAATTAAATTAATTAATGGGACCTTTATACACTAAGTGATATGATTATTTGAGATGAAAAAAAAAAATTTATCAGAATAATGGATACAACCAGCCTACTTGTCCACTTATTTGCTATTTTATTTGACAGATATTATGAAAAGCATGTTAATTTAATGTGAAAGCAAGTTAAAACGTTGAGTTACAATCTGTTGAGTTCACTTGTACATCCCTTACAAACATGTAGAGGACCTGCGATATCTGATTCTGATCACTATACTAAAACACTCGTCGAGAGAGAGAGAGAGAGAGAGAGGGAGACAGGATGGTGTGGGTGTGTGTGGGTGTGTGTGTGTGTGTGGGGGGGGGGTGGCTTGAGCGTCTAAACTCCAAGATCTACTTCAGAAAAGACTGAAAATGCAAACCTAATAGGACTGTCTTCATAGCAGCTGATTATGAATTGCTTTTAAACGTTTTTAATTATCATAGATGTTTTTGATGTTGTGATGGAACGTGAGTAGACTATGAGAATTGTTTAAATGGTTTTTCAGAAAAATGATTTGCGACGCATCTTTCTTCTGTCTGTGTTCATTGCTCTTGAACGGTACGTCACAATTAAACTTTAAAATCAGAAAAATACTATGAATTAGAAAAATAATAATGATAAACTGTGAGTCAAAACTGCTGTTAAGTTTCTATTTTATTTGTTCATTTAAGGGTTGTTTGTCTGAAGTCCCTCCATGATTTGAATTGTTTCGTGCACTCTTTTGTGCTTTTTTTTCATAAATATTAGCCAATATTTGATATTGAACAGTCTTTTATTTACATAAAGGGAGTTTGATTGTTTTTTTTTTTATTTTTTGTTCAGGTGTGTTTGGCGCTGGTACAGATGAAGTGAAGTCAGTGTCAGTGATGGAGGGAGATTTTGTCTCTCTAAACACTGATATTACTGAAATACAGAAAGAAGATCAGATACTGTGGATGTTTGGACCTCAAGAGACTCGTCTTGCTGAAATATATATCCAACCGATCAAATATTTTAATAGCGAGAGATTCAGAGACAGACTCCAGATGGACAGTCAAACTGGATCTCTGACCATCAGAAACATCAGATCTGATCTCACTGGACTTTATAAACTACAGATCCTCAACAACAGAGGAACTTCATACAAGAGATTCAATGTTACGGTCTATGGTGAGTAAATCATTCTCATGATGATTCAGATGGTGATGATACTCAAAAATAAAACTTTTGATTAATCTGGATGTTCATAATTAGAACTGACAAAAGTAAAAACCAAAACCCATTTTCTACACTTGGTTTTATACATAAATTGATAGTAACTAGTTCTTATACAAGGATTCAACACATTGGTGTTAAAGTGTGGAACAATGTTAGAAAAGCTGCAACTCCATGTTTAGAGACTCATAGTGAAATAAAGTTTAGGAGAATAAACTGAATTAACTGTAATTATGAATGAATAAAAGTTAAGGCATGTTTGAAAATCTTACTTACCAATGTCTAAGATATCATTGATTGTTCCTTAAATAACATTTCAGTTTTTATGTTATAATTTCCAGCTCGTCTGCCCACTCCTGTCATCACCAGGCACTTTTCACCAGTTCACAATCCTTCATTATCATCATCATCAAGACCATCAGAGTCCAGATGTTCACTGGTGTGTTCAGTGTTGAATGTGAGTGATGTGACTCTCTCCTGGTATAAAGGAATGAGTGTATTGTCCGGGATCAGTGCGTGTAATATCAGCATCAGTCTCTCTCTACCTCTGGAGATTCAGTGTCTGGATGATTCCTACAGATGTGTAGCGTCTTATTCATTCACCAACAGAACTACACACCTCAACACTGATCTCTGTCACACATGCTCAGGTTCGTCAGACTTCAGTATTTGCTGGATGTTAATGTTGTAAATACTACAGGGAAAAACTGTTGAGTTGATCTTACTTAGCTTTAAAGATTTTGTTCAAAAGTTTGATCTCAATAACCCATCTTATAGTGTCTTTATAGTTGAACTCGCATATACACTTTGTCACATTAACACACTCTTAGAAGAAAAGGTTCTATATAGAACCTTAAAAGGTTCTATCAGCGGTACATATTTGGAACCCCTAAAAGGTTCTATACACTAGAGCCAGACCGATATATCGACAGACCCATATTATCGGGCGATATTAGGCATTTTCCAAACTATCGGTATCGGCAGTTATAATGGCCGATAAATGAATATTTCAAAAATAAAATAAAAACGGACGAAACACGCTTGAACCATGTCATGAGAGTTGGAGTTGTATAGTTTGTCCACCAGAGGGCACTCTACACCATTCCTGTTGGCAACACTCGTTGAGTTGGTCACGATACATACATTGCTTGAATAACAATCAAAAGAACATCCCCATCAGTTCTCTTAACTCAAATAAGCATGACAAAATTTGTGATTATCATGTCCAGTTTAAAAAAATAAATAAATAAATAAAATGTCGGCCGATATATCGGAATATTGGATTTTAAAACCCAATTTTTTTTTTTTTATCGGTACCGGCCTTCAAAATCCTTTATCGGTCGGGCTCTACTTTCCACTCTTAAAAAAAGGTTCCTCTGGGTTCTATATAGATATACTTTCCATACTTGGCCAATAGAACCTTTTACCAAAAAAATGGTTCTATAGAGTCATTTTGGATATGAAGCGGGGGGTGGAACCATTTCTGGTTCTAAATAGAACCATTTCTTCTAAGAGTGCAGATTTATGTTTGGTTTGTATTTCGTCTTTTCTGTTACCATCCCATCAAATATCTTTAGTTCAAGATGATGATTTATATTGAGATCTTCAGCACTCTATAATGTCTTGATTGAGTCTTTGATTTACTGTTTTCTCTTCGTTATTTACAGACGTCATTCAGCCGTCACTTCTTATTCCGCTGACATCAGTTGGTTTATTGATGGTTTATGCAGCAGTTGTGTTGGTGAAATACTTTCACTGCAGGAACTGCAAACAAGCATCACAACAGGGCAAGTGTCACCTAATTCATTAAATGAAGTCTTTCTGGGTGAAAATAAAGCGTTCAAAAGATGTGCTGCAATTTATGTTAAAACCGATTTATAAGTCAATTGTAAATGCAATTAAAATTGTACGTATTCCTTTTTCCATTTACAAGTTGAATTGATCATTTTTAAAACCGCATATGAAAACAGACGGTACGCTTTCTTTAGATAATTTAAACTTTAAACTCTAAACGTGTGCCACTAGATGGCATTACAACCCTGTCAAAGGAAATGTTACTTTATTTACTCGTAACTGCTGATCAGTGATCAGAGCAGGATGAGTGTGTGATACTAATGTTAAATACACAAACTCTCCTCACACTGATTCACACATGTTTGTAGATCTGACAACCACAGAGTCTGAATACACACAGATCACCTACTATCTTCAGACAGGAGATCTGCCACAGGTCAGTAAACACTTGATCATTTATTGTGGGAGTCTCAAACTGCGTCCCAATTCAGAGACGCATCCTACAGAGGCCGCGTTCAAATGCCAATTGGCCCAATTTGAAGAATCCTCCAAAATGAAATAAAGGATATAACAGATAGATCCATCACAGCCTTACACAATTCACTGCGCTCCAGTGACGACGGGATTTCTTTGATAAATTGATAAATTACTTTTAATCATAATTTGGGTTTTAACTTAATCAAATTTCTTATTATGATACAAATTAAAAAACTTTAAAGCGGTTCAAATGTTGACTTCTTATTCGCGATATATTCCATATACAGTAATGTATATACAAATTTAGACAGATTGTGACCCGTTTGTTTTGTTTTCAGACATGCAAATATAACTTTCGTTAAAAAAAAGTCCGTACAAACATTGTCCAGTATACGGAGGCGTATTGCATTCACTTGAAGAAAAAAAATCTACTCTGTTTTTCTGAATTAACGAGTTAATTTTTCATAAGAAAAAAAGTTTTTGCTCTGTTTTTCTGAATTAACGAGTTAATTTTTCATAAGAAAAAAAGTTTTTGCTCTGTTTTTCTGAATTAACGAGTTAATTTTTCATGGAATTTTTTTTTTTTTTTTTTTTGCCCTGTTTTTTCTGAAATAATGAGTTAATATTTCATGAGAAAAAAATGTTTTGCTCTGTTTTTCTGAATTAATGAGTTAATTTTTCATGGATTTTTTTTTTTTGCTCTGTTTTTCTGAATTAACGAGTTAATTTTTCATGGATTTTTTTTTTTGCTCTGTTTTTCTGAATTAACGAGTTAATTCAGAAAAAACAGAGCAAAAACTTTTTTCCTCACGAAAAATTAACTCATTAATTCAGAAAAACAGAGAAAAACTTTTTTTCTCATGAAAAATTAACTCATTCAGAAAAACAGAGCAAAAAAAATTTCTCATGAAAAATTAACTCGTTAATTCAGAAAAACAGAGAAAAAAAAATTTTCTCATGAAAAATTAACTCATTAATTCAGAAAAACAGAGCAATTTTTTTTTTCTCATGAAAAATTAACTCATTAATTCAGAAAAACAGAGTAGATTTTTTTTCTTCAAGTGAATGCAATACGCCTCCGTACCAGTACATACCATCCCATTTTAAAACGCTCGATCCGATCCACATGGCCTTTTGACTTGGGACGCAGTTAGCGTCAGAGTCGGCCATTTTGTACAGTGTTTCGCCCTCATTCGAGGAAGAATGAACACAGAACAGTGAATGAAACTGCTCATCATTGGGCTCATGGATATTTGGTTTAAGCATTTCTAAATCATATTCATTGGTTATAGATCAGAGAACTGATTCATTTGTGATATGAATGTTTTTGTCCATCTCTAACAGAAACCATTGCTGGATGTGGGCAGAAAAGGGACAGCTGTGAACTATCAACTCATACAGTGAAGACTGTTGTATATCAAAATATATTGTGTTTTTGCACAAATTAGACTCAGGCAACATTTCTCCAGTCTTTTATTGTTTAATACTGGTGTGTGAATTGTTTGTATATAGCCTCAGATTCTTGTTCTTATCTGACTGAGTGTCACTGTTGTGTTTTCTGCTTCTGTGTTCGATATGTTGTACGTTCAGAGATGTTCGTCTGCAGAACTCGATGTCGGTAATGTGGGGTTATATGTTACTGTTGTGTGTGATGTTGGAATCGCTGGTCTAGTTGGAGTTTATTGCTTAAATTTCACTTTGTTTGAAATTCTCAGCCATTATCTTCGCATTGAGTTTATATTAAACAAACACCTGAGGCTACAAACAGATTTAAAACCATATAGCAATTCACGAGTTCACACTTAGAAATCAATCAGATAAATTGGTAAACGTATTTGGCATGCTGTCCGGGGAGAGCTCCTCTGATCTTGGTAATTGGCCCGAAAGCAGAGTATGAATCAAATAAAACAATTACAAAAAATATACTATTATTATTGACAATGTTATTGACCTCACTTATTAAAATTTCCGGGTGACTTCAAGTAAATAGGAGGTCAAAGAGGTTAAGCTGACAAAAAAAGTGAGATGGAAATAATGAAATAATCCATCCACCCGGTTATTTGTTCAGCTTGTCAGATAGGAGATGTTTGTGCAGCTAATTCTGGAAATTTTCCACTGTATTTTACATTTTTAGCTCTGACCTCAGCAGAAAAACTGCACTGAACGCTTCATGTATTAATATCACTGTTGCTCCAATAAACATTTAACAAAAATCAAGCAGGAATCTTTTACTTTTTGCCGAATGCTTCAATCCAATCATGCAAGTATGTCATGCCTTAAAGGAAGACTAAAATACATACATTATTTCACTAACAAATAGCTCAAAATAGTTTGTTTTCTTGTGTAAAAATCAAGACACTAGAGGGAGGCAGAGCAGAGACTGTCAACTTGGACACAGCCAATCATCTCATCACAGTTAAAATCCTCTTTGGATTGGAGTTCGATTAGGACGCAGCATTGGCTGTTTCAGCCTGTAATATAAGCATGTTTAATGCTATTTAAGCATAAGAAACCACATTTATGGGGAAGTTCAGTTTGATTCAGGTTTTGTTGCTAATATGTTATGTTTTGATACAAGGATCAAAGCCACATTTTTCTTGCTTCTATTAGGAGTTGAAATGTCTTTGAAAGTGTTGCACATTTATTTTTACGAACACAAAAAGGGAAAAACATGGACAATCCTTGAAATTCATTCAGCCAATACTTCCAAACAGCGCTCAAGTATGGCTCCCAAACCTTTGAAATCTTCCATGTCTTAAATCCGTATATATCCTTAAACAATTTTCTCATTTCTGACAGCCATGGATTCCTCTCTTGAATCCCCTGTATTAATTAGCTGTAAGGGTTTTCCAGTCGAAGACCCAGAACCAGATATGAAGAATGAAGACCCGGAGTCAGAATTATAAAAAAATACTGAATATAGTTTGCAGTTTCATCAGCAGAAGTCACTTTCAAGACTCTCACAGGAGTTCATAGGCCGCCTCCTTACAGTTACAAAGACCACAGCAGTTACTGTATACCATTTCCAAGGTCTAAGATACGTCATTGCTTACACGCTAAGAAATAAACACAGTAATTTTCCACACATATACAGATAGACGGAAGCATATCTCCATCGATTATGCCTCTGAGACTCAGAGGCTCGTCATGACCTTCCAGGTCGCAGATTTGGGTTGCTGGGCGCCAGTATGTCCAGAACAACTCCAATAATGGCAGTGGTTCCTTAACTATAAACAGGAGAGTCGTCTCAAAACATCAAGATAATGCCCTCAAGGATATTTGGTACCTTACATCAGCATGCATTTAAGAATATGATTTCACAAGCATAAGCACAAATAATATATATATATATATATATATATATATATATATATATATATATATATATATATATATATGCTGAAGAGGCAAGGGATTTTGACCACCCCCTTTCATAGCTAAAACACCATGTGTTGGTATAAGGAGGAGTGGCTTTAAAGCTTAATTAAACAAAGAAAACTCCAGGTAAAATATACAAGGACAACTTTGAGTAACTGCAGTACAGGAAAACATCAAATAAATTCTTAAATAATACAGCACTAAAACAGAAATAAGCTGAGAATAATATTGATACAAATTGAAAGCATATTGAATTACATCATGTGAGTACGACGAGTAGTTTTTGGGAAATTCAGGATTTCCCTAATCAAATAGATAGGGCTTGTTTGTAAATGCCTAAAATAATGACTCGGAGGCGTTGCAAAAATGGCTGAAAGTGAACAGACATTTTATTTCAAATGTGGATTTTTGACAAGGTTAAAATGATATTTATCAATTCAAATTTAGGTCTTGGTCTGTTAAAGGTGCCATGTGACATTATAAATCAAATCCTACTCCATAACAGATGGGGGCAGTATACCTCCAGAAAATGAGTTGTGCTCCTACCATCGCGCATGTTATTCAAATCATTTGACATGATAGTAACGTTAAAAGGTTGGAAGACCGCAGTTTCACGTGGAGCATTTGGAGATTTTTAGAGATCAGAGACTCAATGAACAACATCTCAATAATAAATGATGAAGACCGCCTCATAGACGCCTGTCTCAAAAACAATCTGTTGCATTTCGACGATATGGGAAAATAAAAGCTTGGGCAATTATTTGAAGTTTATGGTATTAGTTTTGTTCATATTACACTTTTATTGTTAGTTTGAATTAATTTGACAGACAGCATTCGCTGATGTTGATCAAGCTAGCGCCATTCAGAGCTGCCAACTCTTAACGAATTCACCGTGAGACACACGCAATTCACACTTGGCAAGCAGGTTAGTTAAGCTCTCAGATTCTGTCAATTTTATTACGCAATTTAAAGAATAAATACCGCTTTTGCGCTTGTACATGTTACACCAGAGATCCCTAGCGCACGTGAACCGATCGTCTCTACTAGCTAATGGAAAAAGGACATGAACTATGTTGAAAGATACAGTATGTTACAACTTACCAAAATGTATTCCTCATGCATAATGTCGACCAATCATTTTTTGAACTCTTCCCTGAACTGAAATGTAGTAATGGGCTGTATTTCCACACGACTGACATCAGGTTCAAGTACACACACAAGCTGGCGCGAGCGCCACTCACTCGTGTACTGCAGTTTGGCTGGTGGTAACGCTGCCCGCCCGCATACCGCCTCCCATGGCCGGAACTGGTATTAGGACACCTGCCGGGCTGGGGCTAGTAATTTAGCATGCTAATTCAGGTTAACATCTCGGCAGCACTATAACTTGTCAGTTTTTTAATGACATCATTCCACTTATTTCTTCTCATTCTTTTGATGCGTGTAGCTCGTTTTTTTTTTTTTTTTTTTTACCTCAATTATTCTATATGGCACCTTTAATGTTTTTTAAAGCAGTCTTATTTTAGGCCAACATTATTTTGAGATAAGACGTTTTGCCACAACACTGGATTAAAGGTCCAAAATAACAAATACACTAATGTTGTGTCTGACATAAAAACTTATCACAGCCTCTAAAGCAGACAGAGCAAACACACAAGTACATTTCAGGGCTGTGTTTCCCAAAAGCCTCGTAAGCCTAAGTAACCATAGAACCATTACCCTCATTGCTCTCTACGTTCAACTTAGCTCACAATAGGGGCTTTCGCACTGGAGGAATGGTTTTCAAAGTTCCTAACTACTGTCAGAAGTACCCTTTTTTGGCGTGTTCTCACAGAAAGGAACTGGGAAAGCCTTTGGGAGCGACTAATTTAGCTCCTATTTCCGAAAAGGGTCTGTCCCGACACAACAGGAAACCCTTAAACACACTCCCTTCCGGGTTATGGCACCAAATGTAACCGGCCCTACTCAACCCGCTCCTAGCGTGATTCAAACAGTGGTCTTTGTTGTGGGAGGCGGCCATGCTAACAAGGGATGCTAACATGATCGCAACCCCCATAGAATCAGTCGCCAACACACCTCTTGAGGCCAGGGGAGTGAGGTTTACATGCACAGCTCTTACTGGCCTACATCCACACAGGCACTTCTCAACCTTTACGCTAAGGAGGAAATCCTTTGAAGGAACCAAGTGAAACATGGTAATGTATTTATGCTCAGCTAGTGACATTGGGCTAGCCTAGAAATCTAGACGCACCCTAGCGGCAGCAAAAGTTATTTTGCAGCAAAGTGTGGTCTAGCAACTCTCCGTTGGCTCTCGAAGTGGAAAAACCAAACTCTGGTCCGGCCAATCACATCGTGTATAGAGTTGGTGGGTGGCCTTAAAGGGATACTCCACCGGGTTTTCATATTAAACTATGTTATTCCCTTAACTAAGACAAGCTGTTGCATACCTCTCTCGTCTCAGTGCGTGCACTCTATCGCTCTGTATTGCCGCAAAACTATGTTAGCACTTAGCTTAGCCCAGTGCATTAAATATGGGCCAAAAAGAGAGGCGACCAAACACTTCCTCGTTTTCCCTATTTAAACACAGTTACTCGATTAGTGTTAATTTTTTTTTTTTTATGGTATTCCGCCATACAATATAGTCATCAATTTTAAACGCTTAGAAAAGCACAACGTTTTATTTTGTATCACCAGCCTAGGTCGAGTTACACTAATCGAGTAACTGTGTTTAAATAGGGAAAACGAGGAAGTGTTTTGTCGCTTCTCTTTTGGGCCCATATTTAATGCACTGGGCTAAGCTAAGTGCTAACATAGTTTTGCGGCAATACAGAGCGATTGAGTGCACGCACTGAGACGAGAGAGGTATGCATCAGCTCGTCTTAGTTAAGGGAATAACATAGTTTAATATGAAAACCCGGTGGAGTATCCCTTTAACACAATGACGGCAGAGTTGTGACGGTTCTGCGCCGTGATTTCCATAGGTGAATTACTTGATACTTGAAAATAAACAAGATGCAGCTGGCGAACAGCGGTCTTTCGATTCGGCTTTGGGCGCGACTCGGATGACTTCGAGTTAAGAGAATGTCACTTAAGTCGTTCTTAAAAAAGGAAGATGTGTTCAGAGTTTTGACGACCGGATACGGCAAAAGTTTAATATATCAACTTGCTCCGCTGGAGAGAAAACCATGGGGAAAACGCATGAGACTCACTCATGACTCACTCATCCACAGTCATTCATTGCTCTGGTTGGTTAGCGCTATCCTATGGGGTGCAGAGGGATAGTGAAAGACAACTTTTTATCCCGCCCCCCGGATTGAGGTATGCCAATTGTGAGTTCCCAGACCTAACATCTTGATAGGTCTGGCTTGCCAGGCTAGACATTGGGCATCAACCACACAGCAAATGCTAGAATACTTTTTCACCTACCGTTTACTTTCTTTGTTTAACAGTTCTATATAATAATGTATTAGATATGAACACACTGGTACGTTCGACTGGAGAGCATAGTAGAAAGAAAAAAAAATACTACGGAAGTCAATGCTGATCGTTCTTCAAAATATCTTAACCCCTAGTTGCTCCAGAGGCGTGCGACCTCTGACATCTATAGCAATTGTAAGTCGCTTTGGATAAAAGCGTCAGCTAAATGAATAAATGTAAATGTATTTGGATGGAGTATCACTTTAACCCAAAGATCTGTCTGTGGGAGCTTTAAACAACAGATACAGCATTGTTAGGGGCTCCTGCAATACAAAAGATACCCTACCGGACATTCCTGAGTATTGTTGTTCCATTGTTTGGTTCACACCCATCATATTTCTATGGGCCATAAATCTGTATCGGCTCACAAATATACAAAATCTATCAATATAGATCAGGATATTCTTTCATTTTAAGGTATACAGTAAGTCATTATAAAGTATACATCTCATATGCTGAACGTACTACTGCAGCATTAATTATTATATTAGTTAATATTATTGAACTTGAAATACTTAACACAAAAAAATATATATTTTTGATGCTTTTGCATTGAAGCAATTGTGCAAAAGGTTTTTTTTATTTCATTTTTTTTAATGCAGAATGAACATGAGCTTCTTTGTGCCTTTACTAGCAGTTCGGTGAGTCAGAATGGTACCTGTGGTCAGAAGTCAGATCTATTTAGGTCAAAGTATCAAGCGTTTTTTTTGTTGCTGGTTGAATGCAGTAGGTGGTTTTTTGGTGTACCTATTATTGAGCTCACAAAAGTGCACTCGAGTGTTAGTGTGTACAAAAGTGTCTGAGTGGGTAAAGAGATGCTCTTCTGAAACTCCCTCACTAGGCCTCAGCGCTTCACTGGAAACTAATCTTGTCAGAACGTTGTGGGAACTAGAACGCATATGAATACTTCAATACAGGTAAAGGTAAAAGACTAGTTTGAAAATAGATTGTTTAGTGACATTTACTATGGAACATTTCTAAAGCTTGTGTCGATGACGCAAATACTGCCAAAATAAATGCGTCTCAGAGCGTCATCTGTATTGAAGTGAATGCACCGAGTCAAGCTTTTATTTCAGAACAAAAGGAATAAATGTCCCAGTTGAATGATTGCATTGTCGGGTTATTTATGAACAAGGTGTGAACTGAGGTACAAAGATGAAAACCTGCTTCTGTTCTCGAAGATTGCAGCTGCTCATGGTGTGTTTCGATAGACAAATATGGAAACATAATACAAACATCATTCTAGCCTTTGTTGGTTTTGAATACACCCATTTTATCAGCATGGTCATGTGACCCAAAACTGGTGAAGGTTTAAATTATGAATGTAGCTTGTCATAAATGTTGAAGCTTGGGGAAAAAAATCATTTTAAATGTAAATAGCAGAAAACTTTCAACAGTTTGTGAAACTTTTTGACCTGATGGTGGCACTGGTTTAAGTTTAAGAGCCACTATGAGACTCGCATTGCAGATTACGAACTGAAAACCTTTTGTTGCTTGGCCACTAAGTTTTTCCACATATAGATATGAATATGAATATAAATAATCATGTTGAAAACAGATGTCTTAAGGTCAATTCACATGCCACAGACGCTGACCTGCAACAACAAACCCTTTGTTGTGCAATCGTGAGAACGTTACAGATGTTGTGTCTGAGCTGTGAGGGAAATGGTGGCCTAGACCAGAACCCAAGGTTTCATAAGAAAAAAAGCGCCTATAAGAACAAGGCTGTTTCGGTTTCTGGGTGGTTTAAGGGTCATACATTGTCACTGTTTGTAATTGTAGCATGCAACCATTCTACTCTATTTATGCAGTTTATATTATTTACTCTGTGAACATAATGTAAATTTCTGTATTCATACCTGGAAGGATCCTGATGTTGCCTATAACATGACACTTGTTATTGCCAACTGAAAAGTTAAATCAATGTTTGTTTGGTCACTCAAGAATTCACTTTACTGCATCGTGTTGCTTAACCCCTTAGCTGTCACCCCCTTTTTGAAAATGGGGGTTAAAATGCACTGTTCAAACATAAATGGTTGTAATATAAGAATGCTTTGGGATATATACCCCAAGTTTGGTCTTGTTTTAAAGAAAACACTCAGCAGATTATTGCTGAAGTGAAATCACTTCAAAAAATGAAAGTATGAAAAAGTTATGGAAGTTTAAATTTACAGTAAATCAAATATACTGTACTATATTTTTTATTTTATATAAAATATATATTTTACAAAATATTTTTACCTCTAAAATTTCTATAAAATCAAAGCCATATCTTATCAAGTTATGTTCCAAATTTGAAGATGATATCACAAAAATTGAAGTTCCCATGAGATTTTGTTTAGCCGTAGTACTAAAAATAGCCATCGGAGGCCGTTGAATTCCATTGAATTTTGTTGTATACATTCTGCCTTAACAAATTAATACATTTCTGTCCAAATATCAATTCTGTCACAAAATTCGGAACCTTGAGACTCAGACCTTTCTGACAATATGTGTTTTGTCAAGATTAGAAAAGGTTTTGATCATAAATTATGAAATATGATGCCCAAAAGGGGAGGAGCCTGATAAAATAAGAACCGTTTCTATGGTAACACAACGTTCAATTATAAAACAGATTTCACACGATGAATTCTGAGTTTATAAGCTTTCAAATGATACCTAATTTATGACAACTACTAAAATATGTGATAATAAAAAAGGCGTTCACAAACATTTAAACACGCACTATCCATTTTATCATCGCAAATAACACAAATTTGACTCGACTGACAGACTCAATAACTGACAGTGAAATGAAGTAAACTTGTATGTAATATAAAAGTCCAGCCTTTGCACTTGAAAACTATCTAAACTCAGTTTTTATGAAGCAGCGCTTATTGATGCGACTTAACAGCAGCGGGAGATATGAGACTGCTGGTGTGACGGATCCGCCCGCAATTTCACACAGACAAATGCGAGTGACCAACACGTTCTCATCCCAAGGCGTCATATACGACACTTTTGCCAACGCACATGGTACCCTTTTGCGTCAATATGAGACACAGATATATATAGGGCAGAATTTTTTTTCCCTCAAATTATTTCCCAATTAATGCATGAATTTAACAGCATTAAATTTAAACTCTGTTACACATACTGTAAACTGTTGACTGTCGGCGTTTGTCGATGCCGTGTGAATTGGTCTGTATATGAAAGTTTTCATCTAAATGAATCGCTCAGTGAATCATAGCAAGGACCATCACTATGGCCAACACCCTACAAACGCTGATTCCACCTCAGGAATTTTCCCCGGGAAATGAAAGCTTTAGCATAAGTTCTGCCAGGAAGACTTAATTACCGCGTCACTCGTTAAACTTGAGGTTATCCAATCACGTTCTTATTGTCGTATAAAAGATCGGTACACATGTTTGAGTTCGCAGATGCCGACGCGACAACAACCTCCACCCTCCCCACCACCACCAGGATGGTCCCGTCTATACTTCCCTGGGGGGTCGGCTGAGCCCCTGCCTTCGTCTCCAGGCAGGAAATGTTGATCCGCTACCCTCGGATTACGATCTATGGACGGGGTCTACGCCAAAGAACTGCAAATTATTGCTTGCTTGGCTGCCAATAAATGGATGCTTTGTTACATCATTTTATCTCCCGAGTCTTTCTGGTAGAACTAGGGATTTTGGGATTGTGCTTTGGGTGTTTCCACCACAGGGATCAGGGTCTAAATGAAGATCCGGGTAAAAAAGGCCCTGATTGTGAGGTAGTACTTTTTCAATTAAGGAACTTTTGGGGGTGGGACTTGGGCGCTGGACATGCTGATGGGAAGAGTTTTTGCAGCATTTTGATTCAACCGCCATTTTTAAAAGTCTGTTGTGGTGTGTGCATTAACGAATGGAGTTTTAAAAATACAACAGATTGGCCGGCGACGAGGTTTAGGCTTATTTGAGTTTATATGCGGAGCACGAAATCCATGCGGGAACTGGAAAGTTGCGCACAGTTCTACGTCACTGGACTAGAGTAGTAGACATGAAGGTGCAATAATTTTCCTTAATATTAATGGTACTTTTAGAACGTGATGGAAACACAGACAGAAACAGGTCTGGGGGAAAAAAAAAGTTCCTGGGACAAATTTTTCCGGGTAATTTTGGTGGAAACCCGGCTTATGGCTGCCTTGCTGTAAATGAGTGCACAGACAGATGAGTGCACCTTTCCATACTATTTGCATAGTACATGGTTCTTTAGAGTAATGATAAGAATATTGAGTATTGAATACACAACATATAATCCAATCCAATATTAAGCAACTTGTGTGTGAAACTTCTGTGCAAAATGTGAAAGAACACTAATTAGAAGAGGTATTCACAATAAAGTTAATCTGAAGCTCTTTTTGTTCTAGAGAGGAAGGGGTTTATATCTGATATTTATATCACTACAAAAACATTCGAGAAAGAGAGCCAAGGGGGAGGTATGAGTGGGAGGTATGAGGGAGGGTGCGTGTGTGTGAAGTATAGTGGCTATACGCCTAGATCCTTTTTCAGAACGGACTCAACTGTGAACCCAATGGAATCTTCATTTGATTATTTTTTGCTTTGTGAATGTTTTTAATCCTTTTAATGGATATATTCTTTTGTTATTAAAAATGTGATGGAACATTTGAACCACACCTGGGAATGGAAACTATTTTTCCATCCGGAAAACCGGATCGTTGAATGTTTTTTTTTTTCTTCATCGTATACACTCCTGTTTGGCTGTATATCGTTCATTGAGAAATTCAGAAAAATGAATCACAGTGGATCTTACTTTGGTCTGTTTTTATTGCTTTTGAATGGTACGTCATAAATACCCTTTGAAATAATAATAATAATAATCTGTCATGTTTCTATTTTATTTGTTTATTTGTCAAGGGTCAGTTCCTAAAAGTTTCTTAGTACCCTTTCCATTGTGTTAATATCAGTGCAATATTTTTGTGCTAGTTGATCTTCCTAATATTTTATCTTGAGTGTTTCTTAGCCTACTTAAAGGAAGCTTTTTTTCAGGTGTGTTTGGCGTTGGTACAGATGAAGTGAAGTCAGTGTCAGTGATGGAGGGAGATTCTGTCTCTCTAAACACTGATATTACTGAAATACAGAAAGATGATTATATAGTGTGGATGTTTGGACCTCAAGAGACTCGTCTTGCTGAAATACATAACCAGATGGTAAAATATTTTATTAGAGAGAGATTCAGAGACAGACTCCAGATGGACAGTCAAACTGGATCTCTGACCATCAGAAACATCAGATCTGATCTCACTGGACTTTATAAAGTACAGATCATCAGCAACAGAGGAACTTCATACAAGAGATTCAATGTTACTGTCTATGGTGAGTAAATCATTCTCATAATGATTCAGATGGTGATGATACTCAAAAATAAAACTTCTCCTGATTAATTAATTAACTAGCAAAAGTGAGATTGAAACCTAGTTTCTGCACTCAGTTTATTTAAATTGTTCATTTGCTATTCTTTCGCACTTCCTGAAGGAAATGCCAGCGCAAGGAAGCAAAACAATAGTGTGGATATTTTAGCAATGATGGTTAGAAAAGCTGCAAACCCACATTTAGAGAGAATAGAGATTAATAGTAAAAATGAAAAACAATCATAAGTATGCAATAAATATGCAAATATAACAATGTAATGTTGTTTGTTCCAATTGGATAGCACCAGTAAAGTTTATGGGAGATTTTATTGCTTTCATATAATCTATCATTTCTATAATTTCTGAAAATTTGGAATTGAAAAATAGAACAACAAAGGCAGAGTCTGTATGTTGAGCATGCTGATTACAAATTCCAGTACAATACAGTGTTTCAAATAATAATTATGTTTACTTATCAAGGTGTCATTGATTTTTATATTTTATGTTCTCCAGCTCGTCTCCCCTATCCTGTTATCATCAGGAACCCTTCAAACTGTTCATCATCTTCATCATCATCAGAGTCCAGATGTTCACTGCTGTGTTCAGTGTTGAATGTGAGTCATGTGACTCTCTCCTGGTATAAAGGAATGAGTGTATTGTCCAACATCAGTGTGTCTGATCTCAGCATCAGTCTCTCTCTACCTCTGGATGTGGAATATCAGGATAACAACACTTACAGCTGTGTGATCAACAATCCTGTCAGAAACCAGACCACACATCTCAACAACATCACGCAACTCTGTCACACATGTGCAGGTATGAAAATTATCATCTAACTTTGTAAATTAATAAAAAATGTGTGTTTATGTTTAGAGCTTTTATTTCATATCCATGAGCTTTGAGGTCATCTATGATAAAAAAAAATTCTTTTAAATATTGACAGTTCATTGTTAGCAGATGTTATCATATATACAAATGTTTGTCTAATAAAGAGCTCTGTTGAATATTCCTCCTCCTACATCATAAACAACTTCTTCTGAATAGCAGGTAGATGAACATGGTGTGACATTTATAATAAACTGAAGTCTATTGGTGTTTATAATAAAATGACATGTCTTCGATTTTTCCCACCCAAACATCCTGTTTCAAGGAAATACTTTAACAGTGAAACCGACGGTGTTTATCAAATATTTTTTAATAGTTGTAAATATAAATTATGAACTTTATAAACTAAAGACCAGATAGATAGTTGGACTCTTTATCATAGATGTCAAAATATTCAAGTACTTTACTTAAACGCCTGCTAAGTTGAAACCTAACATGTTAAATCACATTTCCATTACTATGGTTTAACCCTAACCCTTTAGCTGTATATATTCAGATTACAATAACGACTGTTTTCTCTCTTCACTACAGCACTGGGCCAGCGTTCAAGCTTCATGACGGTAATAGCTGTTACTCTAGCGCTGTTGGCAGCAATCGCCGTCGTTGGAGGTTCAATGTGCCACAGAAGATGTAAACAACCAGGAAAAAAAGGTAAGTAATCACGAGCAAATATATATATATATATAGCCTATATATATATATATATACATTTTTTTTTTAAATGACCACTTCAAGTTAATAAAATGTATTTAGTTTATTAAATGTCTGATTTTTATAAAAACAGTTAAACGTCATGAGGAAGAGGTGCTTTACACTACTCCAACATTCAGTAATCTTCAGAGTACGGTAAGATACTGTATATTTTATTTCTGTATGAACTGTGCCGGGTATTCATGAGTAAACTCCTTCGGCTTCTTTAAATTCCTGTCGGTAAGCTGTGTGTGACTGAGCATGTACTGACATGCATCTTACTGGTATAATGCCAAAGGTTTTTATCACTCATGTGTGGGAGTTAGAGCTGTATATATGTGGCCGTCACTTGTATACTTCAGTATGGCTCGTCTTTTTTAATCTTCTTGGTCTGATTTTTGATTCTGGTTCTGTTTACTTGCAGGACATCGTTGCAGCAGATCACACAGTATTGTATTCAACCGTTGTGACATGAATATCCAACTGTTTTTTATTGTTATACTGAAGGTCAATGCCTTGAATTCTGGAAATTCCCCCAATCTGATCACTTTGATATCATTAATGGTTTCATTACATTTCATTTAAGAGCAGCTAAAGTTAAAGTCTGAAGTCAGATTAGTAAAGTCATTTTTGTTAATGAGTCTCATTGTTTAACTGCTCAGCTTGATATTGTTGTTAAAACCTTTTTTTTACTAATGCAGCGTTTGTTGTTGCTTGTTTTTGTTTTTTTAAATATACTTTGTGTAATTTATTATGAATATGTCTATATTTAATTAGTATATATTTTTTGTGTTTATTTTTGCATAGCTTTTTATATTTCATTTTATTACCCTTTCATTTTTGTAATTTAGTTCTGTGTTAGTTTGGTATTTGTGTATTTTGCCTTTGTTGACCGCTGCAGTCGTGCTTTTACTGGTGTTTAACATGTTTTAAAATTTAGGAAGATCTAGTTTACATTGCATCTCCACCCTCATCCTAAAACACACTTAAAAAGATCATCCTATATATTTTATATGGGGATAATTACAGTCTCTTCTAACATTCCTTGTGAAGCGTAAATTGTAATTTCTTGATGACTCTTAAGTGAGGCTTTCTCTGTGGCTGACTATGTGACCACCTTCTAAATGAGACACGACATCCTTTTTACGATCAATGAATTAGCAACAACACCTGGTGGATTCATCAAAACAAGGTGCAAAGTTGCTTCCCAGAGCCTTTATCCTCTCTGTCCCTCAGTGTTGGAAGGAGTTTCCAGCCTCCATTGATTATTAGACCATCACAACGGTTGAGAAACCAACTCTTCCACAAACACAAAGGCACTTCCTAATAATATCTCCTGTTCTTCCTTCCAGTTTCAGTTCTGCTAAAGCCCACTTGTTATATTCTTATATGATAAATTGCTTGTCATGTTTCTCATTTGAAAGGCACTTGTTTGGATAAACCATAAAGATTCACACATTAACTCTCTCACAGGGCAGATCTAGAACAATGATGAATGCACACCAATGTGACCGACAAAATAACTCATTGTGTGAGTAATAAGAACAACCACCAGGTGTTTTGTCTCGTAACACCGTAGCCATTCAGAATGTGTCAGTTTCCCTATTTCCAAAATGTTGTAATTTGCTGTGAGATTCATGGATGAGCAATGCACTGTATGTAAATGTGAATAAAGGCATCTTCTCTTACCGATAGGTGATGTAATGGAAGTTAAATGGCCGCCCATTCAGGGACTTCCAAGGCCACTACTTTTTTCGATTCACCCCCTCTGCACTGTTTCTTACTTTGAACTCTGACATGTGGTGGTCACATGACCTCTTGAAGTGTTTAAAGCTGACGTTTCATCAGTCCTTCCCAACAGAATTATATTCTAAGATTGTTTTGGTAATGGTAATATTAAGTTATAAAAATGTTATTTATGGATATTTTCTGAATATTCTAAATATCGTTTTACAAATGTTTTAAAAACATTTTTTTTTCTTGGTTTTGGAACGTTAAGGAAACATTCCATTTTATCAATTTGAAATTCTTATGGGATGTTACTTTTGAATGTCCTTTCACCATTCTAAAACAAGTAGTTACATCGCAAAAAAATTTTTTTTACGTGAATAATGTATAAATAATGTTTTCATGCTAACACAAGATCATTTTTATTAACAGTTAAAGGGATACTCCACTTTTTTTGGAAATAGGCTCATTTTACAACTCCCCCAAAGTTTTACCGTTTTCGAATCCATTCAGCCGATTTTCTGATATTTAGAAGAATATCAGTAACCAGACAGTTTCTGGTCTCATTGACTTCCATAATATATTTTTTTCCTACTATGAAAGTCAATGAGACCAGAAAGGTTACATGATATTCTTCTAAATATCAGAAAATCATCTGAATGGATTCGAAAACGGTAAGACTCAACTGTTTAACTCTGGGGGAGTGGTAAAATGAGCCTATTTCCAAAAAAAGTGGAGTATCCCTTTAAGACCTCATAACTGAACAAACATTCTGTTGCTGAAAATCCGTTTGTTCAAAATTCAAGAGAGTTAAGAGAACTTTGTTGGAAGTTTATCTTGTTTGTAGTTTATCTTTTATTGACAGAGGAAACAATATACTCCAGCATCATTTGAGAGTTAATGATTGAAGTTTTACTGCAAAGCTTACTGTCACATTTCAGCAGAATGCTTTTGTCTGATTTATAGCCGACCAGAAAATGTGTAGATTGGGCTGAAAAATTTCACTTTTTTGACTTCCATCCAGTTAACCAGAAGAGGAAGAAAGAAGAACTCGGCTAACAATAATTTGACTGCCATATTTTGCATATCCAAATAATCCTGTGACAGACGAAGACATTTGCATGCAT